TAGATACAAACTTTTAAAAAACTAATTGACATACAGTAGAAACTCGATTATCCGGACTAATTGTTGTGGCTAGGCATTCGGATAATCGAAAATCCGCATAATCGAATGTATGAAAAAAACTATTTTCGTACATAGTACATGTTACGTAATACCTAATGTTGGTGTTTAATTAAAATCAACTAAAGACAAATCAACATTTATTTTATCTTTAAACGATAACACCACTCTCTTACGCTTTGACATTTTTAAGCACAAACGTGACAAGTAATGATTGGCAACTTTAACTATGGGTAGTCCGGATAATCGCGAATCCGTATAACTGAGGGCCGAATAATCGAGTCTCTACTATGCAGTTTTTTAATAATCATTTATTTATTTTTTTGTCTTCATTTAAATTTGTAGGTATATATACTTTATTTGATCTACGGATTATTTAAAAAATCTACATCCAAACAAATATTATAAATGTCAAAGTTTATGAGGATGGATGGATTTTCATTTTCATTTTGGACATTCATTAGTCTTTCACGCCAGAACGGCTGAGGTTGAGAAGGATCTGGATGAAATTTGGCACAAGGATAGATTATAGTCTGGAACAGTACATAGGTTTCTTTTTATCTCGGAAAAATGTACGGTTCCCGTGGGGTAGATTTGTTTTTGTCTAGGGAAACGAAATGAAGCGAGAGTGAGTCGTTAGTATACATACCTATGTATAAATAAGGTACAGTTATTATATTTACCAAACTAAATTACTATTGAATAGTAAAAAATAATAATTGAGCCTCATTACAAATAATTTTAGTATTTCCTTTTAACGATAAATATCTAGAGGTCTCTATAGTACAGTAATCACATTATAGTATAAAACTCAAAAACTATTTGATAATATAAAACATTTATCAATACCTAGTTTATTTATCTATACATATAATAAAACTGTAGAGGTTGACTGTCTGTACATAGAAAAAAATGCTAAAAACCGAGTCGGGGGGATATAAGAAGAGGAATAGAACAAATATAGATTTTTTTTCTATTTTTTGTTTCTATTTCTGTTTGTTTATTTGTACGGGCAAATCTCCGAAACTGATGGTCCAATTTAAATAAAATTTTGCATGGTAGTACCTTATATCACCAGTGAATATTTTAGATACTTTTCATCCCGGAAAATTAATAAGTTCCCGTGATATAGTTAAAAAACTATAGTAACTTACACAGCTTAGTACACAAAAACTACGGATGGATTTTATTGAAACTTTACAATAATATAGTTCATACATCAGAATAACAAATAGGCTACTTTTTATCCCGGGAAAATATACGATTCCCGTGGGATAGATTTGTTTTGTTTGTTTAGAGGCGAAACCGAGCGAAGCGAGAGTGAGTCGCTAGTTGATAATAAAACCATTAGATTCACTTAAGGACTTTCCTTAACCGTAACCTTTAATTCAAGCTTGACAACAGATCCGACGTGAACTTGAATGCAACTCTAATTAGGTTTTTACTTTTTAATTTTTATATCATTAATTCCCGAAATTATTACTAACGATAGTGCTGTATAATAATAAGCTTAAGCTCAATGACTATGTGACGTGGTTGTGATAGGTTTTTAATTTGAAGATAAATTCACAATAAATAAAGAATTGATATAAGAATCAATTAAACTACCTTGTGTCAATATAAAAAGCTCTAAAGAAAATATTTAAAGCTTAAAATGAAGTAAAATATGCATAAACAAAAATAGCTCAGTTACAGTTGGTATTAACAAAGTAGATGAAATTATGATTAAAAAAACTTGGTTGGTTACAATTGACAGATTTTTTCAGTCATCTGTGAAATTGTAAAGTTATGGAAATCTATTTGATTTTTCAAAGACTTAACAAGATTATTTTTTACATTGATAACTTATTTTGTAATAAAATAATTACGTGTACTAGTCATTGTTACTCTATTTTTCGTCATATGTACATATGTAAAGCACCCACTTTTTGCGCCTAAATTCCAATGTTGAGTTTTTGTTGGCAAATTGACATTTAAGGTTGGCATATATCTTAGAGCAATGTACGTATGAGTTACAGTATAGATAGATATCAAGCTCAATTAGTGATAATAAAAATAATTAATAGGTATAATTTTTATGACTACTAGGACTAAATTTGAATTAAATTTAGAATAGAAATAACAGTAAAATGACGAGTAGGTACGAGACGATGATCTATACATATATACCTAAGCATAATAAAATTCTTAGTAACTGAGTCGAATCTGTACATTAAATACCTTTTGGAAAATCTTTTTGAAATAGTGATCATTATCGATACAGAAGCTGAATCTATAGTTTTTGTCTAGCTGTCTGTCTGTCTGTCTGTGATCGAATCACGAGAAAATCACTGGACAGATTTAAAGTGAAATTTGGTATGATGATAGCCTGTTATCAGAGTTAACATAATATAGTATATTTTTTACTGCGAGAAAATATCTCATCTCTGAGAAATCTATACCACGGTAATGTTATACATAACTACCGTGTCTATACTAAACGTTAAAACGTAACTAGGTACGAACCCGAGTGAGGGTGAGTCGCTAGTGTATGTATAATATTATTCTAATTAATAGTGTTTCCTAGATTCATTTTATATACTTATTTTAAATAAATAATTCAACGGCAGTAACGGCTGGCAGTAAGTTTTATTTTTTGTATCAATATAGAAAATATCCAAAGTTATTTAAATTTTGAAGTATTAAAATTATATGATTAAGTATAAAATATATGATGATGAAATGGTTTTTCTTCTGCATTTTCTTTTATATTGATGTACATAGATGCATAAGATAGATGTAGGAGAGAGCGTTGTATCGTGCATTAAGCATTTGGTTCTACATTGGCACAAGGCCACGGCGGTCACTGACAGGCGCCGGGCCGCCCGCCGTTACTACGGCATTCGGAGAACCATTTCCGCTACGGTTGTTAACGATTCAACGATCTATATTCTTTAAATAATTTTGCATGCTTTTTTAAACTTTAACTAAATAATTAATTTTCATTTTAATCCGTCAAATCATAATATAATATTAATATATGTATAAATACAAAATTTACTTTCTTTGGCTGTGTCAGTTAATATTACATACCTTTTTTTTTAACGTTGGGAAAAGCATTTACGCACGAGGTGTGGGACTCACCGGTGTAAAGCCAGTACTACCCACTAAAACCCAACAAAACCTTCCCCCGTCTTAATGGGGCGTCGCAGGATCGCTTACGCATTCAACTATGACGCCCTGACTAATATTACATACCTACACCAAGAAGACCTGATGAAGGTTAATAGTTAAAGCGTAAATGAGTACCGTCTTTTTAAAGTCAAATATATAATAGGCTAGCGGCTCACCCTCGCTTCGCTCGCGTTCGCCTCTAGAATAACACTAATAGAGATCTATTAATTCCCAAGGGAACCGTTCATTTTTCCGGGATGAAAATTAACCTGTTGTTTGACCGGCAGGATTTTATATAATTTTATATAATAAATTTTACTAAATTAGGTGCATAAGTTGTTGTGTACTAAGCTGTATAAGCTATAGTTTTTTAACTATCCCACGGGAACTTTTTAAATTTCTGGAATGAAAAGTATCTAAGATGTTGACCGGGGATATAAGGTACCACCATGCAAAATTTCATTTAAATCGGTTCAACAGTTTCGGAGATTAGCCCATACAAACATACAAACAGACAAATAGGCAAACAGACATACAGGCAAATAGACAAACAGACAAAAATTTTAATAACTATTGTTTTGGGGTCTATATTGTGTAAATAATACGTTACAAACAAACAAAAACAGATCTATGTCACGGAAAGTGTTCATTTTTCCGGGATGAAAAGTAACCTGTTGTTTGACCGGCAATATAAGATATCAGCATACCAAATTTTACTTAATTAAGTGCATAAGTTGTTGTGTACTAAGCTGTATAAGTTACTGTAGCTTTTTAACTATCCCACGGGAACTCTTTAACTTTCCGGAATGAAAAGTATCTTACATGTTGACCGGGGATATAAGGTACGACCACGAAAAATTTCATTTAAATCGATTCAATAGTTGCGGAGATTAGCCCGTACAAACAGAAAACAAAGAAATTGGAAAAAACCTGGATTTGTTCTATTTTTCTTCATACGGGATGTAAGAAGATAACTGACTCGGTTTTTAGCATTTTTTTTTCTATGTACAGACATTCGACCTCTACTGTTTTATTAAAGTATAGATTGCGATACTATATTTAGATTAGATCTAAATAAAAAATTATTATTACAGCCTCCTACAAAGAAACAAAAAAATACAATATTTGTATTATAATACATTATTTAATTATGGTGTAAAATAATTATATTATAAGAGAAGTTTTTCTTGTTTGATTATTTTTAACATATTAACATAGACTTTATCAATGACAAGTTGTGATAGTAACGGAAAAAGCTATGGAAAGATAAAATCTCCAACATTTTTTTTAATAATACCTTTTTGCTTTCCTTAATATACCTATCTATTGTCTTACGTCGCATAAATGTAAATCTAAATTAATCGGTTGGCTACTAAAATTAAACTATGATCAAACGGAAGACCCTTTGGTCACTATAACTTGAGACTTTTTCTACACACACACATATAATCACACACACACACAAACACGCGCGCGCTCGCACACATTTGTTTGTCATCAATATCACCATAACTCCCGTTTTTTTGTTCTTGTCACGGTTTTTTTTAATATTTAATTTTGTTGCTGTGCTTATTTTTGTTTAAAATATGTAGCATTAAGTTTATTGTCGTAGACGACGCTTGTGAGGCGGACATTAATAACTGCGACACAGTTTTACGCTAATGTAGTTATTGTCGTTGTTTTTGTTATACATGTACCTAAATGTTTTAAATGTATAAATAAATAAATATCTTTCAACTTATAAAATTATATGTCATTATAAAGTGTAGTAATAGTCTTTTAATTTTCAGATCTTGCCATACGTGCTGGTGATATCACAACCGGTGCACAGTCAAGAGACCCACCATGCGGAACAAGAAGATAATTTCGCAAACGTACACCAACAGCTACCTAATGCTCAAAATATACCAAAGTCTGAGGAAACTTCGATTCACGACGAAAAAATAATTTCAGTAAGAATAACATCATCTGTTGCTGTTGGTAGAACTAAATCGAAGCCGGCTTTCAAAATATCTGGTAAAACTAAGGATCACGACGAGCATGAGTTTCATACGACAGTTTCGCCCACAGATATGCCTCAAACGTTCGCCTCGACCACTGTTGCTGATATAACATCTACTATTCAAACAACAATCTTAGAAGACCTTGAAACCATGACAGATATACCACCTAATCTCATCGGTGCTAATATAGAGTTTATTAAGCAACTCCAAGCAAAAAAAGGAACACGAGGTCTAAATAATTATGAAAGAGTACATCCTTATCATTTAGAAGATGACCAGTCATATTCCAATCAAGCTAATGATTCTGTAGCTGAATCATCCGTTCACTCAGTTTTAGAAAATGATGAACTTCTAGAAGACGTGCCAATAGCGCGATCCGTGCCCTTGTCGTATTCTTCTAAAAATTTTATTCAAGATCCACCCCAAAACCAACGAGGAAACTCAAGATTGACAACTGTTAACTTTAACGTAGTACATGACGCACCTAAAGTATCGAATTATAACATTAATGATCATCTACCGGCATACTTTAATCAAAATCAAAATGTAGAAGAATTAAATACGTTTTATAACCAACCTTCTAAAGTGTATAGCCAACCTGCTCAAGTGTATAGTGAACCGGCAAAATTTTACAGTGAACCAGCTAAAATTTATAGTGAACCGGCAAAAATATATAGTGAACCTGCTAAAATATATAGTGAACCGGCAAAAATTTATAGTGAACCAGCTAAATTTTATAGTCAGCCCGCTTCTTTGCATTTATCTCCAGATACTCTTTCAGATCAAACTAATTGGGGTAAACAACCAGCCACGTCTACTTATAGTACCACTGTGATGAGTACAACGTCAGCATCGTCGATGACTAATCCGCCATACCCGCCGAATACCAAACGCGTCCTGGGACATGAGCCGGAAAAGAATTATGAGGTAGATGAAAAAGTCAGCGTAATGACTGACGGCAGAACCCATGGGGAACAACCTGCCGGACAAGAAAATTGTAAACAGGAAAATTGTAAAGTTGGCTATGTTGTGGAAGGCCGGCAGTTTCGAAAATATAGAGTCGAAGAAAGAACTCCAGATGGTTTCATCGTAGGAGAATATGGGGTAGTTAGAAATGAAGACGGTGCGCTTAGGGGGGTCCGGTATACGGCGGACAGTGACGCCAGTCCACGTCTCATTCACGATGCGCTTATGAAGTTCCTGCAACTATAATAGGTAAAGTTTTGTCGAATAATTTGATTATTTGGCGTTAAAACGTTTGCTCATTTAATTTATGTAAAAATAAGATTTTTGATCGCTTTTCGATGCTTGTTTCGTACACATATGTATAACTTAATAGATGTGAAAAGACTGAATGTCATCTGTTATGTATTTACATGTATCCTAATGTATGATACCACAATAAAAATTACGATTCGTAACACGTTTTTTTCTCATACACTAATTTTAAATATGTTACATATTATGTATATTATGTTACACCAATGTGTAAATACTTGTTTTTACTTCACTATGATATGAAATGGTCTAGTGTGTACCTAATGTAGTGGAAAAAGACCTAAGTGCAATAAAAAAAGAAAAGACGTAGGAGACGAAACAAACTTTTTTATTCAATATATAACACATGCAAGCAGACAACGCTTAATGTATTTTATCTGTAAATCTTAAACATATTTACTTAGGTATTCGTAAAGATAACAGAAATGATTATTTATTATAACTGATTAAGTTCTTGTATTACTATAACAATTCCGACTAATAATATTATGATTCATGTTTTTTACGAATATGTTTATTTAAAATTAAAATTAATTAATTCCGTCAAATTGAGTTACGTTTATTATTTTTTAATTTACAATCGCTATATATAAGCAATTCAATTTTTTTTCTAAATATTTAGTTTAAACGCAAAGAATAACGTGCAAATTGCAGAACGACACAACCAAAATTCTACATGAAGCTTCAAATAATTACAAGTTGACGCTTATGCCTATATTTATTAGGATGTGCCAAAAAAACTTTTAATTTTTTTTCTTTAGTTACCATCAACATATTGTCCAAGATGACGAAAAAAAAAATCTGGTATAGTTTGAGCTCTTATATTATTGTATATTAAGTTTTTTTGGCTCACCCTAAATTATTTATCCTAATACTATCATTGAATTATATTGGTGCCATAAACACATGTCAAAGTCAGGTCCTGACGTAAGTACTTGCACAAACTCTTAACACTTACAAGAATACAACTTCAGTAACCTTTACTACTTAGAAATAATCTGTATAACTATTCAATTTTCAAACAGCAAATGTAGCATAACATTTGTGATAAACAAACAATCACTGTCTTATTAATAAATGATCTAGATGAGTTAAAATACAAGGGATTCGAGTCTCGACGAAGTACATGAGTTCTCCTTGTATGTAGGTTAATTTGTTATTAGATATACATTTTTCAATCTAAGCATATTATTATGCTGCTATCCCTACTGTTTATAAATAGTATTTGTTGGAGTATTTTTCAACAGTGAAGTAAAGGCCTGATTAACATATTTTTAGATAGGAATATACAGTTAATGAGCGATAGACTTAAACTATCCCGGTACATGAAGTACATAGGAAATATTACTGAATATATAATAAGGACGCAAGTTAAAAAACATTTATTAATAAGACTGTTTCAATACACCGCCACTCTTAATAACAAAATGTTTTTAAAAACCATTACCAACATTAAAAGCAATTGCCCGACTTGTGCACGAACAACAACCTACAAATCACTCGTGGAAGCACATAAATCTTTCAGACGACCAACTTTTAAGTTGGATTTATGTATATATTATTTCGATGTTCAATTATTATCATTGTTCACCTTCTGGTGATAATAAAATATATTTTTTTTTTTACTAAAACTAACTAAATCTGTAAATTTGACTACATAATAATTGATACAAAAACAATCAGTAATAGCCTCTTGATGTATTTTCTTCCGAAATTAGACTTGACTAATTATTATAGGTTGCATAAAATTCCAACAAAAAAGAAGGTTGTCTGTTGTGTGGTCCTTAAAGTTATTTTTATCACAATCCTAGTAGTGATTTACTAGTAGGTTTGAAAACCAAATATAAATTTGTTATACTTATTTCAAGATAGGCAATAACATGTCGATATAAGAAGATCGAGTTATAATACTTATAATAAAGCATACAAAACATTCGTTAAACACTGGTAAATAGGTAAAACATTAGATAATACAAGGTAATATATAGTCAGTTTACAATAATTTAATAGAGAAATGATTATAGCCATTACAGGTGATTACTTACGAAGCTTTGATATTTACTTACTATACTTACAGACAGTATTGTACTACCGGTACTAAAGAGTTTAGAGTACTGTTGTACAGTTAAAGATAGATTATGAAAAACTATGAATGAAAATAAACTATAAAAAAAAGAAATTTGGTTTATATATAAAATAATTTTAACTCATCGTACAAAACATACAAACAATCATCATATATTGTATCAAAACTTAGTGGCTTTTAAGAGAGCATGTTTAGTTACGTAGGTATATCATTATAAACAAGTAATAAATAAATAATATAGTTAAACAATTATACTTCTTACCTTGAAATTCACGAGACATACATTTTTGAAAGTCGCACATTCATTAGCAACATTTCGTTAGAATGAATTTGTAAGTATTCTAATAACGTATGGAATGTGACTTTTTAATCTATGACCAATAAGACCATACTTATTCATACATATTAAATAAAGTGTAAATTTGATATGTGTAGGTCGTTAGGAGTAACGGAACTATTAAGAGCTGGAACGAGGTTTTCCGAAAAATACGCACAATATAACCTTAAATAAGACCTTATAACCATTATTATAAGATCTAATGTTTATTTATATTATTTTGTGACTTAATTCTCATGTAATGAAAAGGACAGATATAACTGACGTTAATTTTCGTAAGATTTATTAGTTATATTTAGTTTTAGGGATGTATGTATGTATTATATGCGTATTTATTTCAATGGCCTCCATAGAACTTTGCCCTAATACTCGGAAAATCTAGGAATTACCAATTAATAAAATGCTATCAAACAATACAGATCAAAAAAATTACATTAGTATGATTTTTAGGCATCCCATTAAAATTGTCTTTTAATAGATACAATACTAAAGTGTTAAATATATTTAGCAAGTTAAACATTAAAAAAAAATGTAACATATAGGGAACATCAAGCATTAAATTGTCAAAAATTCTTACTATTACAAATTATAAATTGCCAGTGACACACAGAATTTTAGTGCCAACAAATTCAGATCTATAAAACCAAAAAGAAGGGTTATGTTTCCAAGCGATCTTTTGCCATAATACGATGTGCGTATGACATTAGTCGTATGTTTCCGACTCCTGCTGCACTAGCTTAAACCGCCGGGGGCTTTTGACGGTAACGGATCCATGGCCGTCCAAAGACAAGCGGCCTTTCATTTGTAAATACCTTTAATAAAAAAGAAATTAATTCAACCTTAACTTGTCGCACAACAGCCTTGAATATAATAAACTGTTGATCGGTGATCGATGAACAGTTATAGATACTAAGTAAATTTTTGTTGAATGTTGTATTATAAAAATAAAATCACTGAAAAATATAACATTTTATATACAATGCACTGATAAATACATTGTTTAAATAAATCATTATTTACCTTTTGATATATCGGCAAACCAGTTTAGTTGGACGTTGCTGCCATTCATCCAATACCTCTTTAGGAGCTAGAACCTGCAATGAAAAAGGCTATTAAAAAGTCGTAACAAATTGTGTGCATAAATACTTACTAATTGTGACATAATCGAATGATTACTTAATAATTATAACATATTAAATTGGAATTCCTCTATTCGCTTAGCTCGCACGGTAAGCGGTGCGGGGATTAAATACAGCATAAATGCCTACCCATATATATATATATATATATATATATATATATATATATATATATATATATATATATAATATGCAGAAGCCAGAAGGACATACATACTTCCATATTTGTAATACTATTATTTAATATTAGTACGGATAAAAGGAGTTTTTTTATTTATTAGTCCTTTATAGTCAGGTCTTAGCACGTAACTTAGGTTACTTTCCATTGGCACGTTATATGTAGCAATAAAAATGATTCAACTTAAATGCAATTCTTTTACCTTATGCAGGAATTGCAGCTCGTGCTATAAAACGACATAGGTACGTGACTTGCAAAACTTATTAGAAAAATGCTCTATTTTACTTATTTGTTAAATGTCACATTATAAATGTAAATATAATAAGTCTAAGGTATGACAAGTATTTAACTAAATAAAGTTTCCCTATTTTTATTATTTTTATACTTTATATACATTAAGGTTTCTGTAGAAAACTCTAGTTAATGCAATTACCTAAGATTGAAAAGGTATAATATATAAACTTATTAAATAAGTGAAAACCTTATTTCCTAATGTACAATCAAGTTTTATAGTTTAGAAGAAAAAAAATACAACAGCGGAATCATAAAATTAATGTTGGTAACTTCCTTTATTCACGAAAATATCTCTGAGACTTCCGAAATAAACGCGCGAAAAAATATCTTCAACCTTTTCAAACCAAACCAGCTATAAAAAAGACATCGTCGATTAATCATCTTGAATTTATTAAACATTTTTGTTCAAAAAAATCTACTTCCATTTCATCGTAATTTCTTTCCCACAGCCAAGAAGACAGGCTTAATTATTTATTGATTTTTAATCGTTCATTCGTGACTTCCCTAATGTAAATATATTCCGACGCTTTCGAATTATGGAGTTATCAGTAAATACCTTTTATGTAAATAATAATGTTTTCGATTTTATTGATATGTATTTTGATTTAATTCTGTGTTTTGTTTTGGCGAGCCAGTGGGGCGCAGTAGCATAATCTACGAGTACCCTGAATCAGCGCAGGTCAGAACGATGAGGACATGAGAATCTTATTTTTAATTACGTAATTGTTAGTATAAGTGTATACATTATGTGTAAGTATAAGTGTACCTATACATTTCTGAGCATATTTGTGTACACCTACACTAATAATATAAAGCAGTAACATTTGTAAGTTCCGATGTAGGAATGAATGGTTCTCAAAATACTTTCCTTATTGAAACCGCATTACAAATTCCGGTAAAAATGTGTTTACCGTCAAAAACTAAAATAACATTAATTGAAGTTGGAAAAAACTTGCCGTTGATAAAATGGTTTGAAATAAATCAATAAATTAGGATGTATGACAAAAAACTCCTAAAGACGTACAACACATTTTATTTGATTATCTATTCAAAAACCTTAATTTTCAACCGTGTTGTCTCAACCTACAGTCTTTATTTCATTTTAGTGAACAAAACAAAATACAATTTCACCTGATCTCCTTTGAGCCGGTCGAGAAGCGTGACGCACACGACGGCCGCCTTGATGCCGGCGTGGTGCGTCAGGGCGGCGAAAGCGAGTGACTCCATTTCTATGTTGACTACTCCCGCCTTGTGGACGCTCTCTAAGTATTCCATCTTGTCTGTCTCGGTGAAGTCGCAGAAAGCACCGTCAAGCCGACCTTGCCCTAATAATTAATAATAGAATTGGTCAAGTGCGAGTCGCACTGAGGAATTTTTTACTAACACCAATACATTTTCTTATAGCATTATAAAAAATGTCCTGAGTGTCTTTTGTCAGATTTTCTTAGAACGAAGAATTGTTATTTACAAACTGGCGAAAGTCATGACGTTCAGATAAAAATTTTAGAATTTGAATAGAACATCGAGCAGATCGTACTAACGATTGGTCATTTCGTATTGTTTTATTTTAGACGTTGCACAAAATTGACAATTGAGAAATATTCGCATGAGTAAGATTTTGTTTTAAAGGTATAAATTATAATTTAATGTAAAATACCTTCATAAAAGTCATAAGTGCACATAGTCTTGCCCATCACTGTGTCGTATGGATCTTCTGGGTCTGACAACGCCTTCAACTCGCGAGCTAACCTCTTATCCAATTTTGCAGGTCGCTGAATATTCTTACCAAGAACGATCTGCAACGTAAGCAACAAAAAAAAACCCTTGAGATATAATACTATTTTAAATAAACACCATAAACTAAACAGTAAATGACAAAAGAGAAATCAACCTAAAATTTAATTACTAATTTACACTAAAGTAAAATATTAATCACAGTTACAAAATTATTTAACAACTAGCGGCTCATCCTCGCTTCGCTCGGGTTCGCCTCTAGGAAAACCAAAATTAAGCTATCCCACGGGAACCGTACATTTTTTCGGGATAAAAAGTATTCCAGACTATAATCAATCTTAGTGCCAAATTTCATCCAGATCCGTTCAGCCGTTCCGGCGTGAAAGAGTAACAAACATCCTGCATCCATACTCACAAACTTTCATATTTATAATATTAATACGGATACTAGTGGCTTACCCATTCTCTAAAGTTGTCCCTAAGGGCTTAACAGTAGGTACATGCATTTTAGTTACTCCAGCCATTGTTTATCTTTATAGACTATCATCCAAATCCGTCCATTATAATTTTTTCCGTCCGTAATTATAATTTTTTTTTTCAAATATAAATAAGTAAAATTTAAAAATAGTAACGGTTATATGCATGTTCTTTATTTCTCGTCGAAGTATCGTAAGAAATATAAATGTAGTAGTACCTGGACGACCGAGCTTTGCTCTGCGTTTTTCGCAAGACATATTAAACTTGTGTTTTATTTTCAGAAAAGACAGAAGATAAACTCAAAAAGCAAAACCTTAGGTATCTAAATACAAAATTTTATCCAAATCGTTAGAGCCGTTTCCGAGATACAAAAAATAAATTTATATACATATGTAGGTATATAAATTTATTTTATATGTATATAATTTTTATCAGGAATTGCTCATTTAATATTATAATGTATAAGATACGTTCTGCATTTTCTATTGATATAAACATATAATGTGGGGTCGATAACAGCTCAAAAAAAAATATTTTAGAAAATCAGAATAATTTTTCAGAAACAACATACCAGTTCAAGAACATTCTTAAGAGCACCATCGACCGCCTCTTCAGATATAACAACAGTACCGCCTTCATATCCGATGCCCCCACAAGTGCCGATCCTGAAGAAGACTGGGTCCCGTACTTTAGCGTGGTACATCAGCTTAATAACTTCGTGAAGAAGGATCCCTACGGATGGGATACCCATACCATGCTGTAATAGAACAGTTAAAAATATTTATCTGTATAACATAAAAAAAACTACCCGCTCTGAACATAAAGCTGGAAATTCATGTGTATTCACAAATAACCCGCAAACAAATTCTTTTAATTGCATATTATATCATTGCAATAGGTATTGCTTTTTATTTAAATTAGGCGTTCAGTACTTCCATATAATTTGTTAAATGAACTGTATTTCTAAAATACAATTACATATATCTCATGTTTAAATATCATATGCCTCACATTTTTATTATAGTAGCTGTAAGCTATTACATTGATACATGATATATTGTCAAACAAGTCATTTATCATTTACTAGCGGCTCACCCTCGCTTCGCTCATGTTCGCCTCTAGGAAAAAAAACAAACCTATCCCACGGTAAAAACTAGCCTATGTGTTTGTTATTCCAGACTATCTATCTATCTATCTCTGTGCCAAATTTCATCTAGATCCGTTCAGCCGTTCTGGCGTGAAAGAGTAACAATCATCCATACTCACAAACTTTCACATTTATAATATTAATACGGATTTATAGTAAGGGATTGTAGAGTCGCATAATAACTGTTGAGTATAAACGCACTACATTAATTAATATCTAGATACGATCATATCCTTTACACAATTTATCTTAATATCTCTTAATAGTCACCGGTTCAACTCAGTTAACACTGGCAATACCGAGGACAACTCATTATGATATTTCAATTGAAAAGCATCTCCGTGCAGATTTAATTGATGAAATGCATATTATGTGTGTAGTCTTTGAGAATGGAATATAACCAGACATAGATACTGGTGAGAATAAATAACTTGTCGCAAAATAATACTTATTTTTTTTAAACATAAATGACTTAATATTTACATGATAGACTAGACCACTCACCGTCGCTTCGCTCGGGTTCGTCCCTAGGTACATTTTAACCCTTAGTATGGAAAAGATAGACCGAATAGGTATGATGAGTTGTGCTAGGTTGTGTTATATTGTATTTTCCCGTAGGAATGAAATAATCTCCCGCGGCAAGAAATAGCCTATGTCACTCTCCGGCCCTCCAACTATCTCCATAACTGTCTCTAACTATCTATAACTATCTCACACAAAAAATCACGCCAATCCGTCTCTCTGTTTCGAGGTGAAAAGAGGACAAACAAACAAACAAACAAACACACTTTCACATTTATAATATTAGTATGGATAGTATAGATACATACAAAAGGCCCTTCAGATAAGATAATTTAATTAAAAAATATTAAATTAATTATTAATAAAAGCTTAATGATTTGATACATTTTTTCGACTTTAGCCATACGAAAGACGTATCTAAACGAGCTTGTAACATATTTTACCTGAGCAACGCCAGGTACTAAAGATTTAATAACTACAATGATATGGCATTGAAGTACTTACGCTGATAGATAGCACAGGCCCAACTTTATACATAGAGTATCGGTAAGAAAATTGGCTGATGTCCTGCAAAGTTGTGCCGCACGGTAACTTGTGACCAATTTCTGCCATGATAAAGTACGCGAACTCCTCCATCCGTTTCGGGGTACCTCCCATACACACGAACTAGGAGACGAGAAAATTAATATTAAAAAACAAAAATACGTATAATTTCTATACATTTACAGAAAAATAATACAGGTCAATTGCCTTAATCATATATTGACTGATTCATTAATAATTTTTATATTTTGTCAATATAATTACATTAACAAAATCTAAAAAGATAGCACTGTCTCTACTCTGAATGTTCTTTATAAAAGCTAAGTAAAAGGGTAAAACGTTTAGACTTAGTCACACCTTAACGTCTCCAAACATCTCTACGAGATCATGAGAGCCGCTGCCCAGTGCCAAGTGGTAGAGTATATCTTGGTCCATGAGTTCGATGTTGGAGTTGCGTAGCCGCACAGTGCCATCGGGATACCTTTAAAAGTTAACAGTTTATAAGTATAGTTCACATAACTGTTTCTGTTTCTATGACACCGCTATTTAACATTGGACTTTGATAATAATTTAAAATCAGACAAAATCAGACATTATCTAGTTCTCGAAGTATCGATATTTTTTACATAAATAGCGCTTAACACATCTTATCGGTTATCAAGATTATGTCTCTCAACTTGTAATGATAAACTTTGATTTTTTTTTCCTTTTTTTTACACTAAAATTAGGCGACATCTGTAACGCCGCGTTGACACGATCAAAGTCTGCTTTGACAAAATAGTTTTGATAACTTATACTTTGGTCGTGTAAATGAGCAATCAAAGCGCACTTTGACGTCGCCGTTCAAAGTAGACTTTATGAAAGAGAACTTCGTTTCAAAGCTTTTTGTCAAAGCAGACATTGAGCAATGTCAATAAGTATCCCAGTAAACTTTGATCGTAGCTACTTTGTCAAAGCAGACTTTGAACGTGTCAACGTGGCTTTAGAAATATATTCTATTTTCTTTATTTTTAATCATATTCGTTCATTTATGTAAAATTAGCCTAATAGGTCTCGATATCGATCGTCTTCACTATTTTAAGTGTATCACGAAATTCCACAACACCATTAGCTAAACAAAACATTTATAATTTGGAATATATTTATACCTGCCCTATGCGCCCGGTATAATGAGTTACCCCTAAAACAACACAAGGAAACAACACGGGTATGACTAATATACAAGTTTGTAAAATTAGAACAGACAGTGTTCTGTGACAAAGATATTAAAAATTCAAAATGAAAATTCACAATGATTTGTACCTAATGTATCTGATATTTCTTTTCAACCAAGTACAAGTTAATAATAAAAACATTATTTGTTTATTTTAAGTACTCCCTCGTTTATTTTTAATATTAGCTCGTTGCTACGTTAAGCGATAAGTTACCTACATAACATACTTTATTAAGAAAGTATATATGTATCAGTTTATCGATGTAGGTAATCGATTCAAAAGTACAACCTAATCATATTGTCGTCCGCTTCTTCTGTATTGTTAGGTTGAAATTCTTCGTTATCAAAAACCTTCCTGTGTGGTGTGTGATATCCATTTTGTTGTTCGGATGAATGGCAATCATTCTTCGTGCTGCCATTGTGATCAGAATCTCCATTCAAAGAGACAGCCCCGCGTTGAGGCATTGTGGATCCCGATATTAATGACTGGTAATAACGAAATAAAAAGAAAAAATTATTCCGGTTACTTACTCGCGAGCATATTATAGGTAGAGCAGTTTTAAAGAGCAATTGATTAAATGAAAAAAAAAATGCGAGTAGTTAGAAAATATATTTTTACTATTTTATTTTTCTGATAAGTACGTTTTATCTGCTAACGTAATCTACAATGTCAGCGAGTTCAATCTATAATACCATATAATTATCTATATTAGATAGCAGTACAGGCTTACATTTTTCAGGGCAAATATTATGCACAGAGCACACATACACTTGAATCAAATGTTTAAGAAAAAATATTAATATTAGAGAATAAGTATGGTGAAATGACATTTTTATGTGATCTAGGGTACCTATTATATGAATTTAATTTGGAAAAAAAAATTAAATATTCAATAACATTACGATGTTATCATCATTATCACATGTTAGTAAATATAATGTGTAAATAAATATAAATATTATGTACATCCATCGCGTCGTTGAAAATATTAGCAAACAATCCGATCAAGGTTACTGAGTAACTGTTTCATCTACACATAGATACCTAAATGAAAGGACAGTATAAGATAACAGTGATCGAAGACTGTATGAAATATTTACGTTGGTACTTGGTACTTTCATGTCTATCAATTTATTCAAATATAATAAATTATACTAAACAATACAGTATAAATTTTAAATGTAAATTTTAAATCGACCATTAATGTTAAAATACAAGTGAAATAATATTTTGCAACTAGTAGTCATTATTGCACAACTATTACTATTATATTTCTAATTAAATTCTAAAAGGAACTAAAGCATAAATTTAAATTATCTTCATTATTCAATCAATCTAATAAAGTACCAAATAAAAAACACCTTCAATTAATGATCTATTATTACACACAGTAAATTACCTTTTTTTAATTAAGAGCTTTAATTCACAGTATTTTAAGCACTGAATTCAAAGAGAATAAAAATGAAAAACTTACCGTGCAAAGTATAAACACACAAAATTTATTTAACCTCTACTAGTAGAGCACTGAACGAGAACGTAGCGCTGCGTCAGTTTCCCGCAGACAAATAAGATTCATACAGCTCAGCTCACAGCTGGGACTCTCTAAGCAACCATACAAACGCTTAATCCCACCGAACACACATGTGCGGATAGTTCTACGGACTCGAATGAATAAATAACAATACTTTCATTTATAAATGTTGTTTAGTCCGAGTGATAAATAAAAAAAAAGTGAAATTAATTTAAGTTTACTTGATATAATAAGATATAAATAAACATATAATCTTTACACTACTAAATGCTTGAAAAGCAACGTCGCTTAGATACATATATTATTTTTGGGTGTCGACTTGTTGACTTAGGACGTGAATCGTCATATGCGTTGCTTGGCTTGACAACATTAGTTAGTTAAAGAATCCGCAGTCTGCATAGTATGTATCAATGGTCTAAGCACGTTGCCACCACAATCAATAATTGTGCTGTCTGTATTGTTAAATATATGTATTAGGTCCTTACCTACATATAAAATTGGTGATTTGTCGAACTGACCACTTTGATCTCAAATATCTGGCGTTTTGTTAGGTTTTTTAATTTATTTCAAACTAGCAGAACCCGCGGCTTCGATCGCGCTAAAACCACAAAAATGCTCTAAAAATTAGGTTTCACACAAATTTTCAACCCCTATTTTACCCCCTTATGTGATAAATTTCGAAAAACGCTAAAACACGTATTCATTTAATTGTATTGAAGAACCAGGTTTCAAGTAATTCTGATTATAAATATTTTTTGGGTTGTACCTATTATACCGTGTTTTCCCGTGGGAATGAGTTAATATCCCGCGGTAAAAAATAGCCTATGACACTCTCCAGCCCTCCTACTATCTTCACACAAAAATTCTCACCAATCCGTCACTTTCACATTTATAATATTAATTAGTATGGAAGTATGGATGTAGCCTTGTGTATTTGTGTTTCGAATTTAGTGATTCATAAGTTTTCGCGCCATTTAATTTTTCTTTGACTGTTCACAATATTGAAAACTTAAGTATCTCGTTATTAATGAATACAAGTTCCACCGTGGCACCAGCGCTGCAGAAAGCTCGAAGGATTATTAATATGGATGAGGAAGCTACTGTAAAAGAAAATACTGTACGTTTTTCGTTCCAACATTTTCGTTCTGGCCTATAGAACAAGTCCCGTGGACGACCGGAGACCCTATTTGACCATGAAGAATTAAAAGTGATCGCGGAAGCGGATCCATCACAACCCACAAGAGTTAGCTTAAGAGTTATCAATAGGTTTTCGAAGAATCTTTTTTTCCTCATTAATTATTAAATAAAATTGCATTTACTTTTTAGACCATGGCACCCCTTGAAAAGGCACTTCATTTTAAACTTTAAAGTATGTAATTGAATACTCCTTGCAGTTAATATTTAAAGTTAAACATACTTTTAATTTTAAAACAATGCTCTTTGGGTATAATAATAATGTCATCTACGAGGGAAATATATATAGGTATAAAATACAGTGAACAAATGTGCTCTGTCTCACAGTTTTACAGGACGGTAATACAACACGATGAGAGAGAGGTATGCCACAACCAACTTCCCTGCTCTGGGATGCTAGTGAGAATTATATTACGACCAAAAAACATAATAAGATTTTGAGAAAACCCGGAATTCGAACTAACTACTCGTGATTTATATCAGGCTAGGCTACAGATTAATAAAACCAACACGTACCTATTTAGCAGTGTGTACTTACTTCTTCTTATACATCTTTATGACATATACATACATATACTTTTATTAAAAATTTCAATTTAATATACATGCCCTGCACAAAAAATATGTAAGTGCCTAGTTATATATTTCGTGTCTTAATGTATATAAGTAGATATAAATATACTAAATCTCTTTAACATAGTGATTTCAAAAGGTAGTAACATGTTGAACAAATTTATCATGAGACAAAAGAAACAGCGATCTAGAATAACGTCGAAACGACTCTACTTACTAAATTACATATAATCATGTACTATTCGGCAACACTTAAATCCGAGTCGTATAAAAAATTAGACATAATTTTGGAACGCGATATCGTAGTACGAAGGAGAAAAAAGTGAACCACATACTTTTTTTATAGGTAAAGCAACAATTAAACTAGGTTACTGCTTATAAGAGGTCGAGTCAAGTTCACCTAGTTTTCACTCTTCAGTGACTAAACTGTTATTGTTTACCGACGCAACAATGCCTAAAAGTAATAAAATTCCTGTAATGAATTAATAAATCAACTATGTATCATGTAATTTTAAATATTCGTTTCAGATTTTTTCAGATGCGCTGCCGTTTATGTAATGATAATCTATAAAAGTTCAAGGACGTACTTAACAATAGAAAACAAACCAAATAATTATATTAAAATTTATTTAAAAAAGACATTATCGAGTTGCTAGCTTGTTAAATTATAAGTACCCAAAGATTTGCAACGTAAAACAACATAAGTTTTACAGATATTATTACCTATATATAATTGCAATGTTTTTAAAGATACTTACTCGTCGCGAAGCTCATCATTATCGAAGGACATCGTTATTGGCACACACTAGCACTACCACGAATAGATATAATTGGATTATGTGTAACAAAACTGTGTAGGCGGATCGATGGGTGCAGCGACCCTAGCAAGTGCTGCGCGACTGTAGGTCCTCTCCGCCCAGACGCGGCAGGGCGCGGATGCGTGGAAGCTTGCGCAGTTTGTTTCCTATACCACATCGACAAACAGAACGCAACATAAGTGAATTAAATGTTTACTTAAATATACTGACTGGTTCAATACACGATATTAAATATCACATTTGAAATGTAAACGCGTAACTTTAAGCGTTTCGCAGTTATCTGTACATATTAATACTTAGTATATCGCATATCTTGATAACGCGTATAAAATATTTTTGCAATTTCTTATTTCTGATAAAATCACTCAACTGTGTGTCTGTTTTCCCGCCTGGTTAACACTATTTTCTTTGAATCTACTTGATGAAAACGAAAGAAAACAAATTCAATTGTTTTAAGATTTGTACAAATTCCAGGGACTAATACCCTCGCTCCGCTTGCCTTCGTCCCTAGTTACGTTTTAACGTTTAGTATAGATTCCTCAGAGATGAGATATTTGCCCGCAGTAAAAAGTATCCAAAATGTTGACCCGAATAACCAGCTATCATCATAGCAAATTTCATCAAAATCTGTACAGTGGTTTTTTCATGATGCGTTCCCAGACACAAACGGACACAAAAAATGTAAAAACTATAAATTCGGCTTATGTATCGATAATAAAGACTATTTCAATAAGCTTTTATAAAAAATATTTAATGTACAGATTCGACTCAATTATATAGGTATAGATATAGTATATGTATGATTAAATTATTCTAATAACGCGCAAAAATCCAGTAACTGCATAACGTAAATGTATAAATTTTAATTTTTAGAAGTATGTCATTTTCGAGGTCAAACTCATAAAATTAAGTGTTCTATTTAGTTAGTTTTTATTTTATTATACAAAGAAATTAATTTTTATTAATATAATATTTTTTTTAAATTGTAAAATGCCTACAGTTAAAAAGATATTAAATAATATGTAACAAAATCGGGTAATCTTTATCTACCTAACCTACCTTCTTTATGTACCTAAATTCTGAACTAGAATTCGAGAAAAATCAGATAGAACTTTAATTTCCTTAGTATTAACTCACACTTGGCAAAATTGGTTTTCACTTATTTATTTATTTACACTTTATTGTACACCACAATCATGAAGTAAATACAGTTAACAAAATATAAAACAAAAACAAAAGTGTGCACAAAAGGCGGTCTTATCGCTAATTAGCGATTTCTTCCAGACAACCTTTGGGTTAGGCAATATGGAAGACTATTAATACAGGGTGGATGGTGTAAATATTAAATATTATATACAATACATACCATGATACAACCTAATACTTAGAAATACTACACATATATCTATATATAATATATATATCTATAAACTAAACTAATACATATTTAAATTATAATTAATATAAATGATTGTACAATGTCGACTTTTTATTTAGAGAAATGATCTAGAAAATGATTATGAACAGATTTTTTAAATATTTTTAATGTTTTAGAACGTTTTATATCAACAGGCAAACTATTCAAAAGTTTGGTTGCTTGTACAGAGTAGGAGTTCTCGAAGAATTTACTTAAATGTACAGGTATTCTTAGCATCAAATTATCTGAAGATCTTAACCTATTTGTATGAGTTCCTAGAAATTCAAACTTCTCCTTTAAATAAGGCGGATATGTTGGAATAAAAAACACACAGTACAGAAGAGAGAGAATGTGTAGATTCCGGCGAACTCACTTTGTTGTTAACTCACTTTGTTCTGAGAATGAGGTAAAGCTCAAAATTTATCAATTCCTAGAAAATTTTAGACATATGTTATTTAGTTACAAAGTAACATTCGATAAACGCTTTAGATAAAAACGAAACAAGTTATATGTAATGCTTAACACTCTTTATTCTAAATAAATTCACATCAATACAATGACATTATTATATTCTCATATGATTGCATATCACATTAAAAATCAAATCTGAAAAGCTATCAGTAAAAATTATATGAGACACTTAATGCATTGCAAAAAGAATAAAAGATAGGTAAACTACATACAACATTGTAATATTTGAACTGGATCAAATAAAAAAATTATAATAAAGAAAACATAATGTATACAAAATGTAACATTAAAAGCATTACAAAAACAAAAAAACTGGGAATTGTAAAAATTAAAGCTAAAACAATAAAGTAAAATGATATGTTGTAAATTATAATTCTAATGAAATGGCAAGGCAGTCGATGAAATGAAAAGTAAATGTGTTTAGAAGGTAAATGTTACGCCAAAACGAACTTTTAAGACCTAAAGGAATATATTGTAAAACATTCATCTAATTATGTTATTGACTAGGAAAAAAAATATACAACTTAATTGATAAGTCATCACCATACAAAAATCACTAAAAAATCAGACAAGGGTATTGAATATATATACTACAATGAAGTCATCGAAGCCCATAGGATACCTTGCAAATATGCATAATTATAAAGCAAACAAACGTCTTCAATTATTAGAGCTCTTATACTGAATTAACAGTCATAATATAACTTTATAAAAAGCATACGATATTTAGTACTTCATATTAAAGCAACGTCTTAACGTTAAATAACAGATATAATTTTAAATAAGAATTTAAAACTCACTTCTTTTAACTGCGGATAAATTGGAAAGCAATCACAAAATGGACAAAAGCTAGATTTAAAATAATATTTAAAATATAATGATTTGTTTATATTTAATATTGTATTATCGGTTATCCTTCTTCAGTGTGAGCAATGGTAGTTTGTTAGCTCATAGGTAGTTTCATAGCTATCGAGTATGTGTAAACAAAAAATATTTTATTCTTATTATGTTATTACCAAAAGAATACAAACATAATATAATAAGATTTCTTTCATTTTATAATGACGATATAATTATTTTCAGTTAATATTTGGAATAAGAAACGAAATAGTCATAGCAGCTGAAATTATTTACCAATCATACATGACAATTTTAGGTTTTTAATAATAATGATCACGGCTTATTATTCAAAAAAATTAAGAAGGTAATTATTCGTACCCCAAGTCCTCGTCCGAAATACCAAATTTAAATTATAGCGAGACAAAACTCCTGCTTATCACAGCAATTAAATGTAAGTATGTATAGCTTAAAAAGACTTTGGTATTATTGGAGTACAATTCATGAGAATAATAGAATAAATGCGCGAATTGTGTTTCAATAGCACACCCAAAGAAACTGAACAATTGTACCAGAAACAAAATGAAGTTAATTTAGCAGAAACATAACATGTTCACTTTCTCGAGAAACATTTGGCCTTCACAGTTACGCGAGGTAAGACTAAGCAAATGATATATGTATATTATAAGGCCTTATCTACAATTTTAAACATTTGATAATGTCTTTTGTAACATATTTACGTTCAAATCTTCATAGGATATTTACATCAAAATTCAACCGTGCTATTTTATATCGTTGAATAAGAATATGAGAATTATTTCATTACAGATATTCAACTATCCACATCACTGGTGGTCACGAAACTAATTTGTCTACAACGCATTTCAAATTAAAACAAAAATTTTAATACAAATAATTTTGTCTAGGAAATATAGCGTGGGGTTCCTTGTAGTTGGGATCTGGTTGATTGCGGTACCGTCGAGCGAGCCACACTGCGAATAGCTGAAAATATACAATACTTATGAGAATGAATAATTTATTTAAACTTTCGTAAATTATAATTCTTCTTAGCTAATTAGCAATAATAAACAATAAGTGCCAATATAGAGTAAGGTCAAGGAGAATACTATCACCATTCATTTTTCATGCAATTGAGCTTAACACAGCACTTGCGGATTGCGATTCCATTTATACGAACTTGAAAGTACGTCGTAACCGTATTTCTTAAGTAACAATTTAAGCCTTTACGTCATTTAATCAAAAACAATGTAATCGCAGACGTAATTTAATAATATGAAGTAATAACATCACACGTCGTTATTAGAAACATGTTCCGTATACTATGATAATATGATCTTTATTGTATGATAAATAAATTAGAGTAGAAATATTATAAACAGAAAAGTGTTATTACAATATTTTTGATAAATAATTTATTGCGCGCAAGTCCAATGTAAGCATTGGTATGAATATAGCATCTAATCATGCCAAGCGTTAGAGGTTTGCCAATTTATTCTTGCCTCCATAATAAACTAATAACGTAAACAATAGTATTGTGCACTACGCTTTTAAAACATCAACAGTACCTAAATGAAAAGTTTCGCAAATATACAGTCAACTTTATAAATTAAAGACTGTAAAATAAAAAGAAAATCTACATACTTACATAAATTATACATGCAATCATAAAACAAACAATAATAGTTATTTTGCATATTGCAGTCAAATTTTTTTAATAACATTAACTAATAAGCAAACTCATTTGTGATACCATTTTAAATAAAAAGTTTAAAACGCGAGGACTAACGTGCATTATGTGATTGGATAATTGAAGCTGTGTGCTAAAAACATGCAATGTAATATTCAGATCTAATAAACAAATACTTAAGGCCTGATTCACATGGCATTTTTTTAAATATTTTAATAAAATCTTAAAATATTTTAAATAATCTTTTGTGTCATGTCCATAATTGTTCTGACCAAAAAGAAACAAAAAAGATTATGTTGTTTAATACACAAAATTATTGGTTGCAAATATTTGCCATGTGAATAGACTTTTAAGTACTCGACCAATCCACCTTATATCATTAATCCAGAGACCATTCACAGAAATGCACTTGGGTTAGCACGCGGGTCCTTTTGGTTTCGATATCTAACCGTCAACCAAACACCCAAAAACTGTAAAGACCATGTTGTTAATCACAAGAAGATGCCCATTGCACAGCCCAGAAAATGTGTTATTTTGTTATTTACAGAATAATGTTAATCTCTAACATTACTTTGCATGACTATAACCCCTACTTTAGTAATGTAAATACTCAAAGTCATATTACATAATATGTTAAATGATATATCATATTTTGATATCTTAAAGTCCATTACAAATGAAATAATATTTATTTTTTTCTTTAAAATGCAATCATGATTAATTGTAGTTAATAATAAATATATTTTTATAAATTGTGTGAAAATTCATTTACAATAATCATAATAATGAGTGATAAGGAATTTAACATCGTTGGATTCCATCATAATATTATGGTTTATTCATCTTCTTATCTCTTTTCGACGTGATAACTTAGTTAAATAATTTAAAGATAAGAGTAGCAATTGCGTAACAAAGGCAGTTAAACATGAACAAATAAACATTTTGAACCTTCTTTTATATGAATAGATCTAATTTAATTTAACCCATATTGCCATATTTTTTTATATAAAAATAACCTAGGTTTTTTAGGATTTTTAAAAGACATACCTCAGTAAAACTGAAGAAAAGACCAATACCCCCACAAAGTTTAAATGCATAATCAATGGTTTCCTTAAGATTTTCCATACATGGCTGACACTGACATTCTGCAGATATGGGCATATTTTTGCAGCATGCTCTCTGTAAAAAATTATATGTTAAAAATATTGTTCTATGTTAATTTTAAACATTCTTGTTCAATGCAATTCATGTATATGTATACTTAATTAAGTACATACACATACAATTAAATTTTGCTTAAAAATTAATAAACATTCATTTATTAATAAAAAAGATTATGATATGAAAATTTTATATCAATACTTAATTATAGTAGAAGTAAGGTAAAAAATATAATTTCATTTACATTAGGAGATAAAGATAAAAAGTTTGTGATGATGATGAAAGGATGTGATGATCTCACATCCCTTTACAGATCAATACAATACTGAATAGGCATTTAATTTTAAGCAATTATCTAAATTATATCTTCCCCCAAAATAATAAACTTTATTAATCAGATCATGAGATGAAATGTAAACTTAGGAAGTTAACTTATTGAAAAGTGAAAAATGCTTTACTCAAACTAAACTACAAAAGAAATTGTGTAAAATAAAAAACATATATAATAGTACATAAAATTACTAAGTGAAATTATGTTAAAGACAAAGATAAAATTAACAAAACTATTGATATTTGTCAAAAATCGACAAGCAGTTATAAATCTTACATCAACTGCATTGCAAGACGGGTAATCAATAGTAGCATTATTAGGCATTATTCTGCCTTGGAAGCCACAACATTGGAACCGCTCCTGTACTTGCTGCTTTACATCCATGTCAACTTTATTCCAGCCCTAAAATACAATATAAGAGTGAAAATTCAATTTAAGCCACTACTAATTTATTCAATATGGAATGTTTTAGTTTCATCTTAGTTTTAATAGTTTTTTTAATTGTTACCTGTTGAGCTAGCATCTCTTGTTGTTCAGAATTTACAGCCAAACAAGCACAAGCGACTGAAAATTGCACTAAAAACAGTAAGAAAAGTATAACCATGTACTGTTTTGTCAATTAAGGAATATTTTTTTTTTTCATAAAATTGAATAATTACTAACATGATATATACATGCATATACTTCACCATTGGGCGAAGTTTTAAAATAGAGTTATTCATATCTAATACAAATACTTTTTGTCAGATAAAAAGGATACAAAGAACAGCATAACTTGATGATGTTTAACAGCTCCAGCTAGACCCAAAAGTGATATTAATATAAGAAATACTCCACATGCCAATATTCCTCCTAATATGGGCAGATTTGTCACAAGTGACGATGCCTGCCCGTACACCGCCACTGATATGAGAATAGAAGCCACCACCTGTCAAGGTTTACAAAACATTTAGTCAACAAACATTATTTTACCAAAAAGCATTCAAATAACAAAATTGATTACTCACCACATAGAGAATATTTAAAGCAATCAAAGCATTTTTTGAACAAGTAAATCCTCCACACATTCTGAAGATAAATTTCTCTACACAATGGCTATGTACTCTTTCTTGCTCTTATTCTTGGATAAACAGAACAATAAATTCGGGAATGTATACTAGTTTAAAAATTTAATCAAGACAAAGTCTCATGTGATGTAATCAAACTATTAATTTTTAGTACATATAAAATTTCTTTAAATTAAATTAGGACTTTTACTTTTCTTTTACAGTGCACATTGAACATTGAACAATGCACATTCACTAATTCGCATCACACATATAGGTACTACCTATCTAGGTACAAAAGTAATAAGCTCCCTAGAGTAAATGTCTAAATTCTAATGTCAATTGTCATGCATGACACAAGCTCCGGTATAGATATTATATTTAGCCTGATACACACAGGTCCGCCCATCCAGCGGTTATTATTCATTTAATATTAAAGTAACAAGTAGAGTTTTTTATTACAAAGTTTCTTATTTTACATTTTATTTAACATATTGGGCAATTCACGTGAAGCGGACAGAAAAAATGTGAGGTACTGAAATTCGTTTAGTATAGATAGAAAATATACTGTTCTTTTTTTATTTTTAATAAAATTCCAAATTTAAATTATTATTCTTTGTTTTAAATAGTCCATTGAAATGTTACATTTTTTTGGGCTTAGCGTGCATTTGTCAGAGGACGCAATTTTATTTTTTAGATATCAAGGAGGGGTTTGTGTAAAGTTAAATCCAAGTTTGTGGGTTTGCAGCCCTTGTCCCACGGCCGCCATCTTGGAAAAAGGGGTACGAATGGTTTTTATAGTTTATCTTTATCTGACAAACTATAGATCTGACAAAAAAAATTGTTAAATCATTTTTGGTTGCAAATAAAATTCTCTACAACTTTGGTCAAGTCGTAGGACCCAAGATAACAAAGTTATAAGCGAAAATCGGTGAAAATTTAAGATTTTTATTTCTATTTGTCGTTATAACTGTTTTTCTGATCATTTTACAAAAAAATTATATCAAACCATTTTTATAGAAGCGTATTTAAGGAATATTTTCATTACAAACTTTTTAAATTTTATTCATTAATTAAGGTTTTACAGAGCTGCGAAACGAATATACTATTCTTCAGTATTCATAACTATACATAAATATTATTGATTCGCCATAATTTTCAATCTTCTTTTTATTATTATGATAATCTTTTTAATTATTGATAATGCAATATTGTTATTAAATAATTATTGACTCTTTTCCCCACCACCTACGAGGTAGAATCTGGAGGCACGTTTTTTTACGTGATATAATTACTCTGTCCTCAGTCTTTTTGATGGACCAGGTTGTGGCTCAGGATCTGGTTGACCTTCTATATCAAATACTTGAGGGAAAACCGCCGAAGGAAATGAATTTTTATTACTGCAAAAGTAAGCTTAATATATATAAACTTTGTCATAAAAATTACAGAATGTGATCTTAATTAGTTTAGGAGATAAATCAATTGTTAGAGTATGTATATGTCGCACTGAGCGCTAGCGCTTGTTAAAGCCGGCTGGTTGATGTGAAGAAAACGTTGATTATATTTCAATTATATTGAGTATATATTTTTTCCCTACCTATTAGTGTCATTATAAGGTTATTTAATACCTTAATTTAAAATAAAATGCATTATTTTGAACAAAAATATGTGTAGAAAGCAAGATCAAAATAAAACATTAAATATCGTGAATATTTTCCCATATTGTGACAACGAAATAAGAATAATTACGCCATCTATTAGTTTCGAAATGAATTACTTCATTGAACGAATCAGTTATTTAATAGAAAGAGATATTTCTTCGGGAATGAACTAAAAAAATGAATAAATCCGCGAAAAAATCCGAAAAGAGAGTTTTATTTAAAATGTCAAATATTCGCGTAAATCTAAGAAAGTATTAAGGCATTAACATTTTAGAAATAAGAGTAACAATGACTTAGAATATAATTTGACCATCACGCCACAGAACAAGTGTGGTGACTGAAGAACAAGAAGATAATGATGATGTGGTACCTAACTTATTACTAAATAGTTCTTGTTAATATTGAATTTTACAAATCCATGAGAGTAGTAGTAAAAGTAAAAGAATCGTAAAAAATATTAAAGGATCAAAACAGTTTAATTGCCAGACGGCGACTTCTGATTTACGCACACACGCGACAGAGCGCTACTGCGTGCGCCAAATGCCTAATTTCGCTCATTTTGATTTCGTATACGGCCTCTTAAATGACGGAACCTAATCCTATATGCATACGTATAACAGTCGGTTATGAGTTATCTCACTGGCTAGAAAAGCCAGCACTACCTACTTAAACCAAACGAAACCTTCACGTCTTAATGGTCTCAACGCCACAGGATCACTTACGTACTTACTTAACCGCGATGCTCCGTCGCATAGCCTGCCATACAAGATATAACGGGTGTTTGCTTTCACGGTTGTCTGTTGTCAGAAAAATAGCAGGAGATAAGCTACATGCCTGGCTTGATTGCCAGATGCTAGTGAGCTTATATTCCTTTTGTTGAACGCATATTTGGCTAGTCTTAACCCATAATTTTTAAATATTTTTGGAATAAAAGTAGTTCCATTAATTTCATCCAAAAGTCCTATAAGCCTAAATGAATGTCCCGCTCACAAAGAAAGAGTTAAAAAGATTCAAAATAAGCTATTAAATTTTCGCACTTAAGATTACGAAATGAGGTTTATTTTGAAATCACAGTGTAGATTCCATCACATGAAACTATCAGCTACAGTTCAAGTAAGCATATAAATAAAATCGATACATTTTCTACATTTTTATTAATTTTGTTGCTACTAACCTATAATCATTATGTTACTCACTTATTTTTACAAATTTTAAGCTTTTTCTTCCATTAAAGGTTCATCATGATCAAGTTCCTTTATCTCTTTTAATTTATATTCGAAGAACTGTTTCCTATGAATCAGTGCTATATGTGGCTGTCTTAAGCTATAATTTTCATTGCCCAATTTGGTATACTTCTTTTGTCCCTCATTCCCCATTAGTTCTCTTAAAGCTTGGTTTCTTTGTAACAATTTTTCATAAAATATTATACCACCTTCAATGTATTCTGGTCCAAGCTCACACAACTTCTTATCTACTTGTGTCTCATAATGTACTTCTGTCATATCTTTAAAAAGAAAATATGAACCTATACTAAAAAACCCAATTATTGAATATAATATTCCTCTTAAAGCTTGTGGTGCTACATATAAATTAAGTCTCCTATTCAAATATTGCGATAAACTATAAGCAAAAAACAAAGTTATAAATGGATAAGTTGATTCAAACATAACTTTGTTATTTTGAGTCATTAATATTTCTCTGCAAATTGCGAATTCCTTTGCTTTTTCTGGTAAAATAAGAGACTCTCCTAATTTTCTCCCAACTTCTGACGCCAAATCCAAATTTTGTTGGTTAATCTGAAAATATGTTTATTTATGAATCAACAGATTTATATTTTCTTTATAAATTTCATTTCAATTTTATATTTTAAACATACCTGTATTTTCTGTTTATCAACATCATCTAATGAATAGTATGTGAAATTAATTGGTATTCCTATTAATACACCAAATTTAGAGCTAGTGCTACCTGTAATAAAAACTTATTTTAATTTTCTTAACTTATCAAATAACTCTTTTTATATAATTTATCCAATCGTAAATTGAAGAATTTTTTGTGATTGATAGCAGTTATTGCGCAAGTTATGCTATATTTAAAAGGCTATTCTTACCGGCATGAAATAAATCGAAACCAAACACACTAAATGGTTGAATCAATTTCCTTTGTACGTCTTTAATTTGTAGAAGATCTAAACATTTCTCACATTTTTTCTGTAGATCTGTTGGGAGATCAACTGGTTTACCATCACTGTTAAGAATTATTAATTAATCAATATTTAGTCGTTATAATATTAAATAAAATTCATACATTACATTTTGTTTTACCTGTAGTGGTGTACAAAATCTTTATATTTGCTTATTAATAGTGTATGAGGAGTAAATTTAGCCGCAGTAAGTGCAATACCGGTGCTTGTCACAACAAAAAAAGAAAATTTGCGACCTTGGTCAGTTAAGAACCACGAAATAGGCTTTCTGGATGTCATTATTTTCCAAATATTTATTTATTTTACAAAGCGAAGTTTATAATATTTACATATATATGTACTGATTTTATTTTCAATATCATTAGCTAAGGTCGATACGTTTAAGGTTATGGTAACTATCATGGATGACAAATAAAATGGTAATCAAAGAGTATAGATATATATGGTAATTGGTAACTATTATGGACAGCTAGGGCTGTTGATAAAATATCAATATATCGAACTATCGATATTATCATTTAGAAATATCGATATTTATTACTAATATTTTTTTGGACGATATATCGATAGTTCGATATGGAAATGTAGATATCGATGGTCGATATTTTTTACATATGGACATGGTTGCTACTTCGCAGTTAACTATTTTGCGCAATTTAGTCACGCTACTTAGTCCATTTAAAATAGTAACAGAAGATTTGAGTGCCGATATATATAATATATTATGTCACAGCTATATATAAATAATATAATATGTCACAGCTAGTTTAGTTATACCACTAACAAATTTATTAAAACAAGAAATCGAACAAACTAAGCCATCAACTGCTATTGGAGTGTCAGTACAAAATGATTTATTAAATGGTATTCAAAGTAGATTAGTGCCTTTACAAGAAAACCCGTTTTTTGGGCAAAGCAACTATCTTAGATCCTCGCTTCAAAAAATTACATTTCATGTCGGCATTGGCTGTTGCTAATGCAATCAGATCTATCAAAAGAAATAATTGCAGAACACAAAATAAGAGGAAATCGTTCACCTACAGTAGGCGCTTCTCCACGTGGAGAAAAAGAAACAACTTCATCCTTATGGGATAGACATGAAAATATGCTCTTGAAAAATATGGCCAATGCCAATGAAGGTTCTGGTAAAAGTTTTGGTACGATACCTGCTGAATTGAAGCAGTATTTAGATCAGCCAAAGATTTCAAGGTTATCAAATGCGCTAAAATTTTAGATCGATAGTAGGCTTTTTACTCCCGTGCTATCAGAAATAGCTGTTAAATATTTAATTTCTTCTGCTACATCTGTAGCATCTGAACTAGTTGCTTCTACAATGAATCTGTTAGTGCCTAATAATCGTAGTAGTCAAACAGCTGAACATATAAAACAAAGAGTATTTTTAAAAACTCTTACTAAAAAATATTGGTACACATGATTGTCTCACTTAAATTAAACAATAATTACTAAGAAGTAATTAGTGTTAGGATATGGATCCTAACATAACATACACACATAACAAAAGCATTTTTTTATCTTAAATTCATTTAGCTGGTCTAACTTACAGGTACAATACGTTGTACAGGTAAGATGTGAACACAATATAATAGTAAAAGAGTAAAAGTAAGAAAGATATCACAATAAATTGCCTAATCTCAGACTGAATGTAAATAGACCAGGCATACGTGTGGCGCCCCCCTTTCGAGACATCTTATAAAATAGAATCTGTGTGTTACTGTATTGTGTTTGACACAGTGTCACAAATCAGGAACAACAATTAACATGGTTTGACTTTTGTAAGTAAACAGACACTTACATTTTACGTAGTGGTTTCATTCTCTTTGTTATATTTGTTTAGATACCTATAAAATAGATGATATATGAATGTTTTTAATTTTTTATTATTCATACACACAGATTAAGGAGACAGGAGATCACTTCATATATCACACATGTTCTATAAATACCATATATGAAAAACAACTCTTAATAAGTTTGCATTTTGCAAGTTTTATTTTAAAATGGAAGATATTTTAAATGAATTATATAAATTACGCCTAGATTGTTTAAGCGATGATTGGGTTCAAAATATATTTGATTCTGAATTCTTAGAATATGGAGAAATACCTGGTGAATATGAGGACATATTGGAATCTCTTGAAATTAAAACAGTATTTCGAACTACTATGTCAGCTATAGATACTTGGCTTACTTCGGATTTTAGCAACGAAGAAGAGAAATCTTGGACAGTTCTGTCTCATCAAGTAAAACATCAAAGTTTATTAGCATTACTAGCCTATTATATAGATTTTGGTGGAAAAAATGTAGTGTCCAAAGAACACAGAAATAAAGCTTTATTAGCATCTAGATTTTACTATAAATTGATCTCAATTCCTGGGTATAAGGCTTATCATATTTATCATTCACAACTTTTTGCACATACACTTTTGTGTCTTAGCTATCCAAAAGCTGTGTGTGAAAGTGAAGAAACTTATTTCAATGCTAAAGAATTGACACGAGAAGTTAATTCTATTATCAAAGAGTTGAGTTATTTAGTTAAAGATTTAAGAGGAATAATTTCAAACTTACATTTAACCTCAAATGACATGAACTTTGAGGATATTCTAAGTAACTTGGTAGACATTACAGGAGGAGCTATTGTCAACAAACTTAATATAGGTATGATGAAGTTATAAAAATATTTGCACCTTGATATAGAATATAATTTTGATATCTCTGAAAAAAAAAAAACATAAAATATAACATATTTTGTTTTTTAGATCCTTTAGATCTAACATGCACAATTTTATTACATAGTTGTTATGAGTACTTATTTGTATATTTTTTTAAATCCCTACATTAACAATTTTATTTAAATAGACAAAATTGAATTGGCCAATTTGTCAGCTGCAATATATGACATGATAGACATTTTGGTAAGTGAGCCAAATGGAGCTCCGAATGCTTCAGCCATACAATTACTCTTTAAATGCTTGTTACCAAAATTAATAGCTGCGTCTGTGGATTGTCGTCATGCTAATGTAAGTACCATTTGCATATATTGCTTATAATTTTTTCTTATCCAAAATCCATTTTAGCATTTAAGTATCATTACGAAGAAAATATGGATAGATCAAAAAAGTTTGTCTATCTCTATATTTATCAAATATTATTAAATCATATTAATTAATTAATTTGTATTTTTTTATTATTCAATTGTAGAATGTGGTACGGGCCTCATATGTTACATATTCTGGACTTCTCTTAACTAATTATGGGAAAGCAGCTCTATCAGGTTATATTGTTCTACTACAACATTTATGTTTCACATTGGATGGACTAGTAAGGCATTTTCCCTTTAAAAAAATCATGATTTATGTTTGGTTTTTAGTTCAATTGTCTTAGCTCTAAGTACAACTGTTTCTGCTTTCTTAAAAATGATTTGTATTCTGCTCTATGAATGGCAGTACACAGAAATATAATGTAAGAAAAACTGTAATAACTGGTAATTTTTGATTTTTAGGAGCGTGCAGAAGTGAGATCTGCACGTGTATCACTTGTGGTGGGTCTAATGAGTATGCTAACAGGCAAAACATATAAAAAATTCGTAAAATGGCTGCTTAAATTATCAGCAACTGCAAAAGTGTCACATAGACAAATTGCTTTGGTATGTTATACTTTTAATAATCTTCTATATATGATGCATTATTTTAAAGTACATTTATTAATTACCTATTTTTTTAATATGTAAGGAAATGTTGGCTAAGCTACTAAATAACGACCCAGAACTAGTCAAGTCCAATCAATCTGATGAAAAGAAATTGATCACTCAAACAATCTGTGAAGGTAATTGACATATTTGTACAAGTTCGAGTCCTGTAATTTTATTTTAATCTAGCGAATTACCCTCGCTTCGCTCGTGTGCGCCGTTTTCTTAAATATAAGTAGCCTAAGGTACTCTATAACATCAACTATCTGCCAGTGAAAGGCCCGTCAAAATCAGTCCCGCTATCGGAGATTAGCCAGAACAAACAGACAGACAATTTTTTTAAAAATAGTGTTTTTCTTATTTATGGTACCGTATATAATTTCATATGCATTTAGCAGACAGATAGAATGACAGACAGATAAAAATTTTAAAAATTATGTTGTTCTTATAAGTGTGGTACCTACATTATTTCATATGCATTTAGTAAAAACCTATTACTTACAACATTACAAACAGACGCTTCAATTTTATTTATCTGTGTAGATAACGAAATTTTATTTGCGAATTCTTTAGGACAGCATAGTTCAAGTATATAATATCTGTCTATCTGATTATTCCAGCTAATCTCCGAAACGGCTGGATTGATTTTGAGGGGTTTAAAAAAACAAAACGTACCTAGGGACGCACCCGAGCGAAGCGAGGGTAAGTCTCAGTAAGTCAGTGAATAAAATTAAATAAATATAAATTAAAATATGAGTTGGAATCTAATGTGTAATGTGATGTTGTACTTCAAGTTTTGTTTTTTTAGACGACAGAAACAAAAACATTACTGAAGGAAATAATGCAAGTGGTAGTGTGGATAATCAAAATAATGAAGAACCACAACCCAGTACTTCTGCAGAATCACTGACAAGTACAGCTGAGCACATCACCACTGAAGACGAGAGCAGTCAAGAGCCTTTAGATGTAACACTATAAGCATTGAAATTCATTACACATATTGCATAGTCTATGCCTATATGCAAGCACATATAAAGCTTTCATATGAGCTCAAACACTAAAGTCCTAAAATACAAATAATAATTCTTATCACATTTATGTTATACTAGCGGAGTGAACCTTTACTCGGGTGTATCCCTGGGGATGAATGATTTAGGATGGCATAGTGGACAAATATATAAAGAAATATTCTTTTTTTGGGGCAGTTCTTTTTTGCAGGCGTACACAGAATAAGTCACCAAAGTTTCATCACAATCGGATGAATGGTTTAGAAACTCAGAGTACAAAGAACAATGAAACATTTTTATTTATATAGATAAAGTAGCGGCTTACCCACGCTTCGCTCGGTCGCGTCCCTGGTTCCAAACAGTCTGTGTACGCATTCAAATCCGTCAAGCTATGGGAACGATTAACAAACACACACAGCACGCACGTAAAAGAATTTTCGAATGCATAGCATTGCAATCGGATTCACTTGACAGTTTTGTACAGGTAGAATTTTCCTCTTTATAATATCGAGGTGACGCGTGACAATGTTACGAGCGGTATTTTATAGCAATGCTTTCTGTTTCGTAGCATTTTGCCCGCGTATTTAAATTATGTAGTATGGGTTTATATATTTTATTACCATTACATATTTTTTGCGTAAAAAAATACATGCATTCATTTTGGATCCTAAAAGACCATGGTCGCAGTGATTTCTGAAGCATTCCTGACGCCGCAACAAAGAATACATACATCCTTACAAACTTTCGCCCTTATTATATTAGTAAAACCTAAACCTACCAGGACAACATACCGGAGGAAGAGGTAGCGGGGTTGATGCGCCAGCGGACCCACACCATATCGCACAGCGAGGTGCTGCGTGCGGTGTACGAGCGCGTGCACGACGTGTCCAGCACGCTGCGCACGCGTGCACTCGCTATACTTTCAGAAGGCCTGCAGTCTGAACACCCAGCTGTGATTGAGGCTATAAAGGTACTCGTAGGGTTATGTTGTAGCAAATGAACACTTCTTTGTATATTATTATATCTTCTAGTCTTGCTTATTACGAGCTAGGGTTCTGGGATCGGAAATTAAAGCACGTCACTTAATTCGATTTCTCTCAAAAAAATATTTTGTTCCTCTCTCTTAGAACAATATATTTTTTATAATTTAATATTTCGTGGTAACACTTACCAGGAGCTCAACGGTGCCGGGGAGGTGTCACGGCTGGCGGCCACCGCGGCCCGTTGCGTGTGCGACGAGCGCGCCGTCGTGCGCAAGGCCGCCGTCACGCTGCTGCATCGCCTCATCACCACCACGCACTCGAGTGCTAGGACGCCGCTTGCATCGGATTATGCCGTGCGTTATTTTTAATTTGCCTAGTATTTTTGGTATTATATATATATATATATATATATATATATATATATAACGTTATGGTAATGTATAATTGTAAATGCAGTTAATTCTGGAAAGTGAATTTATAGAATGAGATAAAATAGAGGTTTGACTCATAAGTAAAATATAGTTTTACTTAATGAAGGTCTTATGCACACGGCGATTTTTAACGCAGTGAACGCGCTGCCGTTCTTATATATTATACTAGCGACTCGCCCTCGCTTCGCTCGGGTTCATCCCTAGCTTGATTCCCAATACAAACTTTCATGCCCTATTTTCACCCCCTTAAGGGATGATTTCCGGGATAAAAAGTATCCTATGTCCTTGCCAGGGTCTCAAACTATCTTTTTATCAAATTTCACCAAAATCGGTTCAGTAGATCCAGAGATTACCCCCTACAACCTCACATATTCACAAACTTTACCTTTTTATAATATTAGTATGGATGACGGCAAGTAATGTTTTCTTATTTAGGTCAGTCAGTAAAATATGCGTTGATGACTTGTTTACAAAAGTATGACGCTTTTCACATTAAAGTTGCAGGAAGTTAACTTGCAACACTAAATAAAAATAAGGGATTCTAAAACGACGCACATCATGTATTTGATACATATGTATTTGTATTACCCAATGCACATTAAAAAAGTCAAATAAACAATACATAATATAAAAAAGGAACCCTAATAAGATCATTCTCTTGTCCGTCTGTCCGTGTGTCACTACCGATTTTCTTAGGAATGGATGGATCTAGCAAGGACTTACTGCACAAATAAAAGAAAAATTTCAAAACAATAAAAAAGTACAAAACTAAAGTTAACAGATTTCCTAGAAATTTGTACGGAACCCTCGGTGGGCGAGCCCGACTCGCACTTGTCCGAATTTTTTTATAACTATAAAACGAAACGGCAGAAAATGTAGTTACGAGTTACGAGCAAACATTCCAGATGCTAGTGGGTCTGTGCCGGGACGCGAGCATCGTGGTGCGCGTGGCGGCGGTGGGCGCGCTGGGCGACGCGGCGGCGCTGCGGCCCGACCGCGCCGCGCTCGACGCCTTCCTCGCCGGCCCCATGCACCAGCTCTCGGACCCTGAGACTAAGGTAACGGTAACTATATATCTGCGATGAATATATTTATATTCTTATTTCTTAATGATAAAATAACAGATTTAAAAGAAAATAATATCTCTTGTGCTTCAATATAAATGATAATTAATATATATATTTTTATATATTTGTTTTTCTTATTTTTTTATTAAAGTGTTATAAACAGGGCTGCCAGATCGTATAATTGGGTACGAAAATTGTAAAATATGGTAATTTTATGTATACAGTCAAAATGACATCGAAGGAACCACTCATATTTGGTCGTAAAAACCAATAGTCGTAGCAGCCGGTGATGTTTTTAGGTATTTCGCTCTTCGGTAGGGGGTGTAAGAGTTTTCAGTTTTTAGTGCAAATTGGAAAATTACATGCATTAGTAATTAGTAAGTTGCAAAAAGTAACTAGAGTGTATCTCATAAAGGTATTTTATAAAATCGGTGATATTTTTAAAAGTGTTAAAAGATATTGATGACCGTTAAATTTACGATAATTATTTTAATAAAATTTAAAAAAGTTATTTTTATCATATATCTTCATATCGCAGATCCAAGAACAAGTGGTGAGTTTAATACAGCAGCTACTAATGGAACGGTTAAAAACGTACGAGCCGTCTGAGGAGGACGCGACGCCGTGGCTGTTCCTGGAGGGCATTACGCGGCACAAGATGAGACGCCATCTGCAGAAGGCTTGCACGTTGCTTGTTAAAGCCTCCAATTGTATCAAGTGAGATCCTTATAGTTAGACAGTAATAGAATACTAATAATAAGAGTCGATCAGTGGCAAAGTCAGTGTGTTGATTTTTGAAGTTATAGTTCTTTTGGCACGTTTGGAAAAAATTATGAGAGTAAAATTTTTACGATGGGCGCGTACACCGACAGCCAAAAAGCGACATAATGAAGTTAGCTGAAAGCGACATGATGAAGTTAGCTGCATTCCTTTTACAAACGGGAAGAAATCTTAGCTAATTTTTGTTCTGTTACGCCCTTCGATCAACAAACAATTCTACTGGATAACGTGTCACATAGAAAAGCAAAGCTAAATTCTGTCCGCGCGAATTTGTATTATATACAGCTAGTAGTTTGTATACGAACGAACCAAGACAATGTCTTATAATAGTTTTATTTTCAACCTAATCAACACCATAGGACCTTGTAATAAAGTCACAAATCTTCAAATTATCATCATACACTTACGATCATTTCATACGTTTTATAATCTTTATTGTAAATTCAACCTTATATTTAAAAAACAAAGCACTTTTTCCCGTTGTTGCTTTGTGAGCTAAATCGTTATGTTTTGTTTCTGTTTGCTTCTTTGAATTTGCGCATGTATTGGTCGACCTGGGCCAACGTTCTTAGCGGATTTAAAATTGTTCAAAATGACATTTTTATATTATTTCATGGGTTAAATATTAAAATATTGAATTAATCTACATGTACTTAGCAAAAATAAGACATTCTGTCCGAAAAATTTCTTCTTCGCACATTATATTTGCAACTTTTAAATACACATTGCGGCCTTTTGAACGTGTTTACGTTGGCATTGTTTCAATAGAACTAATCGAAATATACGCTCACTTTGCAAGTGGGCGTATATTTACCGAGACGGATTTCTTACGCCGACCCGATATCTAGTAGTATTGTTGTTTGAAGGTTACGCCAAAGAAGTAGAACTTCTTACGTGCGTACATAACTACCTACACACACGCTAATAGTATACTATCAAGAGGGTTAGGCAGTGACAAAGTGAGCATGTGTTGAATTTGAAAAGATAACCGATTTTATTTCATACGAATAGAATAACATTTACTTTTAAGCTTTGATTATATACTTCGCATTTTTTTTATTATTATTTTAGTTGAGTTTGCATTGCGTAGCTTATATCTTACACTTGAATTTTAAAGTAATCGTAGTCTTAAAAATTGAAAAAAATATCCAATAATAATTTTATTTAGCAGTGTTGCTATGAATCAATATTATAGTAATTAAATATCTGAGATGAATATATTTATATTCTTAATGATAAATGAACCAATTTAAAAAAAATATCTCTTGTGCTTCAATATCAATGATAATTTCTATTTTTTTTCTATAACTGTAGCCATCGTCTAGTGGACTTGCTAAGCACCCACTTGGGTGTGCTGGACGACGACAGGGACCTGCAGTGCCTGGTGCTGCTGACGAGCGTCGCCCGTCATGTCGAGTACTCGGATATTGGCTTCCTACTGGATTACTATTACAACCTGACTGAGAGACAGGTAACTGTTAATAATATTTTTAATAAATTGTGTTGTTTTATATATTGTGTTGGGATTTTTATATGTATATATTAATTTTAGTTTCATTTCATTGTATATTATCTTAGTTATTTGAAGTTTGTGAGATGTTTGCATGGAATTGTTTTTATGTGTAAAGTAATATAGTATAAATAAACATTTTGTATACAAAATTTTAAGGTTTATTTTTGTAATGATTATAACATTTTGATTACGAAAGGCAAAAATAATTCTTTATCTACACCTTTATTATAAAGTGTATTTGTTAGTTTACCCACTACAAGTGATAGTCAAATAATTAAGATATACATATCTCCTGCGCAGTTGGCTAGTCTCAATGAGATTGGCCGCCGTGGCCAGAATCGGTCATGAGGACATTATTATTATACTAGCAGAACCCGCGGCTTCGCTCGCGCTAAAACTATAAAATTCTCTAAATAGGTAGTTTCATACAAACTTTCATCCCCTATTTACCCCCTTATAAGATGAATTTCGAAAAATGCTAAAACAAGTATTATTTAATTTTATTGAAGAGCATTAATACCAGTTTCAAGTAATTCTGACCATGTTTTTGATCGATTGTATTATGTGTCTTCCCGTGCGAATGCGATAATCTCCCGCGGTAAAAAGTAGCCTATGTCACTCCCCAGCTATCACCAAACAAAAAATCACGCCAATCTGTCAATCCGTTTCGACGTAAGAGAAGGACAAACAAACACACTTTCACATTTATAATATTAATTATGGAAGTATGGATTTAAGTGTTCTGTCGTTATAAGGGTCGAGACGGTCGCCTGCTGCCGCTGACGGTGGAGCTGTTGGCGGCGTGGGAGTGCGGCCTGGCGCCCGCCGAGCGCGCCGCGCTGCGGCAGCACCTCGTGGCGCGCCTCGCATCTGCTGCCGACGACGGTTATTATCACTGCTAATACATACCTTCGTCTAACGAAGGGGAAGGGGGGTTCTCTTAAGTCTTCGTGACGTTGTCAATATCTTAATAGACAAATATGAGCCAATTTTTTTTTAAGTTTCTGTTTGAAAAAAATGTTTTAAATCCATATTAATGGGTTACTACGTGAAAACTAGAGGGGAGGGAGGGGAGGTGTAATAAAAATTGTAAAAAATGGGTCACGTACTATTTGTACATGGGCACAAATAGCTATACCAATGTATAATGGAATATACTATATACAAATCTTGCTTGAATTTGTAATAATCAATTCCCATTTCGTTTTCGGTTTTCCTCTCTAGGATGTAGAACAGCGTGTGCTTCGCTTGCAGCACAATTGGATCCGGAAAATCTACAGTGGGCTACCGAGCTAATGCAAATATGTAAGTTGATCTATTGTATGTATTGGAATACTATACAATTGTAAATTAAGATTCAGTAAAGTAAATAACTTGTAAAATGTTAAAGTTTAAACATCATAGTAAAATTGCTCATAAACATCAAGCCGATAATAGATTAGACAATATAAGGATCTATAATGGTTATCATATTACTAATAATAATTAAAACTCGTAAAAAATTAAAAAGTATCTGTTGACTTCAAAAAATGGGGAAATTCTTAATTCATGTGCAAATTGTACGATGTTTTCATAAACTTTAAACAGTTACATTCATGTTACAAAAAGACGGTGAACAACCGCGCCGCAAACAAGTTGTAACTTGTTACAGAGTTTTCGCCGCAGCAGAGATATTACAGTTAAGTGCGCGCTATATATTTTAAAACTCTGTGTGCTGACTTCCGGTCTAATTGATACGTATAGCGGAACGGCGTGCGCTCGAGGGCACAGACGCGAGCGAGTGGCTGCGCGCGGCGGACGTGTCGCTAGTGGCGCCGGCGCCGCCCTCGCCGCAGCTGCTGCGACTCTTCCTCGCCGCGCTCGCCAACCCGCCGCCCGGTGAGCTGTGTTGTATTATACTTCTTGCATTTATAAATAATAATAAATAAATATGTTGGGCCATTAACACACAGCACTATCTAGTTCCATGGTAAGCTACGAGGCCTGTGTTGTGGATACCAGATAGTTGATACACTACTCATATAAAACTTTAAATACATACATATTATAAATATAAACAACCATTTTTTATTTTTTTTTAACGTTGGGAAATGCATTTACGCACGACGTGTGGGACTCACCGGCGTAATACAGCCAGTACTACCCACTAAAACCCAACAAAACCTTCCCCCGTCTTAATGGGGCGTCGCAGGATCGCTTACGCATTCAACTACGACGCCCCGACGGCAGGTCCGCCGAAGCAGACCACCACAACCATGGGGTTGCTCCACAGTCCACTCTGCTATCAGAGAAGTACCAGGAGCAACCCGCATGGTACACCGCCCTCCGAAGAGGGCCACCTCCCACCGCCCACCGAAGTGGGCAACCTCCCTGTGCGTTTCTTAGCTTCGCTACTGCTACTGAGCCCCCCCCACCACGACAAGGTGAACGCACGTTGGGGGGGAAATATAAACAACCATGACTGGAGTACAAACATTCGTCATCACACAAATGAATGTCCCCAGCGGGACTCGAACCCGCAACCGCTGACACAGAAAGTAGAATAACTACAAACTGAGCCAAACGTGTCGTCATAATTGAGTATTTAAATGGTGTAGCATTAAATAAACATAAGTTTATAAGTCTGGAATGCAATAGAAACCGTAATATAGCAATACATAGAACTTTTGTCTGTCTATTAATAATACCAAGTATTAAGAAATATTTTATAATGAATTAATTGGGTTTACTTATGTGTAGAATGGAGCGCGGAGTCGCGCGGGCTGTGCGTGGCGGGCGCGGGGCGGCTGTGCGTGCGGTCGCGCGCCGCCGCCGCCGCGCTGGCGCCGCCGCTGGCCGCGCTGCTGCGCGACGCTGCCGCGCCGCAGTGCGCGCGCCTCAACGCGCTGCTCGCGCTCACTGATATATGCACCAGGTCACTGATTACCTACATTATTAGCGCAGGCGCGCACGAACGTCTTATGTCACCGTGACAAAAAAACTGTCAGTGTCACGCTACGTTATCAAAGTGGAGCGCTTTCACGGTGGGTGACAGTCACGAAATTTTTGAAAGTGTCGGCGAATGAAATACATATTATGTCGATATGGATTTAGATGAGACAGTCATTATCTAAGAAGTCATGGTACGTAAAAGAAAAAGAACAACACCCGTGCGCGTACACCATTTCGACGACGTGACGTGAGTCGTGACAAATGAAATGAAATAAACTTTATTCAATTACACTTACTACAAATGCTTTTGATTCGTCAATTTAATGTAAGCGTCAGTGTTGACAGTCCGTGAGGAAGCTACCAGCGGCTGAGAAAGCAGTTCTGCTGAGAAGAGCCGACAAGAAACTTAACAGTTGTTCTCTTAAATATCGGAGTTACATTTATTTTACTAACATAACAATGTAGACATATGAGTCAATATCAGTTTCTGGCATTATCAGTTTGTTTTCGTCACTGTCTTAGACTATTTTATTCTACAACGTAATGACAGTCTACTAATCCATGCAGTCGTTTAACGAAGGTGTCTAGAAAGGGGCTTTAATGCTTTAATTTTTAATTTTAAACGCGTATTATAAACCTAGCTACAGTGTTTATTATTTGCATTTGTTTTTCATCATACACATTCTTTTACGAAATTTATTTATCATACACAACAATAATATTGGACGAGTTTACTTAAATTTTAATTTAAACTCAAATGATGATTAGCGCAAGAGTTTATTTTGTTAAGCCTGCGTGAGAGCAGTAACCGCATTTACCTCTGTGATCGTCTCCTTTAAGTATACTGCCTGCTACGTACAGAGCCGGATTATCCAAGGGGCTCCACGCAACGAGAAAAAAAAATTGAAAATGTTTCATAGTTTAAAAAGTTAATTTAAAAAATAAAAAATTGGATAAAAATGTCACCATGATGACAAATACAACAGTTTTTCTATGAAATCTAACTAATAGCGTAATTACGAATATAATTTCATTGTGGTAGAAAAAAATTATTTCAACAAGTTACAAAAGGGTAAAAGCCCCGAGAATTGCATTGCCTAGAGGTCCCCGATATGGGTAATTCGGCCCTCGCTACGTAGAATAATAAGTAATAACAAAGTGAACACAATCAGATACTCGTGCATCGTGGACCCGCTGCTGGACGCGGTGTGCGGGTGCGTGGCGCGCGGCGCGGCGGCGGCGCTGCGGCGCGCGGCCGTGCGCGCGCTCACGCGGCTGCTGCTCGCCGGCTACCTGCGTCTGAGGACGCCGCTCTACTACCGGTACCGTCCCATGACGTACAAATAGGATTTGTTATATCGATATTTTGAACCAATTGGATAGTCTCTCAAATTTAGGCTCTTTTCCCATTACGATAAGGCCAGGCGACTCTAGTATCTTGCGAGATACATTTGTATCGGTGCTCGCTCACTACGTTGCCGGTAACATACGCGTCCGCAACCCGCCGCGCTAGTCGTCCGCGCGTCGCGTCTCCTACGCATCTTGAAAAATCCGTCCGTTCATTAAAAAAGCACAAAACAAATGATGTATTTTGCTATTTTTCAGTAGCGTAATGTGCGAACGTCGAGTTGCCAACAAGTATTCAAATAGAATGCGACTTGAGTATTGTATCCTACGTGTTTCGTAATGGGAGAGGCTCCTTAGAAATGAAATACTACTCGTTGATGAGTGATGACAGTGCCACTCATATAACTAAATTTAAACTCATGACACATATTTCAATTGCCTTTTATAAAACGACCAGAAACTTTAGACAGCGCGATTCAGAAAACAACACGCACAATAACAGTGCCATCTCTTGCAAAAATATTAAATTAAAACTATTATACATTTTACACACTCACATATATAAACGTAATACTTTCTTAGATTTACGCGAATATTTGTCACTTTAAATGAAGCAATCTTTCGGATTTTGACGCGGTTTTATTTTAAAGTAGTATTCTATTCAACGGTTTTTTTCACGATGTTTTAACTGGTAAAGCTTCTTAACGAGTTTTCATGATTATTTCTTTTAAACAATAGGTAATTAAATATAACCACAAGGATAGTCTGTCATCCCCATATGTTTCAGCCCATTATTTTGAAAATAATCGGAAGTGCGTGGTCAATTACGTGACTTATTATCACCATCGCTTTGCTTCAGTTACAATCTGAAGATATATATTTTTTAACATCTATTGTAATCCTATGTAACAAAAGAGAGAAAATTATTACATTTGTTTTGAAAGGAATGGTATATGATATTATGAAGTAGATAGGATGCTGTCTACTTAATAAAACTCAATTTATTCACTGACTCACTGAGAAATAATGCAGTCTAAACCGATAGGTCTAGAAACATACAATTTTGCAACGCCAGGATTTATCTTGGGGTTCACTAGTTACATATTACAAAAACTGGATTTATGTTTTCTTCGTGTATACAGTTACTGCGCGTTACTGGCGGACGAAGACCACGACGTGCGCGAGCCCGCAGAGTACTACGTGTCGTGCTGTCTCACTGTCGATACCATCTACCACCACTTCGTAGATTGCGTATTGTATTACAACAATCAGGAAACAGGTACGGATGTGTATTAGTGTGATTGTGTTTAAGCACAATCTAGTAACTACTTTGCCCAAGCTGTATACGAAAAAAAAAGCTTTTTATAATAGCTCTTCGGAACTGTTTAATTTATTACGTTGATAATTTGATATTTTTAAGAAACGTTATCATAATAACTTGCTTAAGACCGGTAACGGTTAGAGATGATAATAAGATATAGTGTAGTAGCCTAGTGTTACTACTAGAGTTATTGCGAGAGGTTTGGGCTGTTGCGCGATGAGATAACCGAAACAGTAAGGTTTCCAGTATTATACTGTTACTCTTGCCCTTGCATAGCTCAGGTGTGTGCTAGGTGCCTAACATTATCCGCAAGTGTACTTCAAACTTTGGCAATTAAATAGTATCCTGAGTGTCATAAACATTCCACAGAGGCGATCTCGTTCGACGCGCGGCAGCTGATCTACGACATAATGCTGCAGCGCATGTCGCTGGTGCAGAAGCTGAACGTGCAGTGCCGGCTGGCGCGCGAGGTGCTGCAGCACGCCGCCGACGTGTGCGACGAGCGCGAGGAGCTGCCGCCCGCGCTGCACGCCGCGCTGCTCGACACCATCACGCTGCTGTGCGGCCCGAGGATGAAACTGCCCAGTACGTACTATCGCACATCATCATACAGTGCGCCCTTTTATTTGACGGAAATATAAATTACAAAGTGTGAAAAAAGAGTACCGAGGAATCGTGAGGTTCCGTTTGGTTTTAATGGGCTTTTCTAGCCGATGAGTCCCACATAACCACCTGTAAATGCTGCACGCTGTAGTGCCATCGTGTAGAAAGTTACAATTATACATGTCAACTATTTTCAGACTATCGTGTAATTGTGTACGATAGTCGGTATTGCGCCAGTTGTGTCTAGCCTCATTCGCCCCGCAGAACGCCCTGTCTAAAGGTCTTCGTTAAACGACCGAATGGATTAGCAGACTGTGACAATATGTACTTTGTTATTTAATATATTATACCCCAATTCAAAATATGGAAAAGTGTTCCGAAATAAAGATTTATTATTATTATTATACTTTATATTTGAATATTGCTCATTTATAAATTTATTATTATTTAAAGAAAAACCAGAAAAGGGCGGAGATGCAGACATTGATGACCTACAAGAACGTGTCACTACAAATATTGTATCTCATGTAAGTTCTAAATATTCCTTAATTATGTTAATCCCTAAAATACACAGATCAAGGTTTGTTTTGTTTACCATAATATTATAATTTTAAATTAATTAAACACAGTAGTTTTTGAGATCCTAGCTATGCCATAAACATCATATAATTACATAGAAAAAGTTCACATCTTTTAGACAAGCAAAGGACGCTACTTCACTGAAGTCTACATAATATAGACGTTTTAGGGTGCACAATCTCGGCGTTTTATGTAAAAAACAAAATACCATACGTTATGATAATGTAATTTACATATTCCGAATTGTTTATTAAACTGATAGATAGTATCATTTTGCTCTAAGTGTGCATAGGCTACAAAGATTTCTTTCTGTCCTAGATTTTCACGGAGAAAGAGAAGGTACAATTAGTTATTTAATAGGTATACTAATATGTATAGTGTATCGGTGATATATAATCGTAATAATGAAACAAATGCATAGAACAATTTATGTGAGTGATCCTGTGAAGTTTCGTAGCGATCGAAATTTGAACGCGGTAGAAGCCGCGGTTAGTGCTTGTCTTCTATATTACTCATTTCTGTTAAAATATAACATTAATATTCTCGATTCATTAAAAATGATTGACGAATAAGTATTAGATTACTCTAGTGGCTGCCTTGGGAACTAAAGATAGCAGTATAAAGTACTACTTAACAGTACGAGTTCTAATAACTTTATTATTCGTTGACACTTTGATCTACTGACTGTCGATCTATATTAGCTCCGCAGGTTGTGACTAGAGAATCTGCTTACCACCTATATGCAGGCTTAAATATTAATATAAATTCGATATCTCATTTCGATAAAAGTGGTTGTAATTTTAATAAAGTAATGTATTAGAATTACTATAATATGAATATATAAATTGTCTTTTGTTCCTCATAAAAATATTAAAAATGAAATAATAAAGATATTGGTATTTTAAATAAGTCTCTCTCGAGAGCATGATTGTTGTAAAGCATTTAAAATGTCAAATATTCCCGTAAATCCAATAAAGTATTAGAAGATATTGGTGTTATGAACAGAAAATGAAACGTACGGTGGCAGAGGAGCTGGTGCCGGGCGTGCTGCGCCTGTACGCGCACATGCGGCGGCGCGGCGGGCAGCTGGCCGCCTACCTCGTGCGCATCGCCACCGACCTACTCAACGACTACCAGCATGAGGTGAGCGATAAGTGTCCTGTGTCACAGACTACTTACTATACAAAACCTTTATATGACAATCGGGAGACGGCTTTAGGGCTGAAAAGTGTTATGATCTTTATTTCCGTTTTTGTTAAACCGCAAATCTCTGAAATTCTTTATTGATTAATTTGTAGTGTTTCAAATGGACAAGGTTTTAATGCTATCCGTATTGCTGTAAATTGCCACAAGGTGGTATTTTTGACTTTGAAATTTTTTTTAGACTCCGTCGCGTCGACCGTAAATAATTGTTTAGTGCGGGCGTAAAATCTATTGTATATTAACGACAATTAACTATTACAGGTATCAGTACTCTATAATGTTGTCAGTGTATTTGTTATTTAAATAATAAGCCAATATTCTAATACATTTAACAATTGCATAATTCAATTTTATATGTTATTATTTGTTGTGTTCGTAATTAATTCCCTCTTAGTAAAACTGTAGTAAATTCATATGAACAGACCTTATAAGTGTTAAACATTTAAACAACAGATCGAGGAGCTGATAGAGAACGACGAGGAGCTAGTGGAGCGCGTGCAGCAGTTCCAGGAGACCATCGGGCTGGAGGCGTCGTTCGGGAACGCGCGCAACCTGGTGACGGCGTCCGCGCCGCCCGAGCCCGACACGCCGCGCGCGCGCAAGCGCCCCGCCCGCGCCCTCCGCGCGCCCAAGAGGCGGGCGCTCAACATATAAATGTTGGGAAATGCATTTACGCGTACTACCTGTAGACATACAGGTGGTTATGTGGGACTCACCGGCTAGAAAAACCAGTACTACCCACTAAAACCCAACAAAACCTTCCCCTGTCTTAATGGGGCGTCGTAGAATCGCTTACGCACTCAACTACGACGCCCCGGCGGTAGGTCTACCGAAGCAACAGTGTTGCGGTTGAATGCGCGAGCGATCCCGTGGACCTGTCTCTTGCGATAGGGATCACCGTGGCTATCAGAGAAGTACCAGGAGCAATGGTATGGTACACTGCCCACCGAAGTGGGCCACCTCCCTGTGCGTTTCTTAGCTTCGCGCCCGGCTGGATTACCGGGCACTACTGAGCCCCCCACCACGACATGGTGAACGCACGTTGGGGGGCTTCAAGATATAACTGCCCCAACCCCAAGGCAGGACTGTTAAGTTATCTCTACTTCTTACTCATTGTCAAATCTGTTTTGCCGTTACACAATGAATAAGTACACACGATTTTTTGTATTAAATCTTTTAGAATAGTCTCCTAATCTAGTTTTCTAACGAAGGGTGTAAAGAGGGCAATTATGTGAAGGAAGACATGTGTGACCGTTGAAGTTTTTTTCTTGTGACTTGGGAAACTGCTTTAGGCAACGACTAATCACCCCAATAGACACCTCACGCAAGGCAAACACTTTCAGTCAACACGTTAGACAAATACGTCTTACTTCAGAAAACGATCGCGCGATTTACTTCAGTAGCGACCACATCCGTGACCCGCTAACACATTGCTTGAGACTCGTGAATTTCCGACACAAAAAATACAACAGACGCGCAACATGGCTCCCTGTACAATAAAATGGTGTGGAAATTGTAGCCAAACATGTAATAATAAAAATGGCATCACTTTTCATAGGTATGTGAATTTTAATTTCCAAATTCATTAAATGTAATTAAATCAGAGCTCAAGTTATGTTGGTAGCAACGCAACTCGCGTTTATGTATTCGGACATTCTCGGACTATGCATCCCTTTTTTTTCAATGCAGTTCATTGTTGCTATACTTTTCTTTAGTTACCGGCACGTGTAACTAGTGCTGTACCAGTTAAACTATAAAATTGGTACAAGGCTTGCATGTTTTTTGAATGTTTTACAAACGACATAGTTGTAAGCTGATTTTATTTAGGTTTCCAAAAGATTCAAATATAAAAGAAAATTGGATAAATGCTACGAGACGTGAAAATTGGTTTCCGTCAGTACTAGTATTTTTTTTATAAATAATAAGTTCATGTTTATAAGTAGTAGTTTAGTCTATACTCGTACAGAGTGTAAGAGACAGTTTTCCGAAAACTTTAACCATGGATAAACCTGTAAATAAACCTTGAACAAACCTGTATAAATAATATTAAGTATTCTATTATTATTTCATTATAGAAAAGAAAACTTGTTTTATTAAAAAATATTCTTTAAAACAGAAAATTATTTTACTAAATACGATACCTACCTACGATATGATATAAAACTTCTTTTGTATTTTTTTCTCTTGTACTAATTTATAGTAGAATATAATTCTGGTTCCCATCACTATTTGTCTATTAGCAAGTGTCGCAACCTTGAATTAACCAATCAGCGTGTATTTCCACCCGCCTCCCCCGTAACGCTTACCTCAGACTTTTGACTGACAGGTTTGGATGCAGAAGTACATAAATTAGGCGTCTATCGGGCTGAGTAGTCGTTGTCTCTAGGGTTGACGGTACAATTGTTACTTGCCACGAGATGGCACTACAGCGTTTCAACTTCGGAACACGGACAACCCTTACATTAGAATCAAACACTTTTATTCTATGCTATTTGTGTGATACAACTTGCTACTATATCTAAGTGGATGATAGCCGTTACTTTTACAATATTTATTTCTGAAGACGAAAAGTTTGGTAATTGACAACATTCCGCTGTATCAGAAAGTAGTTGTGAAATTTGGGAACTTAAATGTTTTTTATTATATAAGATAAATATTATTTATTAATAATTTAGTTCTTCAATGGAAATAAGACATTGAATATGTCATAGACATTGACTTGATTAGTCTAAAACATAGATTTATAAATCATTATATTTCAATTTTTTATAGTATAAGGATGCTCCTAAGTGATGATTTATTTTTGTTACGATTTATGTACGTAATTATGAAAAAATAAATATTTCGATATACATTTTATAAGTTTCATTATCTACTGTTTTAATTATTCTTTTGAAATAATTTACCTTTATTAATTTAAATTTACCGTTTAACTAGGATTGTATTACGCGTATGTAAACAATCTTAAGGTATTTTTAAAATGCAGGGAACATTGTGAGCAGAAATAAAACACGCATAAGCTAAAACTAAAATAAATAACTGTGAAAATAACATTTTAATGTCAACAGCATACAAGAATAATTATTAAATCGCACCCGATTGTGCTACCAATAAATATAATTAGAATAAAATTAATAAATTACATGTCATTACTTAACTTTAACTTTGTTTCTAAATCACTTTCTTTGTCAATTGTAATTTTACTAAATGTTTTCTTCAGTAAAATATTGATAGCTGCTTCTTCTGAAAAAAAAAATGTATTATTAAATCTTTAATAAGTCTTAAAATAAAATATTTCGGAAATATTTTAATAAAATATTAGGTCATTAGGTTAGTTAAAAGAAAAATAATAGATTTGAAAGATATTTTAGTAGTGTAGTCCATAGAATAAAGGTTAAACTGTAAAAAAATCTGTATGTTTAAGGTAAGTTACTTACCAGTAACTTGAATAGCAAGTAGTTGATGGACTATATGCCTTGCGGTAATCTTAAATAAGTCCCGACTACTTATTTTTTTCTTCTTATAATAGGGCATTAATAGCTTAACAACTAAGCCAGCTACATCTACCTTCTCTGCTTTCTTTTCTTTATTTTTAGGGTCTTTCTTATTTGAAGCCTCCTCTTTTCTGTGACTTTTGTGACTTGAATGCTCTTTAATATCTCTTCTAGATATCTTTTTTGTTTCTTTACTGTGCGTTTCTGTTGAGGAGTTAGTTAATTTTTCTCCCTCTTTCTCCTTAGTCCCATGTTTAGTGGGAGACTTAGATGTAACAACTGAATTTTTAGTATTAACGATTTTATCATCGACAGGAACATCCTTCTCCGCAGGTACATTCTTCTCCACAGGTACAGGCTCAGGTTTGATTTCCGAAAACTGTTTTAGTTCTTGTAACACTTTTTCGGCTTCTAAACTAAGCTGATATGCTTTATCAAACGTCTTCTCATCAACAAACTTTTTTTCTGATGGACCCTTTTCATTGATTATTAAATCTGAAGAGTTTTGGGAGTCGGACTTCATGGATATGTCGTTATTTCTTCCCGATTCGTCAGAAGTATCTATTCCAAGGGTGTTTTCAGATTCAATAGAAGCATTGATTGCGTTATCAAGTACAAGTGTATCTTCTGCTGCATTATCTTTAGAAATATTGCCTATTTCTTTTACGCTTTTTTCAGTTTCTGTATCTGATTGTATGGACTTCCTATGTTTGTGCTTTCTTTTAGACTTTTTGGATTTAGACTTTTCGCTCTTCTTTTCTTCTGATGGTTTACTGGAAGAAACTTTATCGCGTGAAAGTTTAAACTTTTTCATATCTTCTGGTTCTATGTCGCTGTCAGATGATTCACCAAAAAGAGCTTTAATTTTTCTTTTAGCGGTTGGCTTAGTTTTTTCAGAAGACGTTGATTTGACGGGATTTTCTATTTTTTTAGATTGTGTATTGTCAGTTATATCCTTCTTATCTACACTTTTGTCATTTTTAGGTATACCCTGCAAAGTTATGTTTATAACAAAAGTTTTTGTCTCTTCTTCATCAGAAATTGTATCTATTTTATCAATTTTGAAAGTTTTGTCTTGGTCGTTATTGTCTTCTAATTTGAATGTAGAGTCACCGTCATTAGGGCTCACATTTTCTGCTATAACTAACCCTCCCTCATCTTCGCTGTCGTCTGAAATTGGAGATTCTTGTGATGATTTTGTAGAAAAAAAGTTTTGTAGTTTAGTTTGTGTTAATGGATCCCTTTTGAAAGAATTAGCTTTCCTTCTTGTTTCCTTGTCGGCTTTGGAAAGAGTTCTCGACTCATTTTTATTTTCTGCACCACCTGAAGTAAACAAATACTTGTATGTAAAAACGCATATTATTATTACATATTTGAACTACAATATTTCGACGAACACTTACGAGTTTCCAATTCAGACGCGGTCACAAAACCGTGACGATTTTGTGATCTGTCGCGGTTTTTTTCAAAATCTTTTACAAATTCAACAAGAGTTTCACGCTTAGGTTCGTATTTTTTCAGATCTGGATATAAATTGTACCTACTTGATTTTATATTAGTAATCTGAAATTAAATATCATCAAAAATTGTAATACTATCAAGTTTAAATGTATTTCATTACATACTTAATGTTTGTAAATAACATATTACCAATTTGGTCATAGCACGTCTGTATAAACTGATGACGGTACTACTTGAGAATGCTTCATATTCTAATTCTATCGCACACTGTTCCACATCGCGTCGGGACAGCTGGTTGTCTGGTTCGTCGATTCCTTTCAAATTTTCAAGATTATTTCTTAAAGCGTCTGTTAGCAAAGAAAGATAACTTTCCCGTCCAGCTACTGTCAAACCATTGACCTGGAAAATATAAAGGTTATCCTGGGTGCACTTAAAACTTTCTTTAAAATAATTAAAAGTCTGTATAATAAATATTGTACCTTTTTCCCAGTACTGTCAGCCGCTTTACATTTTGAGTATTTTGCAGATTCAGCATCATTGTTTTTATGTCTATCTTTTTCAATATTCTTTTTTCTGTTGGCAAATTCCTGCATAATCAAAGACTTAGTTTCTTGCGCGATGCGCCGGCGTTCATCCTCCTCGTCCGACTCTCCGCTGCCGTTGCCATAATATGACTCTACTTCCCTAAACCATAAAATATTTATTTTTATCAGAAATATTAAAAACTTTTCTTTATTTTACTTAATTCCTATAATACATTTAAAGTTAAAATATATGAATAAACTTTACGTCATGTTTTTTTAATTGCAGCAAAATTAAATATTATTTTACTAAAGATTTCTCTTAAGGAGTGTAACTAGCGAGATTTCATTACGAGGGCCGTGGTGCCATCTCGCTAGTTGGGGTAAAATAATGAGTAACACCCATCTTTCTTTCATTTCCCCAATAAGACATTAATAATACGAATGTGTTTTTATATTTGTCCTGTATTGGTTTTTGCCCTCGACTTTGTCTCAGGTAACGGTAGGTATGTTGATGATGTGTTAATCTACGATATTGATCAGTTATCATCCTAATCATTCACTAATATCAGTGGAAACGGTTTAGCGTAAAGAAGTCAGAACAACTCTGTGATTAAGTTTCAGGACGACCAGGTCACAGTATAATGGTATGATTACACCAAAACTTTTAAAGCTATTAAGAATAATCAAAATTGTTTTGAACTGGAAGATGAATTCAATAGATTAAAAGAATACTACATGTGTAAATGTAGTCTCCATTTAAACTTTACGATTACATATTCAAGAAAAAAAACTTTAGATTTTAAAAATGCCCTTACACTAGTAATATCCGGACAAACAATCAAGATAAAATAGTGTAATCTCATTTACTACAAGAGCTTGTAATAATAAATTGTATCATAACATTGATTTGTTTAAAAAGTTGGTTGTTGGTTGGTTGTAAAATATGTTGGTTTTGGTTACTTTATCGGTTTAAGATTTGACGACGTGTTTTTTAATTTAAACCCTTAGTTCCCAAAGTGGTCCAGTTGGAGCCCCAGAGGTCCATGGGAGACTCGACGGGGTTCTACGGGGGACGGAATCTTCACATTTTTTTGTCGAGTTTTGGGAATATGGTAGAAATGTAGCTAGCTGCAGGGGATCCACCGGAACCATCTAAGTTTTGAAAGTGGTCAATGAGAAAAAGTCTGGGAATCTCTGATTTAAACGCTGCATGTTTTCCAAACAATAAATGAATAAATGTCACCTAGTCTGCCCCAGTTTGCCCTCGCCGTAGAGGTCGGCGCAGTCCTGGTGCGACACGAAGCCGTGGCCGAGCGCGGCGCTCATGGCGCGGCGCTGGTGCTGGTCGAGCGCGCGGCGCACGGCGCGCGCGTCTGCGCACGCGTCGCAGCGCGCGCCGCACACCGGGGCCTCCTCGCCGAAGTACTCCGCGAACGTCTTGTGCCGGCATCTGGGAAGTGACTTGTGAGTAAAAATAAGCCATTGTACAAAAGCTAAAAGCCATACATTTTTTATAAACACTAAAATGTTTTATAAAGAATAATGATTATAATTTAAAAAATAAAAAAAAATTACAAGTGGGTTCGTGAGCACCAGATAGGAACGAAGTTCCATAATACATAAATATTAATTTCAAGTTTTAGTCGAGGTAAAAAGAAAATTATTATTCGTGTATACATTTTTTATTATGATTTTTTATCGATAAAAATCAAAATTTACTTAACAAAATTATCTAATCTCTGATAATAATAACAGTCATCAAGAAGACTATTGAACACTGTATACAGTGTTCGCTATAGCGAACACACATCAACTATACATAAAAATCTTACTGCACGCATTTTCGTTACGGACGTTTTTCTTACTTCATGCATTTTTGTTACGGACGTTTTTTCTTACTTCACGCATTTTCGTTACGGACGTTTATTGCCGGCTGTGGTACCCCTCCGCTTTTCGCCAAAGCGACTTGTCAAAAGAAATCATATGAACTTGAAGAGTTTACTAGTAGCCACTGAAGAGTTCCACTATGTTGTACCTCTTGTTTCCATCATCAGATCAGCACCAAGTTAACAAGTTAAAGTATTGTTATCTGGCTATGTATATACATACAAAGTTTCTATTCAATATGACAATTAGTACACAAGTATGTTAAAATTAGCTCGCAAATTAAAAAAATCCGATAAGGATGAGTTTGAGTCGCACACTGGGTTATGTTTATATACAATTTTTTTACGTCAATCTATCTATATATATAAAAATCAATGTATGTTTCCTATGAACTCCAAAACAGCTGCAGCGATTTTGTTGGAATTTTCAGGCAATCTTCAAATTAACCCAGCCCGGCGGGTGATATTGTGAAGTTTAGTAGCGATCGGAAGTTTGAACGCGGGCGAAACCGCGATTAATGCTAGTATTGTTACTTGTTTAGTACAAAACTCGCCTTAGCTATTATTACGGCCGTCGCGGAGATTCCTTTATTAAATAGTATGTTTATTACGGCTAAGATAAGTTAAGATACCTAATACAAATTACTGACTTCAAATTGGCCAACAGGTAGCTTGAATTGTATCTGTTATCAAGTAAATGGTACCAAAATGTTTGTGTAAAATTGTTTTATAGGTAAGATACCGCGGGTAATTTATATTTGAATCTACCCAACCAACAAAAATGTAAATTGGTATTTTTAAGTAAAATAAAAACTACAAATATGATTCCTGAATCATGCTCAATAAAATGTATGTATGTAATTCAGCCCTTTTTAACGTCCCACTGCTGGGCACGGGCTTCCCTTCAATCGAGGTGGATCAGGTCATAGTCCACGACGCTGGCCAAATGTGTGTTGTCGTTTGAAAACTTGCTAGGTTCTCTCAGCAAGCGTGTTTCCTCACGATGTTTCCTTCACCGTTAAGACAAATGGTAAACAAAAAAGTTTGGAAATGATTCGCGCATGAAATTATCAGAGGAGCGAGATCCGGGATTTAAACCCACTTTATATGTGATTTTTACATGTAAAAAGTCATCAATACAAAAATTCAAAAAATGCTTATGATTTTATAGCAGCATATATAGTGAAATTATTGATGGATCAAGGCATCCAGCTGCCAACATTGATCCATCAGTCAAGTTATATATATACATTGTATAATTATTAATTATTGAGCAAAACAATTTCGTGATTTGCACAACCACTTTCTTAATTCGATAAAAAATGTACAATGTTTCAAACCTACAAAATACGATGCGTGTACATTGTTAGTAATTATATTATTTTATTATCTTAAGTGTATTTCTAAATCTCTTGACATGAAACATTTACCTGACATCTTCGCAGTAGTTCACCATAATTTCAAAACTTTTATACGCATTCTTACATCGCTGTTTTTGTTCAGGAGTTTTCGCGCGACCCATCTCAGATTTCAACAAAAAATCAACAGCGTTTCTCTCGCTTCGGCAGTAGTATATACGACAAAATGCTGGTTTCCCGTCCCTCCCAGCTCTACCAGACTCCTGGAAAGTTTCGATTATAAAAGACACTTTCTACTTTATTTTAATAGCCCTTAATACTCAGGACTAGCTTGACCCCTTAGAGGCTTAGAGCATCGCTTATGTAGTGCAATAAATATATAATACTTGCATGTTGTTTGTATGTGTAGCTCTAAAACAACTGGAATTTTTGAAAATTCACGTGAATGTTTTTTGTTTTTCAAAAATCGAATGATGTATTTTTATTTCTACCCCATTGCCCCAGCTATTTTGCTCAGTTACTCATTTTAACATAGTATATTGTTATTACCTATTCGTTTTATTACTTTACGCAGTTCTGAGAAGAACTGGCGAAAGATACTCAATAACGTACAAATAATAGACTTCGAATACTAAATTTTAAGATTGTGTCCAACCATTATCAATCACTTTATGATTTTTCTAATCGTAAGTACATAATATAATTACTAAATATTTTCCTCTTTAATTTTTTAATCATACGAAACTGTATTATTATCTAAAACTTCATTGTAAGCCTGAACAATCGTTGACTTACTTTAGTACATTTTTACAGCTTCTCATTTTTTCTATTGCGGCGTGGACAAGAACTTTTACTCTCTTACGTAAAAAATAAAAATGCTTACAGAGGGAAGAAATAAAAACTACATTTTTTGTACCTCTCCAACTTTCTTTATAGTAGGTATAATTTTAATAAGTTAATGTGATAAATACCTACATAAAATATTGAAGGACGTTTTAAATAAAACTATCTTTTCGTATTTTCGTAATTATGGTTTCTTGTGACAATGACAATGATTACTGTAAATCATTCGAAACGTTGGAAACTAAAAATTAAAAATGAATCCGCGAAAATATCCGAAAAGGTATTTTTATTTAAAATTACATGGTATAAAACAAAGTTGCTTCCCGCTATCTGTCTGTCCCTATGTATGCTTAGTTCCTTAAAACTACGCAACGGATTTTTATGCGTTTTTTTTAACAGATAGTGATTTAAGAGGAAGGTTTGTATGTATAATATATGCATATTATAATACAGAATAACCGAGAAATTCAAAGATTTCTATTTCATACTAACCATTAAAACGTTACCTATGGACGAACCCCAGTGAAGCGAGGGTGAATCGCTAGTGTTAAATATTCTAAAAAAATATATACTTGGTAATAAGCAGCAACATTCTGCGGCAGTCCCCAGTGAACTACTGCGCGCACGGTCGCCTTGTCCACGCCCATGCCAAAGGACACCGTCGCGCACACACATGGACACTCCCCGTTCGACCACTGCTCTTGCACAGATATACGTTCTGAAGTCTTTAGACCTAGAATAATAAAAATAATTTATACTTACAGGTTTTAAACAGTAAAAACAAACACTATTTTAACTTCTGTATATTAATATGACTTATCACATTGAGTCAAATGATAAATATTGATGTTTCCAGAAATAACTGATGCCGGAGAATTTAGATTAGCTTGCTACCATTAATTATTATTGGTTTTTTTTTATCAAGATTATATAATTTGCACACTATGATGACTTAATAACACAATTGGTCATAACTACAATGACACATCCTATACTAGTACTATAGAATAGTGAAGTAGGATGTGGCATTTTTCCTAGAGTGTAGACTAAACAGATATCCTATCCCATGCTATTTAAATTGGGTGGCCCTAATTAATTCATTAATCAATCTGCCCTGGGTAATAGGAAAAATAAAGATATAAATACCTCCATGGTAAGCTAAAGATTTAAATCCTCTTTTTGTAAGCATGCTTGAAATTTCTTCTGTCTGTTCCCGGGTGCGGCAATATACAATAGCTGCACTTTTGTCTTTCTAAAACCACAAATTCTCTTACTAATAAAAGATTTAAAACTAACAATTAAAATATAAAAAATAATGTTAACTCAACTTTTTTATTAAACAATATATAATACAAGCCCTTCATTCACACTTCTGCTCGGGTTCAGCCCTATATATTTTTTAATAGTTAGTATGGAATTATCTCTGTGAAAAACAAAATCAAATCTATCCGATGGAAACCATACTTTTTTCCAGGTAAAAAGCAATTTGTATGTTATTCCAGACTATAATATATCTCTGTGCCAAATTTCATCCAGATCCGTTCTGGCGTGATTGAGTAACAAACAACCATCCATGCAAACTATTACATTAATTATAATAATAATGGGATTAATGATCTTTTGGATTTTTAATAAATATATTGTTTTGAGTTATATACTTTTATATATTTATATATGAGATATATATAACTTTTTTTCTGTTGTCATGAAATATTCCCCACTGTAAAAAGTAGCTTTTGTCATATTAAATATTCTTTTTAACTATATGCAATATCTTACATCAATTTTTGGATCTGTTATTGCATGAAAGAATATTTTTATACTCATTATACATTGTATATATGTTTTTTAGAATTTTAATAAGTAATTTTTTGCCAAATGTATGTCTCTGACAGATTACTGTTTTATTACCTTTTTTATTACTTTAACAAATTACTATGTTCTTTATCATTGAACAATATAACTTCAACAGTACTATGCTAGCCTAGAAAAATCACTTACTGGTTTAATATTATCTTCATCTTTTAAATGTTTCTTTAGAAACTCAACCAAATCTCCAATTTCATCTTGTATGCAATTTTGAAATACTACATCATAATAGAGATTTCTTCTAAAACTTGGTGTTTTATATTGAGCTACAGGTTTCAATAACTTAAGATTTTCCAATATATCTTTTGTTACTGCAGCACTAGCTGTAGCTGTGAGCGCAACCCATGGAATACTCTTAAATTTCTCTCTAAGATCACCTAACTTTAAGTAATCGGGTCTAAAGTCATGTCCCCACTCACTTACACAATGGGCTTCATCAACAACTATGTATGAAACTTTCTTGTACTTGACTAGGTGTTCAATTAAAGACTTGAATGTACTTGTGGCTGCTTGCTCAGGAGTTACATATAAAAATCTAGTATTAGGTTTCATACTGCGGAGGTCATTTAAAACTCTTTCCCTGTCTTTGATTGTCATTTTAGAATTAACAGATTCAGCTGAGATTTTAAGCTTTGATAAGTGATCAATTTGATCTTTAATTAAAGCTAATAGAGGTGAAAAAACAACGGCAACTTTATTGTCTTGTAACATGGCTGGTAATTGGAAGCATAATGACTTTCCTGAGCCTGTTGGCATTGAAACAAATACATCATGGACACCTAAAAATTAAAATATATAAAAATACCGGTATATTTAATTAACTATTTTATCCCAATATATTACTCAAATATTACTATAGATACATTTTATTTGGTGCGCAAAACTTAAAATTATAGATATGGTAACATTGCTATTATGCATTACAAAAAACATCTTTGAAATACGGCAATTCTTATTTTTAATATGTCACAATTGTTGTATCTTTAATTTTGTTTATATTATATAGCATTTACTTTACCTCTTGCAATTGCTCTAACAGCTCTTTCTTGAAGTTCACTTTTGAACTTTCTGTGACCAAAACATAGCAATAATTTTTCTGTTACGTTATCCATCGCGAAGTTCGCTATTACTACGTTTCCAGAGGTAAGCTATTTACATAGTCAATTAATATACTAACATATTATTTAATGTAAATTTCATTAATTTTCACAGAAACTTGTAAATATTTTAATAAAAACAACCTCGAAACAAAAATATTCTAAACCTTTGATTGACATTTTCAACTCAGTTGGAAATGTCATTTATGTCATACTGAGTAACTGAATACCAACCTAATAATATTAGGCGCCAATTGATACATATGTACTTCGTTACACGCTTGTAACACGGTAATGTAATGCATATTGCATACAGTACTCCAACTCGGGCCTGTCCTTGAAATAACCTACAGCCGAGCGGCACGTACCCACGCGACAGGGCTGCCCGCCGGCCAGTAGTTTAATTTCATCTACCTACTTGAGTTTCTTTCTAATTTTGTGATTTCAAATAATATATTTTTTATTTAAAACTATTATTAGTAGATTTAATTAAAAAATCTCAAATTTATAAGGGTGGTATGTGACCCTTATAAATTTGAGATTTAAAAATATTTGCGTCTCGAGTGAGACGTACGAAAAATTTATTGTTAAATTTAATAGTATAAAGAATCCGCATTCGGATAAAAAGTTTAATTAAAAATACTTTAATTTTTAATTTAATTAATTAATTTTTATTTTTAAAACACGATGTCTCGATACTTTTTTGTTTGACATGAGCGAAGTTACGGGAGGAATAAAAATTTTATTTTTGTATCAAAATTATAAAAGTTACATAACATAACCTTTTTCGTTTCAAATTATACGATGTGGCAGCCCCGCACGGTTGTCTACCGAGTACCGAGTGTATACCGAACGCGACGCGCGTAGGTATAACTCGATTTTCGAACGTTTGTATTAAGATGGAATACTGTATGTAATATTACCGTGCTTGTAAATTATTATTATGAAAATATTATTATGAATAATTTAATATTAATACGCTAATAGCATAAACTAACTATAACTATTCTCTTTAAGAGAATAATAATAACTATAACTATTCTCTTTAAAAGAATAATAATAACTATAACTATTCTCTTTAAAAGAGAAATAGTTAATGATTTACTGAGACCTATAGGAAATATAACCCTTGACTAGAATTATTGTTGTAGCGGTATTTTATTCATGAAATACTGATTATATATATGTATATTGCAGGGAACTAAACTTGGAAGTACAAGTATGAGTAAACGTAAAAATCCTTCTACAAATGATAATTTAAATGCAGATTTTTGTGATTTTTTAATGGAATTAGCAGATTATGAAAAAAATGTAAGCCGTAACATACACAAGTATAACGCTTACAGAAAAGCAGCAAGTGTTCTAGCATCTCATAATAAAAGAATAGAATCAGGCGATGAAGCAAAAAAACTAAATGGAATAGGAGACAAAATTTCGAAAAAAATTGATGAGTTCTTACAAACAGGAAAATTAAGAAAATTAGAAAATATTCATCAAGACGAAAATGCACAATCCATTAGTCTACTGACGAGAGTATCGGGTATTGGCCCTGTAAAAGCTGCAGATCTTGTTAATATGGGTATTAAAACGTTAGAGGACTTGAGAAATAACGAAAATAAACTAAATCATCATCAACTTATCGGTTTAAAGTAAGAATTTGAATCTATTTAAGTAAAGGATTAATCCGATAAAGGGACTCTTAAATATATAAAATTCACAAAATATGTAATATTATTTATTGTACATTTACAAATAAGTTATGAAAAATCGGGTGGGGCTATAGCAGGGCACTCCGGCGTTGGTTTAACGTGAAACGTCTATTTCAAAAGTCGCTTTCATTGTTAAAAGATTAAAATGAAAACAATATTGACTTAGTTCGTTTGTTATTGTTTTAATACTAATAATAATATTAAACGTGAAAACGTCTATTTCAGTGAGGCGCTTTCAATGTTAAAGATTGAAATGTAAACAATATCTGATATATTTAAACGAGCAATTCTTGTATACCTACTTATTTGTACCGACACGGACGCACGGACACACGCATCGTGGTCAAACGACCAAGGCGCAAGATTGACAATCACTAGTGTCCGGGTTCGAATCCCGGTCCGATACAATGTTTTCACTTTTGTTTTTTTTTGTATTTATTCAAGTTTTTCGTTTTTTTTAATCTATAAAATACGATATAACAAAAAAGAACCCCGAGCCTAGCTCGGTCGCCCAGGTACTTGACCTTATAGTTCATTCGTTCGTTATTGTTTTACTATTCAGTATAGTATTAGTGTATATAAAGTTCTTTTGATTGATATTGGACAACAGTTTTGTTAATAGTAGGGGAGCCCAAGAGGGGATTTTCTGTAGTTACTCGAGCGCGGCAGATTAACATAAAAGAGGTTACCTTGCACTCTATTGAGTGCTTTCACCATAATATAAGTCTTCTATATAAAGGGGCGCGTCTAGGGAAGCCGATTAAAATATTTAAAAAATGTTTTGATAAGGTAGACTTTTCAGGATGTGACTAGCCTACCACACCTTAATCTGACGGTTTCAAGTATTTCTACCTTATCAAAACATTTTTTAAATATTTTAATCGGCTTTCCTAGACGCGCCCATTTATATAGAAGACTTATATTGTGGTGAAAGTACTCAATAGAGTGCAAGGTAACCTCTTTTATGTTAATCTGCCGCGCTCGAGTAACTACAGAAAATCCCCTCTTGGGCTCCCCTACTATAAAAATCTCTGGTCTGTGTTAAGAGAAATAAAAAACATATAAGGCGTTGTTTACTAAGCGTCCTTTAGCAGCTATTTGTCGAGACGCTCTCAGAGCCGGACATTGGGGTTCCTATGCGTAGCCCATAACCCACTCAATTCCCGATAACAACCGTGATTTATATTTCTGGCTGGCTACTACTTATATTTTTTATACCCTTACTGGTTATTATTTCCTATAAATTTGGTCCAAATTTCAGACATATCTACTTAAATCACATTATAAAATCACGGCGCTATCACGTGTGAGTTGTGAGTTACACCGAATCTAGAAAGAAGCGAAAACAGCGATTTCGGTTGTACCCTAGTATCCCAGCAGCCCCGCCCAACCCTGACGCAAAGTCAAAGTCACTACAGCGAGCTGACTATATAAGTAAATAATTACACTAGATTTATATTTCTAGACTAATAGTTTAGTAATTATTAAGGTAAGACGATGAAAACGATGTCGTTACAGTCAGTTTCGGTGTGCCGTGTGATTTTAGAGACGTTTCACAACAAAATAATAAACTTACATAATATTAAATCCTATTAACTTTCTTTAAGGTACTTTGAAGATTTCGAAAAGAAGATTCCACGACATGAAATTCAAGTAATAGAAGGAAACATTATGAAACACGTTAAGAGAGTAGATCCGGAGTTCACTGTGACCATTTGTGGCAGCTACAGGTTGGATCTATCATCTATGTATATTTCATCTTTTAGTGGTTGTAAACTAAATAAATAGGTAAACACATCGTACCACACTCGCGAACGCAATAATTCATAACTAAACTGGGCCGTATTTATGGCCAAGAGCGAAATTTTACATGACGTAAGTATTTATTTATCTTATGAATGACTAGAGGTCATTCTTAAGATAGCTAAGCTAGTAGTTTAGTTGATTTTTTTAGTTACTTACATAAATTTTACGCCATAACCATTTACGTAGTTTACATACTATTTGATCACAGGCGAGGCAAAGCCGAGAGCGGTGATATAGATGTCTTGGTAACTCACTCAGCATTGAATGCTAATGTTGAGAAAAAAATATATAAGGAAACGCTGTTGAAAAAGATAGTAGCAGCATTAGATGACCTTATCACGGATGTTATTTCAAGTGGAGATACCAAGTTTATGGTAATAAATCAAATATTTCTAATTGATTGCTTCTTATTCGATAACTAAGTATATATAACTATAAGATTTGAAATTATGGAATGTAGTGTCCTAAAAATATTTATGCTTAAGATTAACGGTTTTTTTCAATATTATTAAGTACTAGCGGCTCACCCTTGCTTCGCTCGGGTTCGCCTCTAAGAAATTATTGTGTACTAAGCTGTATAAGTTACTATAGTTTTTTAAATATCCCACGGGAACTCTTAAATTTTTCGGGATGAAAAGTATCTAAAATGTTGACCGGGGATACAAGGTACCCCCATGCAAAATTTCATTTAAATCGGTCCAACAGTTTCTGAGATTAGCCCGTACAAACAGACAATCAGACGGAGAAATAAAAAATTTGAAACAAAACTGGATTTGTTCTATTTCTCTTCTTATATCCCCCGACTCGGTTTTTATTATATGTACCTATAGATATTCGGGCTTATCTCAGAAACTATTTAATATACAATTTTTCATATGATTACACTAAAAATATAATTAATGAACATTTTACAAATATATGCTACCGTTATGATAATATTTAATATAAATAGTTAAGTCTTACTCTCGTGTCGCATGCGACCCTAGCAAAAAACGTACGTTTAGTTATTTTTTACATTTTAGTGCCTGAAAGTCTAAAATTTTTAGAATAGATACCTAATCAGGCATTTTCGAAGTCGGTGCCAGCCGATGCAAAGCAAATCTAATAATATATTTCGATACGTACCTAAAATATATCACAAATTGATGTAGGTACAATATTTTAACTACATATAATAAGAGCTCATACCTAATCATATTCACCTATTAGATATTTATATCTCAAAATATTGTCGTATAATAAGGCCGCCTCTTGTAACTTCTTCTATTTTTGTATTTTTTTCTTTTCTCTTTTTGAGTGTACAACAAAGAGTTATTCATTCATAATTTATATGCCTGTTTTATATACCTGCCTACCCTCAACACACAATATTTGACCAAAGTTTCTGAGCTTAAAGCACTTAAAATTATTATAAACATCAGTTTTGCAATAATGTATGGAAGTCTGCCCAATTTGTTGACATCTGTGATTACTGCTCCGCTCCATTGGGTAGTACCATGATGATATATAGCCTTCCTTCTTATAGAATTTTTCAAATCGGAATAGTAGTTTTTCGACATTAGCGCGTTCAAACAAACAAACAAACTGCCTCTTTATAATATTAATATAGATAGTCTGAGTGAGTGTAAATGAATTAACTAAATTATAGGTGCTAATTGTACCAACAATATACAGGGAGTTTGTCGTTTGTCGGATCAAGCCGTGCACCGACGCCTCGACATCAGGCTGGTGCCGCGCGAGCACTTCCACTGCGCCGTGCTGTACTTCACCGGCAGCGACGTGTTCAACAAGGAAATGCGCGCCCACGCTCTGCAGACGGGCTTCACTTTAAACGAATACTGTTTGAGACCAATCGGTGTTACCGGTGAGAATCACACAAGAATACCTTGCTTATCGAAGTATTTGCTAACAAATAACAATTTACTTCATAAATTGCTTAGTGTGTTTGATTGAACTTATTTTTATTTTCACTAGTTAATTTTTAATCCCTCCACGACCGCGGACACGCTGGCGTGTCAGTTAACAATAGGTTTATTAGAATATTAATTAATTTCTTAGAAATATACCTGGAGGTGTTGAATATTTTTATTACATAATATATCCATTCCTTTCAAATACATACGTGATACGAGTATCTCCGGAATGTAATTTTTTTGGGCACTTATAACTTACCAATTTCATCAAGCGCCGCAAATATTGAAAAGAAAATATAAATTGCGACTGATGGTAAGGTCATCATCTCATCATTTCTCATACTGATAACATATTTGTACGTTCGAATTGACGTTCGTTTTATTTCGTAGCAGAAGTAAGTTAAAAAAAAAGTAAAATATGTCTATTATTCACATTGGTTTATTGTAAAAAGCTAACAAAACAAGGATTGAGAAGGCAGACACACAAACGTATTCCTTTTATAATAAAAAAATAATAATAAAACGCTGATTATACTGAAAGTTATATATTTAATTTCACAGTTATTCACGGCATAGCCGAGAGGTCTATAATACAAAAATATTTAATATTTCTAGGTGTCCCGGGCGAGCCGGTGCAGATATCATCGGAAGAAGAAATTTTCGACTACATTGACTATCCATACAAGAAACCAGAAGAGAGAAACATGTAACTGTTGAGGAAAATTTCCCATTATAATAGTAATCTAAAAGATTGCAAGCATTAAGCTTATATTTAATGTAAATTGTTAATTGGAAACTCATTTATATCTGCATTAACCTCTAGCAAAATCAATCTTAATTCTAATACAAATAATAATTATCATTTTGATGATAATAATTGACTTTCGTATTGCAAATATCACCAAAATGTTAAAAAGCAAAATTCAATTCAATTCACCTTTTAAATTGTTTGTCATTTTATTTTTATTTATATTTTACTAAATTTAACATATTAAGTTCTTATATTTAATTTCGTCTTTGTTCATCACAAAAATAATATTTTTACTATTTAATGCTATACATTTTATAATATTTAACATCTTTGTCTAAATATATAATAACATTGATTTTCCAAAGTTTTTTATTGGTATCAAGTTACATTTTAATGACATTGACTTAAAGTAATAATTAATATTCACATTTGAAATATCAATAGTGCAAATGATTTTATTTTTTATTATATAAAGTTAAATAGTGCACATGTTATTTTGGTAATATAATAATTTGGTAATATAGAGGCTGACACATATTTAAATAATAAACTCAATAATAAACTCAATAATAATACTCCAATTGAGGCAAATACAAATAGGATAAAGAGACAATACTTTTTTTTATTAAAAAAAAAAGAAATACATAATTATCATATAAAATGTAAATAAATAAATAAATATAACATTAGATGATAATACTTAAATAATTGGAATATGTCTCGCTACCCTGTTTTTTTATGTACAAGCAATACATGAGTTACTTTATATCGTTAATTTTTTTTCTTTGGACATAAAGCTTAATTTAATTAACTCATTCAATAAGTTTTAAGTTCTTTACTTCTTAAAAAGTTAACAACATAAATCAAGGTTTTTTTCATAACTTTATATATTGTAGCCGTAAGTTATATATTATTAATTATAGTCACGTAGCATAATATCATTAGGAATACTGTCACATCAATATATTTTAATATCAGCGTTAGTATCATAGGAAGCATATAACATTACTAAATATACTTATTAAAGTAAAGGACAAACACTTTAGCACCGGTGAATTTTACATAAATTACACTAGCACTATTGAGCAAAAAAGATAACTTATGTTAACAAATCATAAGTATTACTAGCTTTTTATGTTAAAAAATCTGCAATTATAATACAATCTATGTTTGCGATTCGAGCTCGCCATCTTAGACGAATAATACGCAAAATAATATTGCGCTTTAGTGCGTCGATAACATAATATGCAAAAGATAACCCAAAATAGCGTTCGTGATTAACAAAAAAACTAGCGCAATATTGAGTTAAAATACTTGATGCACTTAGTAGTATATTATATAAACAATAAACCATATGCGTTTTTTGTTTATATTATAATCTGTACGAATGAAGTGATAAGAAAACAAAAAGGCATCGTGTGCAACATCGAGGTTAGAGAAAAGGAGGATGGTCGCTGGAGAAGAACGTATGATAGCTATAAAATTACTACATTATTTGAATACACGGCGAGCTTCTCAATAAGTTCAGTTATTAATATACACAAAACGCTTACTTCAAAAATACTGCTAACAATGACGTTACATGTTTAAAAAATAATTACATTATATTTTACAGTACAGAATTAAAGTATCATGCACGTGAGGATCTTTTTCCTTTCTTTAAACTTTATGTTGTACATTTCGAACAGCCACACTAATACAATTCATACAGTAGGTGATCGCTCATTAACGAAATGCTGTCAAATGCAAGTGTTGTTAGAAATACCAATACTTATATGGCAAACCGTTTCGAAGTTAAAGCGCTGTAGCACGGTAATGTTATGCATACAGTATTGCAGCTCTGCCCTGTCCTTGAAATAATTACCTACAGTCGCGCGGTACGTCCCCACAGGACAGGGCTGCCCGCCGGCCAGTATTTTAATTTCTCTACCTACTTGAGTTTCTAATTTTGTGATTTCAAATATTACATTTTTTATTCAAAAAATATTATTAGTAGATTTAATTCAAAAATCTATAAGGGTGGTATGTGACCCTTATAAATTTGAGATTGAAAAATATTTGCGCCTCGACTGAGACGTACGAAAAGCTTTATTGTTTAGTATAAAAAATCCGCATTCGGATAAAAAGTTTAATTAAAAATACTTTAATCTTTACTTTTAATTTAATTAATTTTTATTTTCAAACTATACGATGTCTCGATACTTTTTTGTTTGACATTAGCGAAGTTACGGGAGAAATAAAATGTTTATTTTTGCATCCAATCATAAAAGTTACATAACACAACCATCTTATACAATTTTCGTACCCAATTATACGATCTGGCAGCCCCGGTTGTCTACCGAGTGTATACCGAACGTGAGGCGCGTAGAGGTATAACTCGATTTCCGACCTTTTGTATGAAGATGGAATACTGTTTATAACATTACCGTGAGTGTGAGGATTAATAGATTGTGGGATGATGGGCTAAACTCGAGTATGCTCGGCTAATATCGGCTAGTACCGGTTGCCGTCGGGGTGCAGCAGCCCGTAGAGGTGCGAGGCGGGGTCGGCGAGCGCGTCGTCGGGCGCGCGCAGCTCCAGCAGGCGGCCGGCGCCCAGCACGGCCACGCGCGCGCACTCCAGCGCGCCCGCCAGTCGGTGCGCCACGAACACCACCGTGCTGGAGGCGAACGCGCCGCGGATAGTGTCCAGTATTGCGCGCTCGCTCTCCGCGTCTAGGTTCGCGGTCGCCTCGTCCACTAGTAGGATCTGAACGATATTCAAATTATATAAATAAATATAGCAAATATATTGGGACATTAACACACAGTACCATCTAGTTCCACGGTAAGCTACGAGGCTTGTGTTATGGATACCAGATAGTTGATACACTACACATATTATAATTTTAAATACATACATATTATAAATATAAACACCTTTGACAGGAGTACAAACATTCATGCTCATCATACAAATGTTTGCCTCCAGCGGGACTCGAACCCGCGACCGCTGGCACAGAAAGTAGGGTCACTACAAACTGAGCCAAACGTGTTGTCAAATAAACAAATATTCATTTTTTTGGCAACACATTTTTTGAATTTTTCTTTCACGATTTTTAATTCAAAAACATCTTTGGGTACTGTTTACTGAGCAATAAGGTATGAAAACGGGTAAGTTTATCAATAACAATCAAACATTTCAGTTTTACTATGTGACTTCGTGCGTTTATGAAAACAGTTTTTAGCGAGAACGTAACGCGGAGAGGCTGTTGAAATGCGAGGGTACGCAATATATTAGAAGGCCCGGTGACGAATCCAACTCGGATTATGGTACTTTGTTTTACCCTTCTAGTTGGTTCTTTCTTTTCATTCCATTATAACAAAAAATGATTTAAATACTATCTATTTACTAGCGAAATAATATAATAACAGTAACATAAACACTTAAGGAATAAGAAAACTTCTCCATAACATATGGCGTACCTACATTTTAATTCAGGATCAATTAAAATTTAAAATATTCAAACAACTGGAAAAAATATTTGAAACAGGATTTTAAATTGAATTGAATAAATAGAAGATTAAATCAGTTCAATAGTGGACTGCACCACAGTATACAAATGTCTATATACTACCTAATCTATTTCTCGACTGTTAAAAATATAATAATTATGACACTCGAGTTAATATAGTATTAGCCCAGTCTAGTCGTCTTGTTTAGACTGATTACTAGAGTGTGTAAAGGAACAATACCTTGGGTTTCTGCAGTAGCGCGCGCACGAGGCACAGCAGCTGCGCGTGGCCGCGCGCCAGCGGCAGCGCGGGCGCGTGCAGGCCGCCGCGCGCGGCCACCAGCGCGCGCGCCCCGCACGCGTCCAGCGCGCGCCACACCTCCGCGTCCAGGTACTGCTGCAGCGGGTCCACGTTCTCGCGGATGCTGCCCGTGAAGATGAACGGCTCCTGCGGTATCATGCCGATACGTGCCCTGTGCAGTTTTTATTGATATTATTTTATTGTTTGCATATTTCATTGAATCTTTACAGAAATAAATTTTAAAATTATAAATGGCGTCTTTACTCTTTACTCATAGAATGGAATTTATCATAATGTTTTATTTAATGCAGTTTGAAATCAATTAAAAGTTATTGTAGCTATTTAAAAAATAAATGCATGTATGTATAGGTACATTCAAGAATATTTTACATTTAATCTTAAAACGATCTAAAATGTTTTCAAATTATGTTTAATATTTTTTTCATAAAAAAAATGTATTTCTTCTTGCATTAATGCTATAATTATATTATAAAAACATTATAATAAACGAAAAAAATATAATGTTATGATTGACATAAATAATATTACTCGCTAAATAGTAGTATCCAGACAGAGACCTCTACCTGTAATATCTAAAAACAGGCTCTCAAAAAGAGCTAGTCATAGTGTAACTTCTAGCTTTGCGAACTGGCTAGTGACCACATAATCATATACGTCATATTAAACAGGTATGCGCAACTCTCAACTTAAAACAAAATATTAAAGAGTGCGTGTATGAATGTGTAGACGCGCAAGAAGTAAAACTTCTGTTGGTTACCGGTACTGTTTATGAAATTCAATTTATGTTTTAAATAATTAGGATAAGTGAGATACACTAAAAATATCTCATATTAGGCACATTACAATCATATGTTGATAGAATATAATTTAAGAAAAAATAAAATATTATATATCATTTTTCAGACAATAACAACGGTTACCATGGCAACAAACGTTAGCCTCGTACAATTATAATATTACTAGCGACTCACCCTCGCTCCGCTCAGGTTCGTCCCTTCTTACGTTTTAACGTTTCGATTTATTCTATACAGATATCTCAGAGATGAGTATTTTCCCGCAGTTAAAAGTATCCTATATGTTGACTCTGATAACCAGCTATTATCGTACCAAATTTCATCAAAATCTCTCCAGTGGTTTTTCCGTGATGCGGTAACAGACAGACAGACAGACAAAAATTCTAAAAGCTATAGATTTGGCTTTGGTATCGATAATAATGTCGATTTCAATAAGATTTTCCAAAAAATATTTAATGTACAGATTCGGCTTAGTTTCAATTATATTCTATGTATAGATTTGTCAGACAAAAAATGAACCTGAGCGCGTGCAGATGTAGTTTGGCGACGTCGACGCCGTCCACGCGCACGACGCCGGCGGCGGCGGGCGCCAGGCGCAGCACGGCGCGCAGCAGCGAGCTCTTGCCGGCGCCCGTGCGCCCCACCACGCCCACGTGCTCGCCGGGGTGGCACGCCAGCGTCAGCCCGCGCAGCGCCGCCGACCCGCTCTTGCTGCTGTGTACACATTACGCATATACAAATACATTTACAGACGATACGTTTGGCTCAGTTTGTAGTGACCCTACTAACTACTTGCTGTGTCAGCGGTCGCGAGTTCGAGTCCCGCAGGGGGCATTCATATGTGTGATGAGCACGATAGTTTGTACTCAAATCATGGGTGTTTATATTTATAATATGTATATGTATTAAAAGTTATAAATGTGTAGTGTATCAACTACCTGGTATCCTCTCTGAACTATCTCGGTGGTGTAGTGGCTAGCATGTACAGCTGCACACTCGGAGGTCCTGGGTTCGAGTCCCGGGTCGGGCCAAGATTAGTTATTGAGTCTTTCTGTATAGTAAGCCTCCGTAACAGCCCGGAGGTGGAAAGTTGGCGGTATTTCACCCCCGTGCCTTGGAGAGTACGTAAAGCCATCGGTCCTGCGCCTTAACCCTCATCGGTCGTGTCGAGTGGTTGTCCCACCAGAGTATGAGAGTGACAGGAATAGAGAGTGCACGTTGTGTCTGCGCGTACACTTGTGCACTATAATATCTCCTGCGCAGTTGGCCAGTCACAATGAGATTGGCCGCCGTAGCCGGAATCGGCTAGGAGAACATCATCAACTACCTGGTATCCATAACACAGGCCTCGTAGCTTACCATGGAACTAGATGGTGCTTTGTGTTAATGTCCCAACATTTGGATAACCCGGTTAATGGAACTTTACTTAAGTTGCCAAATCATACCGAAAAATCTACATATTCAATGAACATGAAAATATATCAATCGTAAAGAGAATTTGTATTGATTTTAACCTGAGCAGAATTTTATTTTATTTCCTACATCTATACTTATTATAAAAATAAGTCCCCCGGCCGCGTCTTTCTGTCCTCCTGTCTGTCTGTACGCGATAAACTCGAAAACTACTGAACGGATTTTTATACGGTTTTCAACAATAGAAAGAGTAATTCTTGAGGAAGGTTTAGGTATATAATTTATTATGCTTTTATGTAAATTAGCTGAAATACGGCGACAAATGTTGAAGAGGTCGCAAAAAATCTCGCCAAATGGGAACTTTCCACGCGAACGCCGCGTAAACTAGCAAAGATACAGTTAAGTAATGTACTAGAGAATTCAAAATCTATAAAAATGCTACAAAAAAGTCCGCGATAGCATATCTCTATCTCTTACGGTTGACTTACAATAACCACTTTTATGTTAACATTTTTAATTAAAAACATTACGTTATTTTCAAAGTTATTTTCTTTAGTTCGGTATTAATCCTTATCCAAATGAATATTTTAGTTAGCTTAGTCATTTAATGCAGATTAAAATTGCTCTTTACACTAAATCAATCAGATGAATAGTTTTTGAGATATCGTTGTTAGAAGTAATTAGTAGCGAAACATTTTTAATGCTTGGCGAGCATTGAGATGCCTACGGCGAGTCCATCCCCTCTGCCCCGCATCGCTCTTGTAAATAAAAATATCTTTTACAAACGTGTATTTCGCCCCTGTAGCCTGCAATATCGCGATAACAAGAAATGTGTTCTACTTGATTTTTACACTCAAAGATAGGAAATATAAAAATATTAAAAATGCCTTGGTATTTTCTTAAGCCCCTAGTACTGTTTATTAATATTATGTATTATTTGCAATACATGCGCAAGCAAACGCTCACGACGAGTACTTACTCGTTAACACTTGTTACTCTCATGTCAGTGCGCTAAAAATCATCGGTGGTCGGAGTACATTAAAATCTTAAGCATGTTCTATAAACACAAAACTAATAAGACACAAAAGATTTGCATTATTTGTATGTTCAGTAGTGTACTTAATACAATATTAAAACAAACATTATTCTCATTATATTATAAGAAAGTGCGTCCATCAGTCTCATATTTGCGTATAATAAAAGTTGCCGATTAATTATAATTTTAGGCACAAATTAACATTTAGAAATTCGTTTAATATATTAAATTATTTTAATAATTTTTAACTCGATTTTAAGAAGTCGAATTATTGATATGCAGTTTTAATTGTGTTAGTAAGCATTATTTTATTTGTTTATATTAGCTAAAAAAATATTAATAAGAATTTATTTACCCATATTGAAGGTAGACATCTTCGAAACTTATAACACCGTGTGACGGCCATCCGTAAGGAGGTGATTCTCCTTCGATCTTTTCGCTCTCAACCTGTCATATAAATGCCATATTTCAATTAATAATAATCAATATTGCAAATGTGTTTTTAGTTTTTACATTTTTTTTCCTTGCGTACGCAATGATCACAACAACATAACACTTTGTTTGTAATTTCAACTTCTATGATTGATTTAATTTGTTTTTTATTTTTTTAGGACACCTATGACACTACAAGTATATTTTTATTGTTTATACATGAAAGAATGATGAAAGCAATTTTTTTATTGTCCTGGGTTCGAATCCCGAGTCGAAGTGTAGTTATTCAGTTTTTGTGTTTAGAATATTTGCTCGGAGTTGGGGATGTTGGCAGTGTTTCACCCTCGATCTTCGAGGAACACGTAAAGCCGTAGGTCTTGAGCGTGATAAATCTCACCACGAAAAGAGTAAAACGAATAAAAAGTACACTTGTATTTGTGCTGTTTGCGCAATATCTCCTACATTTATTGCTTGTCTCATTGCGATTGAAATCGATCAGGAGGACTTATTTATCTATTTATACTATTAATATATTTTTTAATAAAAAATATATATTAACCAAAAGCTAACCTTTGTGATATATTCGCCGACGCGCTCCACCGCAATGAACTCGCGTTCCGTCTCCGTGAAGGCGTTGAGCACGCTGCTCAGCATGGAAGTCATCGAAAGCGCATACGATATCGCCAGGCCCACGAGACCTTCACAAAATTGAGTTCAAAAATGCTAAATTGTGAAGGAAAAAAATTATAATAAATATACATTTGCGATGGGAATTCATACTAGATATAAATTTTATTAACATACATTTAATAATATAACTTTAATACTACTTAAACACCACTTTAATTCTGAACTTGCCATGAGCCCGCTCTCATATGTTATATATTATAAAAATAGTTATACAATTATATAATATTATATTATAATACTCTATGCAATTATAGTGAAAACCACGAAGGCGAGATACCTAATTGCGCGGATAACTTAAACATATTTTATAATAAATTTTGAATTAGTGGTTTCAGTTAAGATAAGTGTATAATGTATATTATAGAGAACTAGCGATTTATCTTCGTTTCGCTCGGGTGTCTCTGGATTTTTTTGCCATACATTTTACATATTGCTTTATTTAAACCGTTTAGGCGGTGCATAAACTGCTAGTTTTTTCCGATTTCAATTAAACTTATTATGAATTCAGGCAATAGATACGTTTTTATCTAAATAAAAAAGGATTTTGAAAATCGGATTAGTAGTTTCAGAGGTTTCCCCAGTTTCTCTGGGGTTCCAAACTCACAAACTTTTCTTGTTTATAATATTAGTGTAGATGTGTTTAGCGTGCGCACCGGGGTCGGCGGCGTGCGTGGCGCGCTGCAGCACGGCGAGCGCCGCGGCCGCCGCCGCCGCCGCCGCGGCCGCGGCCTGCAGGCGCAGCGCCAGCCACTGCGCCGCCGCCGCGCCGCACAGCGCCGCGCGCTGCCAGCGCTCCACGCCGTCCTCGCCGCGCGCCGCCCAGCGCGCGCCCGCCCCCAGCGCGCGGATAGTGCTCAGCCCTGCACGCCATATACGACACAGAAATCGGTTAAATTACAGGACTTATGTTCTTATGTTACTTCACTAACGTAGATATGTTTTGTAAAATTTACTAATGCTTTTTGTGACGCGGCCAAAAGATCTGAGTGCAGGCCTAGCCTATCTATACATGTATCTCGCAAAGTATGAAATAATCCCGTGATTCATGTATTTATGTATACCACATACCTGGTATTCGATCCTCTCACTCACTTATACAAAACCTCAACGCTATAGACAATATTTGTCTTTCGTAACACAATGTAACATCTTGAACAACTGATTGAAATTTCTTAAATTAATTACTCGAACATTAGTCAAGTTATTAGTAGTTAATTTCACGCAATTAACTAAGTACAAATAATGTATATCCGTCGCGGGCTGATTAAACACCATTATATCATATATACGTATAAATCTTAGCGCGTGGAGTATATGCATGTACATAAATATTATTCTATATTTACAACCAACAAAAATATTGAAAGTACATTTTTTCATATAAATGAATCTCTATATAACTAAATGTGTTCATAAAATGCACCATTGAAATATAAAATATAGAAACTTAAAGCAGATTTTTTTGACACATCTTATAAATGGTATTTTAATATTTTCTTAGATATACGCGAATATTTGACATTTTAAATAAAACTATCTTTTCGGATTTTTACACGGGTTTAATTTGATTTGTGGCTACCGACGCTTAGAATGCTCTACGGCAATCATGGTCACGTGGGAGACAAGAGGGTAAGATCAAATCTAGATCTATCAAGATAGTTTTGTTTAAAATTGTATTTTACTTTATATTGTTTTATACATTAACGTGATTATTGTAATTTGTAAGTAAAAAATGTTGACCCTCTAGCGTGTCGTTGAAGTGCACGTAGACGGGCGACAGCGCGACGCTCTGCAGGCGCTTGAGCTGGCGCGACGTGACGCGGTAGCGGCGCTGCAGCCTGTATTCATTTAATAACTGCTATATTTCCTACTAGCGACTCACCCGCTACGTTTCAACGGTTAATATGGAATAAATAGACCATATATTAAGATGTATATAAATAGGTATGATGAGTTTTATTTCGCTTATTACTTGAGAAATAATTGATTCCCCATACAAACTTACATCCTCTTTTTTATTCACTTAAAAGGGATGATTTCCGGAATAAAAACTATCCTATTTCCTTTCCAGGGTCTCAAACTATCTTCATACCCATCTACGTTCGTTCAGCGGATTTTTAGTTTATCCAGTACAAACAAACATAGTAAACAAATTTCATCTCTTTATAATATTAGTATAGACGTGATATTATCGAAGTAATCTGTGCTCAAATGGTACACACTGAAGCCATTAACAAGAAAATTGAATTGAATTGCTATTATGGCAACCACGGTGATTTACATATTTTAATATTCATATCGTTTTTTCCTGTGGTTCTGTTAGCGTAGTAGATATGTAGATAAAAGATATATCTCCCGCCAAGACATAATCCAGTATACCTATAAACTATTTTCATTGTAAATTTTACTTTAAAATCGAAGTAACAATTTCGTTTATTATCTTTTTTGTTACTTACAAACAACGATTTTTATTACTTAAGACCCGTTATTTAAATTGTAGCCACAACCTTTTGATTATTAATTAATTAGCATAATACTTTACAAGAAGTTAAATTTTTCGTTAAAATTAGTATAAACTAAGAAAGGAAAAGTTAAAATCACACCTGTAGTAAATGAAAGTCATAGGTAATACGCCCACGAGCAGCCAGGGCAGGCCGTACACAGTGACCGCCACGGCGCCTGGCATTTACAAGAAATCATTGTTAATTATAATACATGTTTTAATATATAATACCACCTCCTTTTTTGAAGAAAATATATATAAAATATAGTATAATATCTATATACATAATGACGTAAATAACAAATAATTTTATATAATACTTTCTATTTTATTAAAATACAAATACGTACCTATTAAAGAAAACACTTGTGCGAGTAATATATTCAAGATGAAAGGTAGAGAATCGTCCACAGTATATGTGTCTGATGAGAATCGGTTAACAATCCGCCCAATTGGTGTTACATCAAAAAATTTCACATTTGCCTGAAAAAGCTCCAAAATTAATACAATCCATGCTAAATCTATAATTTAACAATCAATTTATGAAGAATAAAAAAATTGTATCTAATACTGCATTGAATTTTAATAAATTTTAATATATTATATAATAAAATAAAAAATATATAAATCAACACACCTTAACAATAACCTTCAGAAGAAGTTTGTGTATTCCGGCTGCAGCTTTGACGCCTCCGTACGCGAACAGGAACGCTCGCATTATTGTGAACACCACATTAAGGCCCGCGAGGCCGAAGTATACTTCCAAGTAGTAGCTATCATAGTTTATTGGCATTCTTAAGTCAGGTAGCACAGGTACTGTATTGAAATCTGTTCCGTCGTCCGTAGAGTTATAACCAGTTAGAATATTAATAACTTCCATGGATTTATTGACAATTGTATGAACAATTGCGTCAGCTATATTCATGCCGTGGTCGAGTACAGTTGTGTTTTCGTGCACGTTGTCTATTGCTTGTAGAACGGTCGAGTTTTTAGTTTGACTCTTTACCCAAAATGTAAGCCAGAGGAATGTGAAATTTTGAGAAAGTTGCATTAGAATAAGGGACATTATAATCGTCATAGTTAGAAAGCCCCCGACAGAGCGAAGGTATAGCCCGACTACCCACCAGCCCACGGTGCCCTCTGACATCGTTTCCTATAAACAATATTACATATTTAACAATACCTAATTTATTAAAATTGTTTTAAGTAACAATTTAGTGATGTAACTAAAAGTAATGAATGAATCTTATTTGGCAACTTTAAGCTACTTTGTATTAACACACAAGGTTCTAATTTAAAAAAAAAATTTTTCTTGGATTTATAGACAAATTACAAGACCGGGAAATGAGAAAGGAACTTATGCAGTAATTGAACTTTTGTGTATGCATTAATTGAAAATTGTTGCTCGATCTGTGTTTTCGCCTTATTTTTAGCACCAAATAAATAATTCTAAACGTGACAAACTTGACTTCTCATTAGATCAGGAGTATAAGCTCCAAAAATATAAATTAGTACATAGTTATATATTAGAATTCGCCATCTAGATCAAGCGATCGTTATATTTTATTAGATTTTTTTGTAATCTAAGGTTTATTTTATACCACCTGGTCCACGATCGCCCACGCCCTAATGATGTAAATTAAGTTCAACAAAATGTATAATGTGTTATGAAAACAAATAAAAAAATTTCGACGAAGAATGCGTATGAGCTAGCTTAGCCCTGGAGGCTATTCAACTCTACCCTGGCGTTTGAGATGTATATAAACATTACTTACATCATTATCCAAGCTATTTCGGCTGATATTGTCAAGGTCATCGCGTTTAGGCTCTAAGTCTTTTTGCGGTGGCTCCTCGCCTATAGACTCTGTCTCGCTTGGTAGGAATTCTTCTATTTCATTTAAAACCGTATCGGGAGGCCCTGGGAAACCAAAATTATCATTTTAGTTGTAGCAAAAAGTACATATAAGATGTATTTATTGCGTAATTTTATTGACAGTATAACTAACATTATTTATATTATATTTTCATGTTTACGCGTATTATAAACTTCGCCAGCCAGGATTTAAAAATAAATGTAATTTTTTTAATTTGTATGATATGAAATTGATTGTATATGAGAAATTTCAAAATTGACATAAAATCTAACAAACATTTAAATTAAATTCAATTTTCTTGTTAATTGTTTCAAAGCGTGCCAGTTGAGCACAGATTACTTCGCCAATGTCAAGTAGAATGGAGAAGGCACGAGGAATAAATGTATGTTTAAATAAATTAATAAAATGAAAATACCCATCGTGTGACATTCAGGAGCTTCTACTCTTAACTCTGAACTTCTACTCGCGTTTAATATAATTTTTAGTACACAGATAGACAGATTATGACTTGGAGTAACACGTGGCTACTGTTAGACATAGTGAGTCACCCGAACGAAGCTAGAGCAAATCGCAAGTATGTCAAGTCATTACCTTGCGCAACGAGCCGACCGTCGCGTAGCAGCAGCACGGCGTGCGCGCGCGCCAGCTGCCGCGGCGCGTGCGACACCAGCACGCGCGCCGTGCGCCGCAGCAGGCCCAGCACGCAGCGCTGCAGGATGTGCTGCGCCACGTGCGCGTCCACGCCCGACAGCACGTCGTCTAGGAGGTATACTGCGGTACAGAAATAGTCGTACTGACACATATCCCAATTACACGCTGCTAATGTAAATGTCTTAACAGATAAACCTAATACTATCCCCTCCAGCTTCCCATTTCGAACCCAAGATCTAACGAGTTGCATGTGTAAAAAGCAGCCAACTGAAATCAATGAATGATAGATCAACAGGGGGAAAGAAGTTTAATGTTACAAAACGCACTTATGAACTTTAGCGTAATGTAATAACAAAATATGATTTATGTAGGTTGTGTTAACTAAGAGATATAGTCCGCTTACAGGTTTCACATTAAAGTAAGCTTTTCAACTTTCCAACATTAGTACCCACTATTGTTGATCGATGGTGGTCGCAGTGTATATTTGATGTGGGTGCCCTTTTTTTAATAGAGTTTTAAGTTTTGACCTTTAAATGCTCGGAGAATATCTTTCAATATACGGAACTATAAATCAAATTAAAATAACTTAATTTTAGTTGGATGTAAGAAAAATCAGAAAAGTATTTAGAATGTAATTATAATTAAATAAAAGTTAAAATCTTTGCGTCTGTACTTTATAATGAAGAACATTGGCTTTAGAAGGAACAACATACAAGCCTTCTAGAAGAATTAGGAGTACTTAGATATTTATAGGATCATAATTAAACATGCTAGTGTAATAGCATTAAGCCAATAGGTTCGTAATAGCATAATTTAATCCATTTATGGTTTGAAGACAACAATATTGGGTCATATACCATTTTGATATAAGAATTCATAATTTGATATAGTTGATAATTAAATTTAAAATATGTTTTATTTGAATTATCTTGTAATTTAGTATAGTTATAATACAAAAATCATAATATTTATAATAATATAATTTACATTTAGAATAAGAAGGGACTTATCTGAGTAAAGTATACCTTGTTTGTCTTGGTACACGGCGCGAGCGAGCGCGATGCGCGCGCGCTGGCCGCCGCTCAGCGTGCAGCCACCCTCGCCGACGTACGCGTTCCAGCCCAACACGTTCAAGTCCTCTACTCAAATAAACCATATTTAGACTATGATATGTTTAAAATATAGCATATAAAATATAAAAATGAAAAAAAAAACATTTTTCAAAATCGAAAAAAATAGTACGAGTAATTATGGAAGGCCCACTACCGGACTGGGCTTAAAAGTTGCATGATGGATAAAATTAAAAATAAAACAATGTTCGTAATAAGTTATACAGACATTTTTTTTCAGTGAATATTATTAGTGCATCATATGTTTATTTATTACTAGCGGCTCACCCTCGCTTCGCTCGGGTTCACCTCTAGAAAAGCACAAACAGATCTATCCCACGGAAACCGTTCATTTTTCCGGGATAAAAATAAGTAACCTGTTGTTTGACCTGCAATATAAGGTATCAGCATGCCAAATTTTACTAAATTAGGTGCATAAGTTGTTGTATACTGAGCTGTATAAGTTACTATAATTTTGTAACTATCCCACGGGAACTCTTTAATTTTCCGGAATGAAAAGTATAAAATTTCATTTAAATAGGTTCAATAGTATCGGAGATTAGCCCGTACGAACAGACAAACAGACAGAGAAACAAAAAAAATGAAAAAAATCTGGATTTGTTCTATTTCTCTTCTTATGGGATGTAAGAAGAGAGCTGACTCGTTTTTTAGCAATTTTTTCTACCATCTTTGTACAGACATTCGACCTCTACAGTTTTATTATTCATATATGTACCTATATTCAGATAGAATAAATAACGTATAATAAAACAGAAATATATAATAATGAAAATAGTTATAGCGAGTGTACCTTAGGAGATAGACATATACTATCGTATGTAGAACTTTTTTATAGACCTTTTTAAGACTTACAATTTTCTTGTACAATGTTTTGATCTATCTCTTAAGGTTGAGCCAACGTTAGCCATATAAATTTCTAAGGACAATTCGATAGAACCAGTTATTGTATTTTCCCGTGAGAATGAATAATTTGTCTGTCGTAAAAAGTATTCTAAATGTTGACCCGAGCACTAAGTTTTATCACTATACAAAATGAAGGTAAAATCGGTTGAGTACTTTTTGCGTGAAACGCGCACATCGATTTGACTAAGTTTTATTATAGGTATAGATAAGAATAAATATTGCGAGTGTAACTTAGGAGATAGACATATACTATTCAGAACTTTTCTGTAGGACTTTTCAAGACCTACAATTTTTTAGTATATTGTTTTGATGTATGTCTTAAGGCTTAGTCAGAGGAAGATTTCTAGGGAGGAGTTATTATATTTTCCCGTGGGAAAGAAAGATTTTCTTTAAGTAAAAGGTATCTAGGCAGTGGTATCCCAGTGGTAACGCGCTCGCTTGGGAAACCGAGTGAAGCAAGTTCAAATCCCGGGTCTAGCACCTCTGATATTGGCCAGCGTGGTGGACTATGGCCTGATTCACCTCGTACTGAAGGGAGGCCCGTGCGTGTGTTAAAAAGGGCTGAATACAACATACATACATACATACATACATACATACAAAAGGTATCCTAAATGTTGACTCGAGTAATAAGTTATCACTTCACCAAATTTCGTTGAAATTGGTACATTACTTTTCGCGTGAAATGCTCACACAAAAACAGACAAACAGACATACAGGCAAATAGACAAACAGACATTTTTTTTAATAACTATTGTTTTGGGGTCTATGATGTGTACATAATACGTTACAAATAAACAAAAACATCTATCCCACGGGAAAAGTACGTTTTTACGGGATAAAAAGTTACCTATTTGTTATTCTGATGTATGAACTATATTATTGTAAAGTTTCATCAAAATTCAATCAGTGGTTTTTGTGTACTAAGCTGTATAAGTTACTATAGTTTTTTGACTATCCCACGGAAACTGTTTAATTTTCCGGGATGAAAAGTAGCTGATTTGTTTTTGTTATGTATGAACTATATTATTGTACAGTTTCATTAAAATCCAATCAGTAGTTTTTGTGTACTAAGATGTATAAGTTGTTATAGTTTTTTAACTATCCCACGGGAACCCTTTAATTTTCCAGGATGAAAAGTATCTAAGATGTTGCCCGGGGATATAAGGTACCACCATGCAAAATTTCATTTAAATAGGTTCAATAGATCCGGAGATTAGCCCGTACAAAGAGAAAAACAGATAATCAGCTCGCTCGGGTTCGTCCATACATACGAATATGTTGTATTATCTCTTTAACCATTTGTCCAAATTATATGCAGTAAAAGGGAAAAGTCTTTTATTTTAAGCATTTTAGACGATAAATTTACTTATTTTGATAAGAATTCATAATTGTTGATAATATGACCAATAAACATGACCTACCGATTTAAATGATTTTTTTAATATAAAAAACTACTTTTTGTGACTTAAATATAAAAGTTAGACATATGCTGTCGCTGACTTTTTTGTAGGCATTATTAAGCTCTACAACTTTTCTCTAGAACATAATCATATATCTCTCATCGTTAAGGCAGCGTTCGTAAGAAACGTTTTCGTTCGACCGTTTTTTCTCCGACTTACTTAGCAAATCCGACTACCACAAAAAAGCCTTTTCATTTTTCGGGTTAATATATAGCCTATGACACTCAGAAAGAACGTGGCTTTCTATTGGTAAAAGAATTTTGAAAATCGGTTCAGTAGATCCAGAGATTACCCCCTACAACGTCACAAACTCACAATCTCACAAACTCACAAGATCACAAACTTTACCTCTTTATAATATTAGTATAGACAAAAGAAATAACTGTGGCATTATTTTTTTATCAATAATCTTCCCATCGCACATGTATATGAAAAAGAAATACACTTCAAAATAATTTATTTACTATTAATATATATTTAACGAATATTTATTGAATGTTAAGAAACATTTGTTCATATTTAATAAATGAATAAATTGTTACCAAAAAAATGAATTTATTAACAGTTAATAAATTCTTCTATTACTGCATAATTAAACCGCAATATTATATATTATTTAGCCATATTTTACGAAGAAACATTTTTTACTTAAATTTACTTAGTTTTCTCGCAATTTACACTATTTCTTGTGGAAAAAAATACGTGATTTTTCCAAGACCACCCCCTCCCCCACGTGAGATTTAGTGAGGTTTTGCACGACCCCGTCCCCCACCTAAACGCCTCACGTAACTAATAGATACCCCGTAAGTCGCCAAATCGTTACTATTTAGTGGAATATAAGCAGGCACTTCCCTATATTTCTTTTAAAATACTGTCGATTGAATTAATAGGTAACTTAATCATACATGTTGTTAATTTTTGGGTCGATTTTATTGTAAAATTCTGATAATTATTAACCGGCTTAAAAAGTTTTCATACCTGTTAATGCACAAGCGTCCACCACAGATTTAAACTTAACCTCATCGTATGGTTTTCCAAATAATATGTTATCACGTATAGTTCCTCGTATGAGCCATGGCTGCTGTGACACATAGCCAAAACCTACAAAAAAAAACTTCATCAGAAATTACATGTTTTAAAATGTTTTCTTTTTATTTCCAAAATGATTATATTGTTAAAAAGAAACCTCTGTCTCTATATATGTTTAATCAATTAATCGTTAAAGTACAACTCACTGTTCAAATTTTCCGGTATTTGAACGTCCCCGCTCTGTTTCGTCATTTCGCCAATAAGAGCTAAGAGCAAGGACGTCTTGCCACTACCGGTGGGTCCGGCGACGCCTATCAATTCCTCTTTGCCAATTTCTAATGATATATTTTTCAATGAAAACGGTTCTTGTACGGTAGCTTCTGAAGACGACACGGAATCGCTTCGCTGTGTACGTTTTGATAAGTTCTTTTTGGATTTTCCCTTATTTTTCTTTATTTTTGACGGTGACTTACGACGTATAGTAGACTTAGACCAAGAGAAAGAAGCATTCTTCATAATGATCACTTTATCCTCATCTCTGTTCGTATTGAGGCGGTCATAATAATACTCAAAGTCCATGTCTTTTAACTAAAAATAAAAAATATATTTAAATAACTTATAAACTTATTTTGGATCAACACCATCTATCGTCTATTTAATGTTTAATAAAAAAAAACAATACAGCTGACTTACGTCCAAGAGTTTCTGAATTCGTTTAATCGATACCCAAGCCTCGGTCAGTCCATTTAATACCCAAGGAAATGCATTTAGTGGTGCTATTAACATGTTTATTAAGGCTACTGCCGTGAATACCTGTGAATAGTTTATTTCTTCTGAATTGAAAACTAGATGTCCACATATTATAATTCAATTTTAAATGTAGTTAAAATACATTATTACACTTTAAGAATTAACAAAGAAAGTTTCTGCTAAAAGAAAATATTAAAGATATTGTATGTAGCTTATACCTAAATGCCAAAGCTAAATTGGGTGTAGTTTACTACGCAAATATTTAAATAAAACATTATACATGTGTTTTGATACAAAATATGTGTAAAATGAGTACTTATGTACTGCAAAAGTATTCGCGATAGATCTGTTTAATGGACTCAGCCTTTTATGTTTATATACTGAATTAATTAAATCACCACATGAACTTTATCAACACCTGCAAGTAACAGTTTTATAACTAAAAAGTGTAAATATTGTAGTAATTGTAAATTAAAATCGCCAAAGATAAGGATAAAGTGTGTCAATAAGGCACTGAATGGTGGCCTAAAAGTGATAACAAACTCTTCTAAAACCAAGTGAAGCGGGTTCAAGCCCTGGGCCTTGTATCTCTAATATTTTCATGTTCGAATTATTTTCAACATGATCACCACTCACCAACGATGAAAGTAAAGTACCATACAGAAACCTGTCCATCGTTGGGGTAATCAGTTTTTGAAAGAAAGGTGAAGTCAGGCTGACAGCGTGGTTTACTATCATATATCTACCCGATTCCCTGTTGAAGACCAGCCCGTGCCTAGCAGTAAGACGCTAGTACTCAAATTAAGGAAAATAAAGCTAATAACATCGAAATAGTAAGTTTCATCAAATTAAAACACGCACAATGCTTTAGTTTTGATGAAAATGTAGTTAGCAATATATAAATTAATTAGTAATATTGGACTCGGTAAAATCATACGCCGCGCCATGAGAAGCCACCTACTAATAAGCTATCTCGTAGAGACGCTTTAAAGAAAACTACCCTTAAGTAAATTATCCCGTAATTATTTTTAACGTTTTAACTTAATATTTAAGGCGAAACGGCGGATGTATATATATTTATCGTCACAGCAACTCGAATTATGAAATAATAACGCTTTACTTAAAGGTGTAAGATTCTTCCGTAATTCTTTTGTAATTAATGCATTATTTTCTTTGCAAAATGATATATAGTGTGAAAGAACGGTTAAATATATATATATATATATATATATATATACTAAAAATTACGTTGTTCTAAAATTAGATGAGAAGGCAGAATAAAAAAGACAAAGCTACAATGTTGTTATCTCCAGCACAGGGCGTAGGGAGTAGGTACTCGGTACATACAGTGGGCGCGTCCAGCGGCCGACCGCGCAGCGCGTGCGTGCCCAGCGTGAGCGCGGCCACGAGCACGGGCGTGGTGGCCCACAGCACCACGCACACCGCGTCCAGGTACTTGCGGCCGCGCAGGTAGCGCAGCTCCTTGTTGCGCGCCTCTGTACACATTACATCGTTTTAACTTTTTAACATTTCGCGTTCCACAATTGTATAATAATGACACTAAGGGACTTATTACGCGTAAATTCGTCAGTGGTAGAATACCTTATTCCCAATGTTTTGACTGGATTGCATCAGCCGTGGTTACGGGCAGAGTCTACCCGCGTTAAAGTCAACACTTACTGATTTACTGAGAAAAATTACATAACAGACAGCTGATACATATACAAAAATATAAATTTAAATTCCTGACCGATTTCGGTGACCGGCCACGGCGGTCAATCTCACTGAGACTAACCTAACGCATAGACAAAACGTGGACACTCTATTCCTACCACTCTTAATGGAACAATACTTCGACACGACCGGTGAGAGTTAAGGCGCAGGACCGATGTTTTTACGTTCTCTCCGAAGCACGGGGGTAAAACACCGCCAACTTCGCAACTCCGGGATATTAGTGAAAATTTCTTGACAGAAAAAGTCAGTAACTAAACTTGGCCCAACCCGGGACCCGAATCTAAGACCTCTGGATCTGTAATGCTAGCCACCGAGGCAGTAGTACAAACTACAAAGTATTTCACCTACTAGAGCTCGGATTAAGAGTACTGGGGTTCCTGTCATATATATCGGGTCCCTTCACCTCTTTCTATTAAATGTGTTTCCATTTTAATCACCCACGATAAGACAACTTATATGATTGTTGTTTTTTGTAGATAAATATTGTATTTATGATAAGTGACCCGAGCTGTCTATTATATAATAAGATGACGTGTCGAGTTATTAACAAATTTTATAAATTGGGAAATTAATTATAATATGAACTACATTTTATATCTTGAGAACTAAACGAATCATTTTAAATGTCCAATTAATTGTACTCCCAGACAAATCACTGTAATCGCATTTGATGACATTTTGAGTTAATTTTTGCTTCAAAAAGTTCGATAGCATTAAGTGAATGACATATAAATATAATACAGTTTTAGTACCCTTGATTTACATATATCGTACCTGACACTCTATTAATAAAATACTCTTCCCAAACATGTATTTTCACAGTACGAATGCCACGAAGCATGTCGGTGATTAAGCTCACACGTGAATCTTTGTGCTTCATCATCTCAGTACTTAATTCTCCTATTTTATTTGCCACATATTTGTTGATTGGTATCAAAATTACGGAAAAGCCAACTCCAGCCAAGAAAGATATCCCAACTTGTTGATACAGAAGAAACAGTGTTATTACTAGCTGTAATTAAATTATAAATTGCCAATTTTAAAACCTTTTCTTCTTATATACAATATTATCTTAAATACATCATCATTATCTTACCTGTAAAGGTATACTCCATAACGAATGAAAACTGGGACATGAGTTGACAATTCGATCAGTATCAGTTGACATGAAGTTGGTAATTTCACCAACACTGAAAGCTTTGTCGAGTTCTGTTGACGTCACACTGAGAGTTTTTCTCAATATTGTTGACACTATCGCTCCACGCATCTTTAATCCGATAATGGACATTAACCAATTGAAGTGAACATTGGCCAAGGCGGCAATAATTGTGGCTGCTAAAAGGGAAGCCGCATAAATATATCTGAAAGAGCGAATGCGAGATTTAAAAATGTTCGCATTGTTTATATAAAAAAGCGCATCAGACACAAAACTAGGAACGCCTGACCTTTTATAACGGGTGGACCGGTATGACCGGGTTCTTGGAGTAATACATAGGCACTGTTCAGCACCTAGGGACACTCAAGCGAAGCGAGAAAAATCGCTAGTATATTTTGTAAACAATTATTTTAACCACTGTTTCAACTTACCCAAAATGCTGGTCAATAGAGTCATCTTGGACAAATATAACTAATTTATTCAAAAGGATCGGCCCAGCAAAACCCGCCATATCAGAAATAAGTTTCAGCATTCCAATTCCATAAAATTGAAGACCAAAGCAATGGTGGAGTGCACGGAAAAGCGATACATTTTGACGACGCTCTGGACGTAGCAAGACTCGTGAAGTAGGAGTCACTGGAGTAGAAATTTGTGGCTGTATTTCTCCTGTTGCTCCATAGCCTAATTAGAAAACAAATTTATCTTAGCACTGAGCTTTTAATCATACAGATATATAGTTAGTGATTAATAACACATTATGACAGCAGTAGCTGTATCTATTTCAAATAATTGAAACTTAACTAAAGTCATAAAAAGTAACAAATGCTCTAGTGTCCAACCGAAAGTTCGGTTTCGGTCGAGTTTCGGGCAAAAACGGGTTTCGGTTTCGGCGGCAAACCTGCCGAAACTACGACCGAAACCGAAACTGCATTCGAGAGTTCTCGCACTGTGATCGGTCATGTTCGGCGCGATGAATTCCTTACAAGCGATTAAGACATTTTGCCGCGTCCACGTGCCCAATCATGTCGTAACTGGCTTGTATTTGCAGTTCATTTTGTTTGTTGTGAGTTTTTCCATTAGTTTATAATTTAGTCGTCTAGTTTTTGTTTTTTTTTTATATTTTTGTTTTTTTTTTTACTGAAACGTCATACAAAATGATGACTTAGTTTAGAAGGAGTTAATTTGTTCTTAAGATAAAAGTTGAGGTTGTTATGTTGATTATCAATAAGTGAAAATATCGAAGACTGCATAGCCATGTGATTTAAATTTTAAAGATAAAAAATAAAGACAGACTGATTATAATAGCGTTTTCTTTATTTTTCACTCAAAGCACGATCCTTGTAAGGAAGTGTCGGTTTCAGTTTCGGTTTCGGCCGAAACTGAGACTGTTGCCGAAATTCGGTTTCGGTCGTAAAAACCAGTTTCAGTCGGACACTAAAATTGTCAGTCAGAGGAAATGTTTTACTTGCATACTGATTTTTTTTTGTGTTCTTATTTATCTATATTTAATTTTACTCAATGCCAACTAGAAAATATTATACAATATAATATATAGGTTTCTAGTTAAGTTGCCATGGAATATTGCTCAATTGTAAAAGTAAGTCTTCAAGCTAAGTAAAGCCACTGACTGAGTTCACTTGTCTATAAAAATATTACTTACCTGACCCTATGAATGGTTCATGTGGTACTTCAGCAAACTGTTGGTAATTATCAACATTTCCAATAAGTGCTCGATCCAATCTTGCTCCAACATAGGAACATCTATACCTAGCTGGAATGTCATGTAGCTCTTCGGGATCCTGTAGCTTCTTCTCGAAACCTAAAAGTTATTTAAAAAAAATGTGAGTGTTAATAATGATTTCTTAATTAATATATAATATAAGTACAGATTAAATAGTGTGCATTTGCATATTTTACCTACCAATGCACCTACAATTCATCATTTAATTCTTTAAATAAACATACAACTGCAAATTTTTAGTTAGTATATTCATGCTTAGTATAGTTTACCTTTTTGAAGAAGTGGGTCAACCCAAGAAAAGGTGAGCTTAGACCAATAGTTAGAGCCTTGCATAGCAGTACCCAATATACCCTCATCACCATGGGGCAAGAGTGGAGTGTACTCACTCTAAAATTTAATAATATAGATCATTCTGTATTAGTAAATTTATTATAGTATAATATATTGTTGATTATGTAAGTTACTTACATGAGAATGTTGCGAACCAACCAAGCATGGTGAATAGAATGTTGGTCTTGACTCACTTGATGGTAACAAAGTGATAAAGTATGCCGCATGGCAACACACTGCAGCAATATTGAAAGCAGTTATATCACCAGTAATAATAGTACTTCGAAGTGCTATTATATTTAAAAATACTAATGTAGTCCATAAGACAAGTTGACATAAAGGCCCACGGGCACTTTGTCCCAAACGGTGTTTCAAAGCCAAAACATATCCAAAATGTACAAGCCATGCTAAACACGCGGCTCCAGCAGTAAAATAATTAATAGGAAATAAATTTAAATCCTTATTGGTTAAATAGACATAGACCTTTACAATTGGAATGAACATTAAGACTACTACAACAAAACTACGTAGTGTTATAGCTCTCTCCTGTGTTTTTTCTCTAACTACCCAATTTTTCCTAAACCCTACATAATATCCTGAAGAAATTGCTAAAATAAAATAAATTGGTATCTGCAGAAATAATTCTTGAAAGCACATCCCAAAATCTTTTGTAGAGTCGTTCCATGGGTGTAAGCCCGCAGGACCACATACATATTCCCATTTCCATGTTAAATTCATAAATGAAGTCATTGTTATACCAGCACTATAGTAACAATATCACTTTAACTTAGTCTTTAGGAATATATCAACCTATTTTCATAATTATATTTAATAATTACATAGTTATGTACACATTACATAATATTGACACTAAATATCTTTTGCAATTCCGATGGTAAATTTCACATTAAAACTACTATTTTGATTACAGAAAATCCCCTATCAGTATGACACATTGAATAAATAAATAACTATTGACATTTGACATTGATGTCTTCAGTCTTGCTTCAAGTTGACAAATCCGATTGAGATATCTATCCCAAATATTTACCCTGTATTCATTTATTTAACGTTATGGAGGGTAAGGAGGAGTCTTATATGGAAAACAACTTGAAAAGGGGCTGAAAATAAATGGCGCTGGCGTACGAAAAACTGCGATAGGTATGAATTTAGAACAGTTGTAGACGTCCGGTAGTTTTCCAAAGGGAAAGATTTCTCGAAAGGAGGACGCCACACATAATATAGTCTATTTACGTTCAGTCTGAGGTTATGCAATTTATTGTGACATCTCTTTTATACCTTGTTACCTGTGCAATGTATTGTATCTGTAATTTAGACAGCAGAAGAAAGAATTGAGAAGGAGAGGTGCATCCTGCGGTGATCCTGATTCAATAATGGATCAACACACAGCCTAAACGGTTGGCCGTAGAAACGTGAAATTTGTAGAACGTATTTAATCGAACGTAATCATCCGATAAGAAATGATTTTTTTAAATTCATCCCATAAAAGGGTAAAAGACGGTAATAAAATTTATACGGGCAAAGAATTATTTATGTTCAGAATTACTTGAAACTTGGTATTGATGCTCTTCAACACAATTAAATAAATACATGTTTTAGAATTTTGCGAAATTCAATCCCATAAGGGGATAAAAATTAATGCACAGAAAGTAATATTTAACTTTGAAATGAAAAATAAAACAATACAAATATTTTGTATTAATTTTTGTATTCTTGTGGGAAAAGCTCCTCTTTCAGATTTCTATTTCGTCTTTCTTCCCTAGCAGCTGCATAAGTTAATAAGTATTTGGACCAAGGGAAAACAGATGGCACTGCATTCTTTTTTTACTTTCGACGTTGTAAATTAAAACCTGCAATTTAAACAATTGTGGCAGTTTATATACAACGACTACTCAGCCCAACTGGGGCTGAGTAGTCGTTGTTTATATTACTAGCATTCTGTGTATGTATGTATATGTATGTATATTACTAGCATTCTGGCTCCGCCCGCGTTGAGGTGACCAAAAAGCTAATTCTTAGGTTTTACATATTAGTCCTACAAATACTCTTACAATGCAGTTTTTGTATTTTTTCTCAGAAATGCGATATTTTCCCGTGGTAAAAAGGATCCTTTATGTTGACCCGGATAACCAGCTATCACCGTACCAAATTACATCAAAATCCCTCCAGTGGTTTTTCTGTGATACGGTAACAGAGAGACGGGCAGACAGATAGGTGGACAAAAATTCTAAAAACTATAGATTCGGCCTCTGTATCGATAATAATGTCTATTTCAATTAGATTTTCCAAAAAATATGTAATGTACAGATTCGACTTAGCTACAATTTTATTACATGTATAGATGTATGTATATGTAAAAGTACCAATAGTAGTAAGAAAGAAAAAGAAACAACTATTCACCTGTAGACGATTTAACAATTTTAAAATCACCTTCTGTAGAATGATGTCCACATAACATTAAATATTAAGGATTGTGGATTCTATTTATACTATGAGGTTTTACGTCCATAGAAGATGCGGCTAAGGGGAAAAGTAGATTTTTTTTATTAAACACATATATTACGATTTAAGTGACTTTTATATATACAATCACCTAAGGGCAAGTCACTTTATTATTAAATATTTTTTTTATTAAATTTTATTTGCAAACTAGCGGCTCATCCTCGCTTCGCTCGGGTTCGCCTCTAACAGCACAAACAGATCTATCCCACGGGAACCGTTCACTTTTCGGGGATGAAACGTAACCTGTTGTTTGACCGGCAAATATATCAGCATGCATAAATTTTACTAAATTAGGTGCATAAGTTGTTGTGTACTAAGCTACTATATATTTAGTGTATAAGTTACTATAGTTTTTTGACTATCCCACAGGAACTCTTTAATTTTCTCTGATGAAAAGTAGCTAATTTGTTATTGACATGTATGAAATGTTATTGTAAAGTTTCATTAAAATCCAATCAGTAATTTTTGTGTACTAAGTTGTTTAAGTTATGATAATTTTTGACTATCCCACGGGAACTCTTTAATTTTCCGGGATGAAAAATATCTAAGATATTGACCGGGGATATATGGTACCACCGTGCAAAATTTTATTTAAATCTGTCGAATAGATTCGGAGATTAGCCCGTACAAACAGACAAACAGACAGAAAAACAAAAAATTTGACAAAAATCTGGATTTGTTCTATTTGTCTTCTTACATCCCCCTGACTCGGTTTTTAGCATTATTTTTCTATGTACAGACATTCGATCTCTACAGTTTTATTATAGTATAGATAGATATTACTCAAATTAAACTAAAGTACACACTGGTAACTTTCTAAAAGTATATAATGCTTAGCCATGACCTTCAAAATCATTAGGGTAAGTATCTATAAGTCAGTGACATCTACTCTGGTAGATATCTTGCCAATGGAAATACGCCAAATGAGAGACTTTTTCACTACAAATTTAAAAATTTTAAACGACATAAGTTAATATTGGGTTAATAATATATCACACCTCAACTATTACAGTATTGTCGACTTTAGGCAATAAATACAAATAAATTAAATACATTTTATAAATTTTACAATTATCCAGTGGAGAGACACACCCAGTTTTCCAATTAGAGCATTAAAGCGCATTATGCGGCGTAATATTAACTTCGGATGTTCCCACTACAAAAACGCGCCGCTCATTCGAGCATTTTGAAAAGTACTGCTTTGGCGTGATGCGCTGAAGGATACCAACTCAATAACAGAAAATATGAGAAGTGTTTTTCTTCAAGGTGGCATTGATACAAATTTTATTTACATTATCGTTAGTAATATTTGTTTATATTTTATTTTTATAATAATATATTAATTAGTTATATATTATTCAATTCATTCTATATCTATACTAATATTATAAAGAGGTAAAGTTGTGAGTTTGTGACGTTGTAGGGGGTAATCTCTGGATCTACTGAACCGATTTAGATGAAATTTGTTAAAAGGTTATTTGAGACACTGGCAACAACATAGGATACTTTTTATTCCAGAAACCATCCCTTAAGGGAGTGAAAATGGGGATGAAAGTTTGTTTAGTGAAGCTAGGGACGAACCCGAGAGAAGCGAGGGTGAGTCGCTAGTTTAATGTATAATTTATAATATCGACGATATGTATTATTATATATTATTAAATACATTTATTTCTTTCCTAAGCCTAGTGCCCTCTGCTGGTGCACTTGAAAACTAATTCACGTTCCAATTAAGCATTAGCACACTTCGGCTTTGTGCGTTAAAGTTACTTTAGTAAAGTACGGCAATATGCTCTGTAATTGGAAAACAGGGTGTAAAACAAAAGTCAAAGAGTATAGTTATAAACTGTAAAAGCTTGGAGGTTGTAGATGTTTGCTAAGCCTCGGCAAACATGTAAATGTAACGTTATATATTATGTCAATTGTCATTTGTCAAAAGTCAAAAGTAAAACTCAAAATCAATTAAATTCAGATTTCAGAGTGTAGCATTTTTATCGAGTTTGTGATCACAGACCAGGGAATTAGAAACACGAAAAACAAGACTCAAAATAAAGCAGTTAAGAGCGTAGCCGTAGTTAGTTACGGAACGAGATACGTGCATCAAAAATATCAAGTCAACATTTTTATTTATCATCCATGATTTCTATAGTTTGTGGAAGTCCTAAAGCAATCCTCGTGAGAGTATTTTTCTTTCAATTAGTCAATTAATACTTGTTACATTTTAAGATTTGTGTGTGTGTGTATTTCCAATTTCTTGGTTATGGAAGATACCTACTGTTATAATAAACAAAGCGATAAGGATGATTATAAAATCGACCCAATTTTTGATATTATTGACTATCTTGTGAGATGTGCGAAAATATCATTTAAAAATTCTTCTATTAATCAACCCGAATTAAGAACAAATGATAAAATTCAGTTTGCATATAAACTTTTTAAGCAATCTCCAGTACAGTTTTTGCTGCAATTTGGAAAATATTTATCTCCTAATCATCTACACTATTTTGAAAAATTGCAAATAAATAATGATAAATTTCAAAGTTGTGTAGCAGAGTTAAGATTATATCATTCTAATAAATGTGCAAACAAAAGAATAAGAAATAGAAGGTATAAAGCTTTACAAAAATTGCAACAAGAAACAGATTATTTTAGTGAAAAGCAAATGATGCTTCGTAATCCATTGCTATATGAACAATTAATTGGCCAGTATTTAACTGATGATGAAATAAGAGACAGGGATGCTGTTGATAGTGAAAATCTTACGTTCCTTAATTTGATATTAGATACTGTAGACAGAAATGAAATGAATGAAATAAGAAACAAGCAAATGCAAATAGAGGAGAAAGAAGTATCAAATGAAACATATTTTAAAGATAATGTTGGTCAAGAAAATAAGGTTTCTGTAAAGGAAAAGCAATGGGGTGACTTTGACATTCCAGAGATTGATTCAGCTGGTTTACCAGAATCACAAAAACATGCTGTGATTAATGCAAATGAAAGAAATCTTCTTAGAGAAGAGTTTCTTCAAGAAATGTACAGTAGTTTTATTGAAGGTAAAGATGTTGATTTTGATTATAATTCTGTTGATAATAGTGAAGAATATGATGATTTACAACAAATGTCACAAGATGCTGAGGATAAATATTTTGACTCTGTAGAGAATGATGAGGAAACTTTAGAAGAACATATTAATTATAGAGAAGATTATGGTACAAAGAAGTCACCAGGATTTAATAGTGCTGTTAATGACCCACTTGATATATTTATGGAACATATCTCAAAAAATCTCCAACAGAATGTATAACTTGTCAAAGCTAATTTATGTACATAAATTTATTATCTAAATATTTTAATAACTTGGTAAATGAAACTTCAACCTTTTTAAATGTTACATCAGAACAGGAAAATATTTTTTAAAGATTATTTTTCTTATGAGTATTTGCAACAAGTTTATAATTCGCACACCTACATCTAAACAGTGATTACCTCAAAAAAAAACACTTTTTTCAGAAAACATGAAAAACTGATTACTGAATCCTTGTGCACTCCAGAAGTTTTCTGTATTGATCAATGTATTTGAAATAAAAAAAGATGAAAGATGTTATAGGAATCTTGTGTTTCAATTCTATATTAGGCCTAAAAATTGGATTTTTATAGTTGTTTCTGTATTCTTAACAAATTGTAAGTTTATTTTTTGTAGTTGAACCTGTGTTGGTGAATTTAGTGTTTAGTTGTCTCTCTTTTGAAGAGTCATCATGCATTTAAAAGGGACAGCATTTTGAATGTATTTATAATAACCTGACTAATAGAGGGTCTGAGACCAAAAGTAGGGGTAGATTGGCTGATTTTTAGAAATTAGCAAGAAAACACAGAATTAAATCCTCAATCAGACAATATTTTTTATTAATACTACGAATTCTCTCTGCTTTTCAAGATTTCCGAATTCCCTAAAATGCATCAAAAAGCCATTGCCTTGATAGTTCATCTAATTTACTGTACATTGTAGCTGACAAATATTAAATATACAAAATACACATTTCTGGTTTACATACTCTTTTTTTGTCCTTTTTTTGTTCTATCATATCACGGGCTGTTAGGATTTTTTTTAGCAACCATTGCATTAATAATTTCTTAGATTTACGCGAATATTTCGCATTTATTATAATTACAATAATAAAACGCTTTTAATCTAAAACCAAGAGACCGAGTCTCTCCCGTGACCATGATTGCTATAAAGCATTCGAAACGTCGGGAACCAAGAATCAAAATAAATTCTCGAAAAAATCCGAGAAGATAGTTTTATTTAAACCCATTGCATCTTTGGTATCCGACGAACTACCAGAACTTGATGAACTAGTAGAGCTGCTACTAATTGTTGCTGGACGAAGACAACGATGAACTAGTAAGAACGACTTTAGATGATGTCCTGTTTTATGAACAAACCCGAAATTAGGATCTTCATCTGAGTTATCAATTTCGCTTTCTTCACTTCGGATTGGTTGCCACTTCAGTTGTTTAGATGTGCTCGGATAAGATTGATCAGCCACGGATATGCTTGATAATATCTTTATGTAGTCTTCTTGCTGTTGCTTATTTTCTAGTACCATCTTCTTCTGTATTATTGGTTCAAGTTCTTGTTATAAAGGTCTATTATCTCGTTGCATATTTTCATATTGAGTCAGTCAGCTAGGGCCGATCTTTTCTGTGTCCCTTGCTCAACTATATTTACTAAAAATAGTCCACGATTCATTCTTTTTCTAAAAAAAAGTGAAACTAAATAAATAAATCTGATCCGTTACGACACATCGATTTGATGAATCGAATTACGTCTGCGAACTGATGAACTTCGATATAGTAAAATTTGCTATAGCATAGCCCATCTAAAAAGCTCTAACTTGAAAAATGTATATTAAAACACAACAAGCTTTGTAATTACTAGGATAAAAATTAAATAATATTAAGATGAAAAGACTCCAATCACCACTAGCAAAGTTAATTTTAAATTGGGTTTTACAGAAATATAAGAGTTTAAAAAATGACTCAACAAAAAAGACTCAACTAAAAATTTAAAAAAGTTTCAACAACACAACAACTATTCTAAATAATAATAATAATAATTTATTTATTATAATATAAACTAAAACTTTACTCATTTTCCTATGAACACTGGTTCAAGTCAAAATGTTGCTTTAATTTACTTAGCACTAACCATCAAAATGGTGACAAGTTTAGTAATGTTATTACAATATTCTGGTTTACCTCAACAATGCAGAATTAACTCAAAATAACTCTAGTTTGTTTACGACACCCACATGCATTTCGCGTATAATACCTACTGACAGTAACTAGCTATGTTCCTGTTTTGGTGGTGGAGAATCGGGCTCTTTCATACAACAAAAAGGGGTTTTAGTGTCACCTAACATTGAGAAATGTAACTATTTTTGTGTCTGTTTTATTGACCGCTAGCTAGTAAGTTAAGGAATTCGATGGTATGCGTAACTAAAAAGATGAGTTTTTTGAGTTAGCTCTGTTTAGATCTAGGTGTGCGATGTGAAATAGTATGAGTAACTTAATATGAGTTGTGAAAATAGTTCTAGTTGTTCTCAAATGTTGTAGATACTAGGAATAAAAGTGCAGACACAAAAATATTTGTAAAATTTAGACTAAAGTGTATTTAATATAGTATAACACAAATAATAATGTAAAAAAGCTATAAATTATAGTTTTATTTCTTGCTTTCTTTGTTTGCTTTCTCGTAACTGACCCGTGGATCTACTAAAAGTTCAATCTTCACATCCACGGGAAAATTTCCTGTACTTAGAATTTCTTATTTTTACATTTACCTATAAATAAATTCTCAAAAACAAAGTATGTGGTGTTTGTTTTTAATTTGGGGTATTTTTTGGGTCTATGTTTTAGGTAATTTACCCACTATGGTAAATTAACATTTATTTTATGTTCATTATTTTTGTATGAAATCGAATTATGAAACTCAGCCACAGCCCACAGGGACTGGTGTCAAATACGTGATACGGGTAAATAATTTAAAATTAAAAATATAAGTGAAAATTATGATTACTTACTATTTATTATTAATGGACTTAATTTTATTGTTTATATTAATAATAATTACAAATCAAATTAAATCCATTTTATTAAAATTAAAAAAAAAATGGAATAATATACAGTCTTTTTCCTCATGAAATTTACTTATTATAAAACATATTTGTAATGGCTGTTATCGCACTTCCATCCAGCGAAGTAATTTTAGAACTGGAGAGACCGCCGAAATCGCAGAACATGTATTGTATATGTAAGTTTTGGTTCTGCTGATTTTCAAGCCAACATTCTCCAGCCTTTATTGCCATTTTTCCAGTCTGCTCTAGACCTTGCACCCCTTTCACCGACTAACAATGTCGTCTGCAAACAGCATACACCAAGGTGCCTCTTCCTGTATGTCTGATGTCAGAGCATCTATTACCAACAGGAAGATGTATCAACCCAAAGCCAATTCTTGGTGCAAGATACTGAAATATTCGGTTGTCCGACCTTATATGAGTGCCAGACTCTGTACATAGCACGAATCAATTCCACATACTTAGCAGGCACCACAAAACCTCTCTTGGAACCCTAAAAATACGCCTTTTCCAGGTCAACAGACACCATATGCAAGTTTTTGTGCTCGCGTCTGTACTTCTCACATACTCGTAGTTGGCGCATTGCGAATATGCCATGTGTTGCCCTGTATCATGGCATAAACCCAAATTGTCTTTGTATTGTCACACTCTCCTCTCTCAATTACTTTCTCCCAGACTTTGTATTATGAGACATGAGCTTTATTCCACGATTGTTGAATTCCTGTAGATTTCCTTTATTTTAAAAGATGGGCAGGTGAAAAATTAAGACCCCCTTTGATCAACAATACTACTAGATATCGTGTCGCCGTAAGAAATCCGTCTCGGTAAATATAAGCTCACTTGCAAAGTGAGCGTATGTTTTGATTAGTTCTGTTGAAACACTGCCAACGTAAACACGTTCACAACGCCGCAATGTGTATTTAAAAGTTGCAATAATGATGCGCGAGGAGAAATGTACATATATCCTGTCATATTTTAATCATACTGTGACAAGACGTCACAATAGGATTAAAATATTTTATCAGCTGCATGTAACATTAAAATCATGAAAACGACATCATATCCAAGTCAATATCAGCATGATATTATAGTGTTATAGTCCAATCAATTATGCCTTTCCAAAAATTGACCCTTTTTTAAGTTCGACCAGCGCCAGTTAGATATTTTTAGTTTTATTTAACCACTCACTATCGTAAATTACATTTTAAACGTATAGATTGGATATGTATTTGTAATTGTCTCTTATAAACCTTCATTTTGATATTCTACACGATAGGTTTGGACGAAAAAGTTTTTTCAAGACACACATTGACTCCTGTAATTCGTCATTTCGATTTTTTATAACATCTATGCAGGTATATGACTTATGACACGTTATCAAGACCAATCTAACAACGATTAAATTATCAAAATTGTTTAAGTCGTTTAGTTATTACAAGGGAACATAGGTTCGGACATACATAAATATACACATGAGAATCCTTTGAGCTTCGCCGCAGTTGTATAAAAAGAAGAATGCTTTAAAAATATTAGAAAAGTAAAGTGGGCCAGGCCCTTCTGATTATATTGGGTAATTAAAATAATTTTTATACCTATGAAAACAAAAAGTAGGTAGATCATCTGTACATATAATAAAACTGTAACTAAGCCGAATCTGTACATAATATATTTTTTGGAAAATGTTATTGAAGAAGATATTATTATTATCGATACAGCAGAGGCCGAATCTATAGTTTTTTGTATTTTTGTCTATCCGTGACCGCCTCGCGGAAAAACCACCGGAGGGATTTTGATGAAATTTGGTATGACGACAGCTGGTTATCCGGATCAACATATACTTATGATACTTTTTACTGCGGGAAAATATCTCATCTCTGAGAAATCTGTACTAAACGTTAAATTACCGTAAGTAGGTACGAACGGTAGGTAAGTCGCTAGTAAATTATAAAAAGCATATGATATTTGTAGCTCCAGAGTTCTTTTATATTTAAAAAAAATATAAACAATAAGTGTTCATATAACTTAAAATCTACTTTCCTAAATTTCTATTATAGCCACGAGACTTAGTTTTTCAGGTACGTTATATTATACAGGTAACTAGCAGAACCCGCGGCTTCGCTCGCGGTAAAACTAAAAAAATATATCTAAAAAGGTAGTTTCACACAAACTTTCATCCCCTATTACACCCCCTTATAGAATGATGAATTTCGAAAAATGCTAAAATACGTATTTATTTAGTTTTATTGAAGAGCATTAATACTAAGTTTCAGGTAATTCTGATCATAAATATGTTTTTGGATTGTATTATAACGTGTTCTCCCGTGGGAATGAGATAATCTCCCGCGGTAAAAAGTAGCCTATGTCACTCTCCAGCCCTCGAACTATCTCCACACAAAAAATCACGTCAATCCGTCTCTCCGTTTCAACGTGAAAGAAGGACAAACAAACAAACACACTTTCACATTTATAATATTAAGTATGGATTACATAAAATTCGTAATGGGTTAAGGGTTTATGTGTTATCTACACTTGAACACTTAACCCATTAGTTTTGTAATTTCAATTTGATTTATTAAACAACAACAATATTTTACTACTATTTATTAAACATTTCCATTTAAAGAAAGTGGATGGTCAGAGTGAACCCTGGGAGCAACCCCTTGGTTGTTGTGATGCGTTTCGGCAGGCCAGTCGTCAAAGCGACATGGTTGAATGCGTATGTGATCCTGTGACGCCCCATTAAAAGAGGGATGGTTCCGTTGGGGCTTAGTGTGTAATAGTATAGTATATTAGGGCCTTAGGATGTGAGTTCCACACCCGTATTTATGATTTATGAAGGCGGTATGCGTGAAAAAGGCGTAGCGTAAGTATATCATACAATTAAGTACCTATATATGCAATGTATTATTTTATTATTAACTAGTTTAATAATTTTGTTAAGTATGTTAAGTTGTTTAGTTTCATATTATGTAATAATTGGTCATTAACTTTTATAAGGATGTCCAAACCATTAACACTTTATGGATATGTTACACAGTGTTATCAACCTTGCAAAAGAATTTAAAGAAAGTTGGCGGCTTACTTTATATCTAAGGTACCTAACCTATATACATATTATATAAACAGGTACCTATGTTGTATAGTGTTTATATAATAAGTTTATGTTTTATATGTCCACCTGTAATATTTTTATCAATAATTAACCCATAGAAAATTTCACGCTATATCCGTTACTTCAAGGTAGGTAGAAATATAATCTCTACATACTCTTTACATACTCCTTTTGCTTGTTACAATGTAATTGTTCTCTTTCTACACGCTCGTCGGAAGGCCTCAGACTTTTTATTTGACCTTCGTTCCAGTATAATAAACATTAAGACTTTAAAAGTCCTCCTAGCGCTCACTTCACCTTCCACTTACTCTAGGTATATATATACTTATTGAAGCATTCTTTTAGCACTCATTCCTAGTAGTACTTAGTATGCACATACGTAGGCCTAGTGCGTGCTAGTAAAAAGCATAATACCTAATGTCTAACAGCTAAGGTACACTCGCAATATTTACCATTACTCTAGCAATATAAACATATTTATCTATTTAAAACGTACTTAGGGAAGCCCCCAAGCGAAGCGAGGGTAAATCTCGATCTAGTACGTAACATAATAAAATTAAGAAAACACTAGCGTTCTCAATTTTTTTTGTCAGAACATTATAATAGCGTGATCTAATCTATTCTAATATTAACATAGTACTAGCAGAACCCGCGATTTCGCTCGTGCTAAAATTACAAAAAAAATCTCTAAAAAGGTAGTTTCATACAAACTCATCCCCTATTTTACCCGCTTTTAGGATGAATTTTGAAAAATGCTAAGACACATATTTATTTAGTTTTATTGAAGAGAATATATACCAAGTTTCAAGTAATTCTGATAATAAATATTTTTTTATTATTTATTGTCTTATAACGTGTTTTTCCATGGGAATTAAGTAATCTCCCGCGGTAAAATGTTGCCTATGTCATTCTCCAGCCCTCCAAACTATCTCCACACATAAAATCAAATGAAAGAAGGGCAGACAGACAAACAAACAAACACACTGTCACATTTATAATATTAAGTATGGATTTCAGGAGGAATAGAGTAATTTCCAATAAACGTCAATAAAAGCCGTTAAATGCATCGATTTGTTATACCTGCACAATTTTTGTGTAACATTATAAAGAGATATTAGGCAATATCGGTTTTATCCGGCTGCGGTGCGTCTTTACTCCAGAGCGACAAGCGGAGAGAAAGCGGTGCGAAGAGCGGCACAAGCCTCGTCGAAAGTCTATTTTTGAATGAATTTTGTAAACGGATTTGAACAAAGTAGGAAAAAATGTGATTGATTAATGTGATCTTCATTCTTATAAATAATATTTTTAGATACAAGAGACATAAAATGTGGTCAATCTTGTTGGCCCAGGGTGCCAAAATATCCAAGAAACGCAATGGGAGGTGGCCCACTTCGGTTGGCGGTGGGAGGTGGCCCTCTTCGGAGGGCGGTGTACCAAGCGGGTTGCTCTTCTCTTCACTTCTCTGATAGCAGAGTGGACCTTGGAGCAACCTCGTGGTTGTTGTGGTCTGCTTCGGCAGACCTGCCGTCGGGGCGTCGTCGTAGTTGAATGCGTAAGCGATCCTGCGACGCCCCGTTAAGACGGGGGAAGGCTTTGTTGGGTTTTAGTGGGTAGTACTGGCTTTGCCGGTGAGTCCCACACCTCGTGCGTAAATGCATTTCCCAACGTTAAAAAAAAAGGGTCCCATATTATAAAATACTTCCTTGGACTTTCAAACAAGAAGGAAGATATTTTCTAACGAGTCCATATTTAGAATTATGACATAACACCCGTATTTCCCCATTATTTAGTAGTAAAAATATTTTTTTAAAAGGATATAAATCCTAATAAGTACTTATCTATTTGTGCGTTAAGTACTTCTAAACTAGGTATACCGACGGTTTTCCCGATTTATTTTGAGATGTTTTTACTTCGTTTCACTAACATTTCGATATTTTATACTTAACACTAAATCTTCCGTGTTTTAGTTAGAACCCGAGAAAAGGCCGTGCTTTTAAAATCTAAAGATTTAGATGTCTTTAGTACTCGTTAAGAATTTCCGTGGCCCGTATTTTGCATTCACGCGCGCTTTATTGTAAATAATTAAAAATTATATACGTTTGTACCTTTAGTAAATATGAAAATGAAAATGATTTATTAATTTATTAATTTATTAATAAAAGAGTTTGTCAAAAACATTAAGTGCGTTTTTGGGACACCCTTTTAAGTAAATATATACCTACCTGTGCCAGGATGTCCCGCTCTTGCGTAGAAAATTTCTTAAATATTTTACAACTCAATAGTCTCTCTTATATTAACAAAAACTTATAAATAATATCAAAAATAGTGTGTTTGTGTGTGTATGTGTGCGCGTGTGTGTACATAAAATGTTGGAGTGGATGTTTAGGTAATTTTGTCGAATAAAGCTTCTATTTCTTCATAATTTAATTTTGTAAGCCAGGCAGTTTGCAAATATATTTTTTTCAGACCATTCACCTTTTTGTAAGTATATATATGCTGATTTCTTAGCAAACTGATGACTAGCAAATATAGTTTTTACAATACCTGTTTCTACTCTAATGTTAACTCTTCTTTTATATTCGTGTTTATATCTATAGTTACCTACTGTTTTATGCCTCTGTAGTATTAGTTGTAATCTTTCTCAAACTTAATAAGTTGTTAATGGAGAATAGCTCTTTTGTAGGGAAACGATATGGTTTACAAAACATCACTTTAAGGCACAAGACACTGTAAGGCCCGTTGACTACGTTCTAATTCAAGGAATTTAATTTTTGATGCTTCTCCCCATACTGGGATGCAGTATGACAAAATTGATTCAGCAAGAGCTGTATAAACTTATTTTAGAATTTTATTTGTTGCAACATATCTTAAGGTTTTAAAAATCCAAATAAGTTAAAAATTAAATTATACTAATTTATAAATTATAAAATTAAATATATAATATTATAACAATAAATAAAGGTAACAGACGCGCCTTTAAGAAAGGTAATATGGCTAGACACGTGCCTAGAGTCTTTACATTTGTTTGTGGAGTACAGCAAGACCAACCCGTGTCCCTTGCGTGCTTTATGACCGGCAGACGCGCAACAGACGCCGTGCGGAAAACGCGACTCGTGCAGTGAGTGACTTTCGACCTTTGCCAGTGTTTCCAATAAAAAATAGTGCACATGTTCTATCTTTAAAATGATCTGGGTAAGAAAATTATTATTTATTTATATAATTAATTACCTATAAAATTTATTAAATAAAAATTAAACTTAAAATAAATATTATAAAAGATAATTTGAAAGTTGTTTTATAAATATTACTTTAGATTAAACTATATATATATATATATATATATATATATATATATATATATATATATATATATAAATACATATATATATATACATATATATATATGTATATGTATATATAATACTTTTGCTTATTTTTCATTTTGATGATTTAATTTACTAGCTACTGATTTACCCTATACAAAAGACATAAACGCGTTCTCGAGATCCTTGAATTCTTTTCTTAGTTGTATTGTAAAATTATATAATTAAAAGAAGTGTAAGTATTTTCATTATGTTACACTCTACATTTAGAGAAGTAAAGCTACTTTTATATTTCCGACGGAAGTTATGTCAATGATAAGCAGCGACTGCTAGCAATTCATTAAAAAACTTCTCTTTTTGGCACTTTCTAAACAATATGATGTTTTAATTGCTTCGTTAGGAAAAAAGCAATATCTAACTAAAATGCAGCAACGATTACGTTCACGCGTGCAAATGTAATAATTACTTGACGTATGTAGATTATGTTCAATGAAAAGCCAACGTATTGTATGATTGTAAAGCTCCAAGGGTTTCTTTGCCCAAATGTCATAATTTTTTATAATTAATTCATAATTATGTTAAAACAATAACTGCAGTATGTTTATAATTTATAACAAAAACTTAGAAAAAATATAACATAATGACCCCGATTTAAAAGACTAATATAATACGAACCAAATAGTCTCGACTTACATACACCTCGTCACGGTCTGCGAAGCCATTTACTATTTGAACAACAAATCAAAATTTACAATTTTACTACTTATGAAATTGACATGATTAAGAGTTATATGATATTATATCTAACAACTTTTCAGCTTACTAAATTCTGTTATTTTGATTCTATGTTGTAATATTTGCTTGGGGTACGGAAATGTTAAATCTAGATTAAACTGGTTTCCTTATAAGATACCTCTAAAATAATTCTTTTAATTATAGATATAAACTATGTTTTGATATATTCTTTTGAATGTTAACGTAGTAGCCAGTAGGTAGTGTTTTCGTCTTTCTATTTTTATACTAAGCACTTGTAAATACAAAATTGACCTTTCAACTGTAAACTTTTCGCTGTGTGTCGGATTTATGGTGATGATTAATGGTGTTGGTGCCGCAGACATACCTGCCTAGGCCCATCTTTGCCTTCGAAGCGTGGCTGGTCATCGATGCATAAAATACGTTAGTGTTAATAATTTATAATAATAAATCCAATTAATAATTTTTAATAATAATAAATCCTCAACCCCTACGAATTATTTCACAATAAACGAATCTTCCTATCAGCAGAAACCGACTACCTATCGTTAAATAGGTCTATATTCTATTAGTTTCATAAATTTAGAACAAAATTAACTTACTAAGTCGACACGTTTGGCTCAGTACAAACTGCACACTCACTACAAAGTGACCCTACTGGCATTCTTTGTGTGATGAGCACGAATGTTTGTTTTAAATATTTATATTATGTATGTATTTGAAGTTATATATGTGTAGTGTATCAACTATCTGGTATCCATAACGCAAGCCTCGTAGCTTACCATGGAACTAGATGGTGCTGTGTGTTAATGTCCCAACATTTTTATTTATTATTTTTACCTATAACTTACCTAATTCATACGCTTGGAACTTGGCATTTATATTTTCAAAAATTAAGCACATGTTTCTGATTTAATGTGATTTGAAGAATTAAAAAGTATGAAAGCTTAATCTTTAATTTAAAGTTATTAACCGACTTCCAAAAAGGAGGAGGTTCTTAATTCGTTTGAATCTTTTTTTTTGTATGTTCACCGATTACGCGAAGACGCCTTAACCGATTCGGAATTTTTTTTTACCAATGTCGACAATATTTTAAGATATGAATATCTAATAGGTAAATATGTGTTTTACGCATGGAAATATATTAGATTTGCTTTGCACCGACTTCAAAAATATCTGATTAGGTGTCTATTCTAAATGAAAACCCCCGCTTAGTTTTATTTTACATTTTAGTGCCTGAAAGTCGGTTTTTTTAACGCGTTTGGTATAAATAGTAGATCCGCACAAATACAGCGTCATCGACAGCTGCGTAGGTGTCAAATCGCCCGTGGCGCCACTCGGTCTGCATACGAGAGATTCTCACGCCTCGCTCTCCGCCACCCTGTCCCCTCCATGAATTAAATTTGAAGTCAATAAATAAGATGACTCAAAACTTTCACTGCGGAAAAATTAACAGATACAAGTTTTTTGGATGTGCGTGGATTTAAAGTAGATTGGAAGTTAATTTATACAAAACCATTTAGGGAGCACAAATTGTTCTAATGAATTACAATTGAATTGATATCAGCATAATTTGCAAGTCTTGGTCAATAATAAAGAGTATTATTATTTTTTATTCATTTATTTTCTAATCGCTATAATTTAACTGGCCAGCTAAATATTGAGGTTTGAATCTTTTTCAAGATATTTTTGTCAGTTAATGCCCAACAAAAATATAAAATTTGTCCAAATAATATTATCTATACTAATATTATAAAGAGGTAAAGTTTGTGAGTTTGTGACGTTGTGGGGGCCGTAATCTCTGGATCTACTGAACCAATTTAGACGAAATTTGGTAAGATGATAGTTTGAGACCCTGGAAAGGACATGGGATACTTTTTATCCGGGAAATCATGCCTTAAGGAGGTGAAAATGGGCATGACAGTTTGTATTGGGAATCAAGCTAGGGACGAATCCAAGCGAAGCGAGGTTGAGTCGCTATCAATTGATAAAAGTTTTATCACAGCGCTATTGAAAAGAACAGGTTTGCAGGTGACCTTATTCTTATCCGTTTCTTATTAGTATAATGAGTTGAGTTTGTTTTAAACTAATAAGATCGCCTAATTATTTCCTACTGTGTACTTATACTTTTTTTAGCAAGCAACTAACTAATAGGAACTAGCTGTCTGATTGTCTATCCGGTCAGCTAGTATATACATAAATACTTCTCTTTGTTAGATATTTGACGGCATAATACTTTCTTAGATTTACGCAAATATTTAAAATTTTCTCGCGGTTTTATTTACATTTTTTGTATCCGACGTGCTTTGAATACTTTACAGCAAACATAGTTACGGGAGAGATTTACAACTTTTAACGTCTCTAAAGTCAGTCATTACAAAGGGTGGTATCTGGTAACCCATAAAATTAGCCAGTCATTTGGATGTAAAATAAAATGTTACCGAAGTACCTTACAATACTTCGTTGATTTATATATATATATATATATATATATATATATATATATATATATATATATATATATATATATATATATATATATATATATATATATATATATAATTTTAACTAGGGTTTAGTTATACAATTAAAATAATATATTTTGGATAAACTTTATCAAATAATTTTATTTCATTAATAAGTTTACTCAAATTAAATATTAAAAATTTGCATAGTGGTTATTGGTTTTTTTCACAATCGGTATCCATTATCAACTAAAAACATGTATTTTAAAATCCAATGATACAATTTTTATCAAAATGGATTACGTCAGAGCTGTTTTAGCTGTAGCCATTCTCTATGGTTTAGAGTTCACCTTTGAACACTGACTCGAAAATTAATAAGTATTTATCATTTCATATTATATATTACATTTGATATATTACTAGGAATTGTTAAATGCAGTTAGTACCCATATATAATGGCTAGAATGTAACTCATATTTCTAAGTGGTTAGAAATGTTAATATTTGTTTGGTAAATTGATACATGCAGTCTTAACGTTTTCACTTGAGTACGTGCGCAGTACACATGATCAGTATACTCGTCGCTAGTAAAACTAGGGGATCGGGTTAACCACAATAGCTTATAAAATTAGAAATTGAAAGTTACGCCCAGGCTCGAGTAAATATTTGTTGAACGTGATGTATAAGCCATGAACAGTTGCCGAACCTAATATGTTCAAAAACCATAAGCATTAATCTTATCCTTGAAAAAAATAATAAATTAATTGTACCTCAATTTATTTACAGATACTTACTCAAATAACTAAGTATCCTTAAAGATAATAATTATATAGTGTGGAGTTTATAATATAACTAGTATACCTACAATACAGACGATTTCTAACAATAAACATTCTTATTTTTTGGATAAATCTATTATTACGAAAATTAATGTTCGTTTAAAAAAGTAACTTTCAAAAATAATAATAAATATAAAAATAAATATTTATAATTAAATATAATTATGATATTTTTTTATTATTTGTATTACATAATAATGACATGTTGTTATATAACGTAAAGCCAGGTCTTTTTAGGAATCATCTGCACTTAAATCTTTACTACAGTGATATAAGAGAGTGAAAGGACAATAACTGAAGGGTAAATTAGATGCAAAATACTATACCCCTATTCCCATCATGTCACCTTGTGTTAGTGATGCGGCGCACGCGCAGCTTTCACTGCGGCCACGTCAAATATATCCTGGTAATATAAGTTCAAGTAGCACTTGTTGCAAATTCCATTAGTATAACATTTTCATTTATTATTTTTCCTTACTAATAGCACTAATTAATATTAAAAATGCGAGAGTTTGTATGTGTGTGTATGTTTATATTATTTACTCCTAACTGAAATGGCAGAATTTGTTTGAAATTTACTACACAGAGTATATAGATTTAGTATCACATAGATTACTGTTAAGCGCCTAGGGACCCGCGCGAAGCAGGTGTAAGTTGCTTGTGTTATTAATACGTAAATATGTTGGAAGGTTCCTTCTTGCATGCAATTACAGAATAACGGGAGAACATGATTTTGAATAGAGACAGAAAACTACTCGACGTATCTTTATCTAAATAATTTTCTTTGAAAATATTTTAGACGCTCCATTATCTAAACATTTATTAGAATTTTTCGACCTATACTTCAAAAGTTAAAGGAAGAACTTTAGAATTATACTCGTACCTTCAACTCTGAAAATGTTGGCTTGAACAAGAAAATCACTTAGAAACTTATCCATAGATACCCCACAGGCTTATTAACAACAAATATTTTCTTCACTTTGTTACATGTATGGAGTATCATCTCTATTGTTTTTAATTTTTTAATTTTAAAAAATCTTTCACTAAAAGAGCAGATTGTAAAATTCTTCAGCATGATCTCGACTCTATCCGAATGTGGTGTGATGAAAATTTGATGGAGCTTAATAAAAATAAATGTTATGTCATTTCATTTACAAAAAATAAAGTTCCAATATCGTCCGACTATAACATAGCAGGTACCTACTATTATCTCTAGAGTCAAAGTAGTACGGGACCTAGGTGTTTTATTTGATTCAACCTTATTTGATCAGATTACTCGGTTTTATCATCCGAACTGCCCAGCCTTTCAAAAATTCAATCTCGTGGATAGTTTTGTATGTCACTATAGTAAGAAGCATTCTTGAATACTGCTCTTGCGAATGGAAACCAATCTATGATATTCGTATTAACAGAATGGAGGCTATACAATGTAAATCTCTAAAAATATTAAGCAACAGACCTTGCCGGTCTCAGGCGTGAATTACCGACTTACACTGACAGACTTCATAAATACAAACTAAAAAGCCTGGAAGATCGCCGTGTTATATCAGATTTGTGTATACTCCATAAAATAAGCAATGGCAATTTTAACAGTAAATTATTAGAAAAACTGGAATTTAAAATTCATACTCACTCGATTCGTCAGCCACAACATTTTAATATACGAGTACCTTCGGCAACTAATAACTTTCCCCAATACAACCCTTTGCACAGAATGTGTAAAACATACAATAGCTTCAATAATGAATACGACATTTTTAATAATAGTTTTTTAGCGTTCAAGAAAAAATTAAATAAATTATAGTTCTTACTTTACATTTTCGATAATAAGGATATGCTTTCTCTCTGTTTCTTCTCCTTTATCTTTTTTTTTCTTTGTCTTTTTTTTCCACATGAAATGTAAATATTATTTTCTTTTTGTTTTTTTAATATTTTGTATGTAACTTTTAATGCACAGACTCGTACTGCAATATTCACTTTCTGGTTAAGTTTGTTTATATAATTATTAGGTACATGTTTTTATTTGAATGTTGTGTAGAGATATAATTGGACAACAAATTAAAATGATATTTTTAGTTTTTAATACGTAGATGTAATTTTTTATTTTTTTTTTCTGTTTCTGTACTTAAATAAATAAAATAAAATAAGTAAAATCACAAAATTGACTTCAGAATTTTCTTTCAGTTCACACGAGATATCTGTCCACTGAATTTCAGCACTGTAGCTTCAATAGTCTTCGAAAAAATGCAGTATTAGATGTAGTCGATTACTCCTCATCACTTTTGCAAATATGCATGTGACATTAACCTCTTAACATTAATCACCCCTTTTGCGAAGCTTTTGGAATAATATCAGAGATTTTAAGATTGTGAGCTGAAACTCCACTCGATAAAATACTTCTACTGGCCACTTAAATATTTGTTTGAGGTCTAAAGATATCATATTCTGTATTTGTTACAGAGTAACTAGATCATCTTCAAGAACTCGCTAACGGCTGAATGTAACTTTTTTGCTATATTACTTTTTGACGTAGAAGAAATATCAATGTCTCATTAATATTAGTACCTGGGCCACTGAGCTTCGCTCGTAGTTTTTGGTTACAAAGTACAATTTTCTTTAAACAAAAAACTAAAAACCTGAATAAATACAAAAAAAAAACAAAAAAAATATTATACCTTTGTATCCGACCGGGATTCGAACCCGGACGGACACATATCAAGAAAACATCTCACTTTGTAGGCACTATAATGTCCATGTTCGAATAAATATAAACATGCCTTTTTAATCTCTTCTTTCCAGCTATATGTAATGCACTTATTATAATATTTCATTTATTAACCTGGGAGAGTGTGGGTACTTTTATAAAAATATCAGTATGGCCAGTAGGTATTAAATGTATTTAATTTTAAAGAACTAAGTATACCACCTTGCTATTATAACTAAGAATTTGAGAGAGTTTTGTACAATTTACTCTACATTACCTTAGCACGATGTGATAAATTAGCACTCAAAATTAAAGAATAATGTAGGTTATAATTACGTCCTCTTTGTAAGTGGCTCCGCTCGTTAACATAATTTTTTAACCATTATGCACGATGTATAAATTTTTCCGTAAGAAGCGATCGAGGTCATGTATTTCGCATACATAAACAAGAAGGATAGTTATAATATTAAATTAGCCCGTCTTTCTTCCTGCCAAGCCGCCCGGTATTTTAACGAGCATGTTGCGTGTCCAAAAAATGCTTGCCAATCCACCACCACTCTAATTGCATGAAAACAGCCACGATTATGTGGATACCTATATTTATAATTAAAAATATAACTTAATTCCATATGTTTACCAATATTAAGTATAGTTGTTTCATTAATTATAATTATTATTGCCGTTACTTTTTCTGTTAATTAAACTTTTCTTTATTTGACAACGTATTTCTTTATTGCAAGATGATTTATGACCCAATTTTTGTTAAAATTAATAACTAATTACAAGGTTATTTACAGGGAAAAGGTTATCGCACAGTTCTGGGACTTTGTATCTTAAGCATTCAAACAGCCAGTTCAGACCCTAGTCATGATACCGGGATACCGAACAAGTTCACCACAATAACAACACGTATGTAGCAAATGTTGTATTTTTTATTTAAATATAAATTACTGAAGTACTATATTAGCTAATAAAATATTATAAATTGACTTTCAGATGAAGTTGATCATTCTAATCTTAGTGGGATGGCTTCCATTTTTTCTCCTCGCATGAATTTTGATCAATGGAAGCCCTTAACTGGTCGCGGAGATCCTCTACGTAATGATCCCACTTACGATTATGAGCCTCCAGTACTTGAAAAAGTTCATTATTGGGCTGATGATAGTCGACCTGAACGCGAAAAACACCCCGAAAGGAAATCTGAAGTTTTAGTATTAGGAGTTTCTTCACGCAAGCCTAGCGTGGCTTCAAAACCACCGCCGGCACCAATAAGAAGACATCCACGACCACCTGCATTTTCAATGAAATATGAAGACTTTTCCTATAAATTTAGTGACCATTATCCCATGACTATACTTGTGCCACCACCCCCGCCGCCACCAAAAAATAAACCCTCCTTATTTATTCTCCCAGACAATAAATTATTACTACCGACTGCGCCTCCACCAGTGTCTGAGTCTACTAGAGAAACTACAATATTACCAGAACATATTACAACTTATGCCCTTCAAGAAGCAAATCTTATTTACCAATCATCGACGATAAAACAAAATTGGCTTGACTACAATAAAACTACATATTTACCTAACAATACTGTTAGTAGTGACTATGCTGGATGGGGGCCAACTACGCCTTTGGAAGATATAAATGATTCGCATAACATTATATCACATATCGACAGTCATAATTTTGAATTTACCCGACAACCTCTTTCCTACTACAAACCAGTTCTTTCAGAAGCTCCACCACCTCCTCTGTCTCCACAAGCCTCCTTCAACTCTGTTAGTATGGCAAGCTTTTTACCAACTGTTTTACCACCAACTCTATCAACAGATTCTTCTAAAACAAAAGAGACTAAATTCCAAACAGAAATGACAAACCAAGAATTAACGACAGAAGCCCCAAATTTTTATGTAGAAACTACAACTGAAAAAAAGAGTACTCCATCTTATTATTCGACAGTTGAGGAGTCGCCGAAACCGAATATTATTGGTATGCTAGGTCCTATGATATCAATGCCTATGGTGACAGATCCTGATCGACCCGAGGATAACTTGTACGCTCACGCATCAGATAACATACATATTTTTAAAGAACCTGCCACTGAAGATACTATGAACTTAGAAATGATGCAGACTATGCAACCACCACCTCCACTTACTTCCTTAGAAAATATCCCAGTGCCCCAAAGACAACACTATCATGTAAATCCCCATCATTTAAATAACTTACTTCACGAACAACCTGCAACACACACCCATGATCCATATCTACACATGCGCTTTACCACACCTATGGCAACTAGTGCCGCAACCTCACAAGATATTAAGGCTACAACGGAGACTCAACCGATTTCTACGTATTTAATTATACAAGGACATTCAAAAGTAAAAACATATGGATCTAAGCCTAAACCTACCAGTGGGGTCAGCAATGAAATTGTGAATCCAAATGAGACCAATGAAGTAAAACACTTGCATCCAATTAAAGAGAAACATAGTAAAAAGCCTGAAAAGCCCGTAACAAATAGAGAAAGTAGATCACAAAATTTAAAATCTGTAGTAGATACTGGCCTTGGTTCAATAGAAATACAAGAAACTGACATAGGTATTATGTATGATGTAAGCGATGGCAGCGATGTCCCTGTTGAGTTATATAAAAAAGGTATAGTAGAAACAGATGAAAATAATTACTCGAACACTAAAATTAAACAAACACAACACAAGAGGCAAATAGATCTCTCAAATATTTATTTGATATGAATTGTGTGAGATTTTTTAAGACTTCTCTATAAACGAAAAATCATAAATTGGTATAGATAATATTTAAACAAGGGAAGTTATTGTTGTTATTGATGAATGACGATCGAAACACGTAGATACTGTACAAATGTAAACGTATATTATGAGAAAAATAAGTAGTATATACATACATGTGAGAACGATATATAAGAACGATATAAAATTAAACTAAATTAATAAAAAGTAAAATTACGAATAATGTAAGTTTTTATTGAAATTGTTATTTGTAAATGTAAACGAGATTTTACTTTTTACCAAAGTTTTTTAATAGAAAGAAAATTTAAAGTATAGTAATAATTAACATTGTGAGCTATCACAGACATGAATTATTATTATTATTTATTATATTACAGATCCCACCTTTACCAATGTATTTCCTTTTTTAATTTGCAAAAAATAATGATATGTTAAATAATAAAGTTTTGTGTTATCTTTAAACTTAAAATAGCTATGATAAGCTTAACGACATAACAATAGATTCCAACAGGTAGGTACGTTCCGTTCAAGATGATACGTTCATTTTCGATAGATTTAAAAAAAAAAATATAAATATGCCGCTCCTAAGAGCGGCATATTTATATATTTCATTTCAAGTTAGATATTAAGTATAAAGGCAAATATTTTTTTTTGAAATGTATACATATGTCGCAGGCATATTGTACAATTTGACATTATACAAATGGCGCATTTTGTAAAATGCCGAAGGCAAATTGCAAAGTGCTTCTGAAGTTAATTCATTTATCTGAAATATGAAACTATAATTTAAAAATAAATAAATTATTAAATATCAATAATATTATTTATAATATAATAAATATAATATATTTCTTTTAAATCATTAGCTCTTAGTACAAAACCGTTCTGTAAAACACGCAGCGCTACTTTCGACATCGCATTAAGATAAATTCAAGATTTGTAACAGATCATACTGGGATTATGGCAGGCGAGTCTTCCCGTTAGATTGTTTTCTTCTTCTTGAAACCAGATACCCTTATTACTAACATTTGCTGTAATTTACAATCTAACTTCGATGCCGAATGCAGTAATTGTAATTTGTAAAACGACAAATTATACGATATGCCTGCGACAAAGACAAATAGGTTTGTAGCAAAAAATACATAATATGTAAGTAGTTTATTATGTACAGCACCAGCTAATGTATCTTAGCTAAATATATGTAACAACAAGTCAACATGAAATAATTTTAATATAGTTTAAATAAAAAACTAATTTATTAAACACAAAAAGGAAATTTATATTTTAATAAATATTTTTTTTATATTAAACATATTTTTATTACATAGTTTAGAGACCCTACCCTACCTAAAAAATAATAGGTGTATAATATATTATTATTATTATTATTATAAAAAATGTAGAGAATTCGAAATGTCTTTCCACATATGAAAAATTAACAGGAAGAAGCAAAAGATGTATTTTTCTAATTATGTAGGCTTAGATTGACACATGTCTACAAAAAAAGATGTATGCGGCGCAGCGGACGCGGCCCACTAACACACACGTTTCTTACCATCCTTTTCGTAGAAAGACACAGGCAACTAAGATAAAGTGAAAGCTGCTTATAAACCTATAAAGTCAACGTTTATTGCAATCCACACAGCTCATAGAAAATCGTGAATAGCAAATAGTTCATTACTTCCGCGGCCATCCCTTGCGTCGTAACATAGATGCGAGGAGCGTATCAATTAATCTACAATGTATCTGCGTAGGCATAAACATGCACCAAGTAAATCAGTTTATTAAAAATATAGTTTAATGAATATTCGCATAAGTTTGCTGCGTTACACCAATTTGCATTACATAGACATGTTTTGTATTCTGCGTTAGCGAGCCTGAAAAAAATATATCACATACGTCATCATAAACTTTATAGTCGATTTTTGCCTCTTCGGCTTGTGCAAATCGGCAGATTATTGAATTGGACACTTTTCAGGATGTGACTAGCCTACCACACCTTAATCTGACGGTTTCAAGTATTTCTACCTTATCAAAACATTTTTTAAATATTTTAATCGGCTTCCCTAGACGCGCCCCTTTATATAGAAGACTTATATTATGGTGAAAGTACTCAATAGAGTGCAAGGTAACCTCTTTTATGTTAATCTGCCGCGCTCGAGTAACTACAGAAAATCCCCTCTTGGGCTCCCCTACTATAACGTCGCACTGCCGGGCCTCCGTTCAATAGATACGAGGGGGATTAGGCTGTAGTCCACCACGCTGGCCAAATACAAGTTGGCGGACTTCACATATCTTTCGGAAACTTGCTTGGTTTACTCAGACATACAGATTTCCTCACGATGTTTTCCTTCACCGTAAGGCAAGTTGTAATCATGTTAGAAATTATTTGCACATGAAAATATCAGAGGTGCGTGACCCGGGACTTGAACCCGCTTCACTCGATTTCTCAAGCGAGCGCGTTAAAACTGGGCTACCTCTGCCTCATCTGAGTCGAATCTGGACGTTGAATATTTTTTGTAAAATCTTATTAAAATAATCATTATTATCGTAACAGAGGCCGTATCTATAGAATTTTTGTCCCTCTGGAAACGCATCACGAGTAAACCACTGAACAGATTTTGAAGAAATTTGGTGAGATGATGATGGCTAGTTATCCGGGTCAACATATAGGATACTTCTACTGCGGCTAAATATCTCATTTCTGAGAAATGTATACAAAACGTGAAAACTAGGGACGAACCTGAGCGAAGTGAGGATGAGCCGCTAGTATATTATACCTACTATTAAACCTGGAGGTTGGAGTTTACACATTCGCTACTGTTTAGGCACCCAAGCGAAGTAGTGGTTATGTAACCAAGGGTAGGTTGCTAGATTGTTAATAATCATACACTATACTAAGTAAACTTTTTTTACATTACAAAGGAAGGAGATAGGCCTCCTTTGTTCGCCGCCCAGTTACTTCGCGAGCGAAGGCGCGGGCAAAAATTAGTATGTATTAGATAAAATGTCACTAACTTTAAAGTCATAAAAATACATATGTTAGTGGATTTTAAAGTATCTATATCAAAATTTAGTCTTTACTATAGACTCTTTAGTTAAGTTGTTATACCTAAGCTTACCGTTCCAATTTACATGTCATAGCTCTAGTTGGTGTATTCATAGCTCTCGGAATAATATCTTCAGAGTTTACTTGATAACATCCCCTTTGTACTATCCAGGCATGTCTGTCGCGCGCCCTCCAAGACCGTACGAAGCACATTGAATTTTCTGTTTAAAAATTAAGTGAATACTATATAGTTTTAATAATATTTTAACTTTATATTCTTAACTACTACTTTTATAACATTAACTGAAAGTTCAATCTATACAAATAAATAAAATTGAAGTGTCTGTCTCAGTATATAATAATAGTCTATGGTTTGTAATGTCAAAATAACAGCGTTTCACTAAATGCATAAGATATTTTAAACGGTACTTATAAGAAAAACACATTTTTTTAACATTTTTGTCTGTGTGTCTGTCTGTTTGTTCCGAATAATCTCTGAAATGGCTGGACTGATTTTAACGGGAATTTCACTGGAAGATATCTGATGTTATAGGGAGTAACATAGGCTACTTCTATTTTAGAAAAAGAATTAGGGTTCCGTTAAAACAACTTAAAACGTAGGTACGCTAGTTAATAATAAAAATTATTGACTTAAAAAACGAGATGTCACCTTTTGTGCAGTTAATTAAATATAACCGGCTGTTGTTAAAATCGACAGAAGGTTTGATGAAATCTCCCCCACAGTGATTCCAACCACGTTGTGTGGAAGAGCAATTGTAACATAGCAAAGAATAAGCTGATCCCACAAAGTAAAATGACACAATTAATTGAAACATTCGTACTTAGTATTAATAAATACGCACATAATAAAGATAATTTTGAAGAAATTAATAGTAAATTGGTTCAACTGATACACATCAAAATATTTTTTTAATTGTGTCAATGATATTATCAAACATTATGGTCACATGGTGTCAAGTGCTTTTATAAACACAGAGTTTTTATTGCATTGAAATTCGATAACCGTGATTCGATTTTATAGCCAGTTTCTTTAAACGATTGGTATTTAATCTATGATGATGAATGATATGAATTTTCAATTTTGAAACAGTGTTAATTAGTGAAGTCATCTCGACTGTTTTATACATACTATATATACCTACTATCTATAATCTATAATAATAATAATAATAATATTATAAAGAGGTAAAGTTTGGGATCTTGTGAGTTTGTGAGCTTATGAGTTTGTGACGTTGTAGGGGGTAATCTCTGGATCTACTGAACCGATTTTCAAAATTCTTTTACCAATAGAAAGCCACGTTCTTTCTGAGTATCATAGGCTATATATTAACTCGAAAAATGAAAAGGCTTTTTCGTGGTAGTCGGATTTGCAAAGTAAGTCGGAGAAAAAACGGTCGAACGAAAACGATTCTTACGAACGCTGCCTTAACGATGAGAGATATATGATTATGTTCTAGAGAAAAGTTGTAGAGCTTAATAATACCTACAAAAAAGTCAGCGAGAGCATATGTCTAACTTTTATATTTAAGTCACAAAAAGCAGTTTTTATATTAAAAAAATTATTTAAATCGGTAGGTCATGTTTATTAGTCATATTATCAATAATTATGAATTCTTATCAAAATAAGTAAATTAATCGTCTAAAATGTTTAAAACAAAAGTTTTACCTTTTACTGCATATAATTTGGACAAATGGTTAAAGAGATAATACAACATATTCGTACGTATGGACAAACCCGAGCGAGCTGTTTGTCTGCTTTTCTGTTTGTACGGGTTAATCTCCGAATCTATTGGACCGATTTAAATGAAATTTTGCATGGTAGTAGGTACCTTATATCCCCGGGCAACATCTTAGATACTTTTCATCCCGGAAAATTAAAGAGTTCCCGTGGGATAGTTAAAAAACTATAACA